CCATGAGCGTGCCAGGACAAGTGCCGCTCTCCAGTCATTTTTTCTTAACGGCTTTTGTTGGCTTGGCCCGAATGATAAGCATTCACATCACGTATACGCCCGGGTGTTCCACTCGCTCTCTCATCGCCTCGATCTCTCAGCTAGTCAGATACTCAGATACTTAGATACTCGGATACATAGATACTTTTCGTCGACTGCGCCAGACTCGCTGTCGTCGCCTTCGCCGAGTTGGCTGTGTGCGTGAGTATCTGTGTGGGCCGCCTGATAAGCCAAGCGGTAGCCGTGGCCATCCAACCTCAACAGACGATCGCGATCTTCAGTTTTATTTTCGTGCTGCCAACAAAAGTTGACTGCTCGCGCGTCGCTCTCGTTTATGTCTCTTACCTTCTTGATTCTGTTTCGCCTTTCGGTTGGAACATCTCGTGCTGTTTGCCGACTGACTTTTGTCACCGCTGTCTAAACACCGCGACTGTTTGTCCAAGACTCAGCCCAGACGAGCGGCAGACGAGCGAAGAGCGCGGCCAATTGCCTTTTGGCAGACGCCAAGATCTATTGCGAAACGGGCACTCGCCATTAATCTCAATACAGTCAATTGGATATACATTCAGATCACTTGACTCTGGTCCCTTAGCCATGCCCTCCCGCGCCGACGGCCCCCCGGATGGAAGCCATAGAATCGCTGCCGTTGCAGCAGTCACTGTGAGTGGGGAGGCTCTACAGTTGTGGCCTAAATGAACTGCTTAACTATTAAAAAACAGTCTTGGGACTTATAAATAATCTCTATACAAACCTTTAAACGATATTCATGGAAAACCATGAGCCCAACTTATCTCTGGCATTTACACACCTCCTAACTGCTCGTATGTCTTAATAAAGTGAACTCATGTGATGCAAGGGAATATTTAGTCAGATGATATGCGAAAAGTGTTAAGTGAGATCTCGAAGAGGTGGAGGAGCGTTTTCTCCAGTGCACACTGGCTCCAGTGGCTTTCCAGTCGGCCTTTCCTGTTTAGCGTACCCCAGAGATTTCATGAATAAATGAATATTAATCGAAGACACATATCATGCAAATTGGGCTCGGGACTCCTGCATGTCCATCAAATTAACAGCAGCGTTTAGTGGTCCGCGCAGGCGCAGCTCTGCAGTGCTCTGGCAGCATCAAGTGCTGCCGTTGTGCCAGTTTAACACACACACATGTGTATGGTTATGGTCGCTGGTACCAAGCAGTCTCGCCATGAATGTTTATACATGTTGTCGCTGTTCTGCCTCTAGTGGTGTTGTTTTTGCGTGTCTAAGCACTTTTTAGTTGCGCCGTAAAAAACGAAAAACGAAAAACGAAAAGCAAAAAGCGAACGGCGAACAGCGAAGGGGGCCTGTGTTTTATGTTTTGGCTTTTGGCTTTCGGCTTGCCATGCTTGCGTAGCCAAGCGTTAAGACACACACACACTGCCACTATGGCAGTAGATAGTATACTAACTCACACATCAATCTGGCGTATCTGGCATTTAGAATGCACAGTTTTGCAGTCGCTTCGGTGCCGCTTTATAATCCACATAATGCCCGATGATATACACGATATATATCCCCCGATAACATTCCCCGCATACCGAGCACAACTTAAGGGGAACTGATAAGGAATCGCTGGACTTGAACCCAACAAGTATTCTATAAATAGCGCATTTCGTGCCAACTCCGGGTGGGCGTTCCATGAGTGGGTCGACCTTGGGATACCTATTGCGATCTTAGCAGGAATATCATTTACACAGAGATCTATTTCGAATGCTAGGGGCTTGTAGATCAAGGCTGTGCCTCCACAGATGGCAAATCGAATGCAGAACTAACTTTGAGAGAATCGAGCATACCTCTGGCCCCCTTTTCCACCCCAAGCACAATAATAGCTATAAACTATTGCGCAAAAAGAGTTCACAGTCCGCTTTTCAGTCATAATTGGCATAATTATTTTTGGCTCATGACTTCATCCAATGTCGCCTGGCAGCAGCAGCCACAGCAGCAGCAGCAGCAGCAGCAGCGACAAAAACATCGAACCAGCAATCAAATCAGAGCTGAATAGTGGACAATCAGACGGCAATCAACAACAACATTAGCGAGATGGCAATTGAGAGGCGTGCGTGCGGCTCGCTCCAATGATTCAGTGGCGTATACCTACAGTTGTGTGCGGCATTCGGAGCATATGGAGACATAGATAGTGGCTGGAATTCCAGTAATGGGATGACTTGTATGTGCCACACGCTCGCGGCTGGAATTGACTCGAATATTGATACAAAGCGCCGGCCGACAAGTAAAATCAATTGCCAGCTAATCAAAAGTAAAATGCAAACAAATTGCCAGCACATGTCGCATCATCGGACGTTGATAAAGATGATCGAAGATGCTATATGTTCTATATGCTATATACTGTACTGCATGATACTCACATAAGATGCATTTGCTGTACTCTCCAGATCCAAGATCGATAAAGATGACGGCGTTCATTGGCTCCCTTTTAGGCTGATGACGCCATTCGATCGGTCGATCGATCGATCATTCATTCAACTTCTCCCTCAACTTTCCCTTCCACTTGCCCTGCCCCTCACTGTATCCCCCCCCCACCTACGACGAGCCCCCTTTCCATGGACCGTGTTACATTATCTTTGACGCGTTTCGCATATCAATTATGGCATTCATGCGGCCGGCAAAAGAGCGTTAAAAATAGCCGCCTGCAGCGAGCGATGATGCCATAAATCGTGCAACTCGAAGCCAATTATCACCAGATGCTGAAGCCACAGCCGAATCCATCGGGGAAATCGAGTCGAGTCGAGTCGTAAGCAAGCTGTTGCACTTTGCACTGGGACGTCGTCGGGAGATCTCTGACGAAACGAATCCCATATACTAGGTGTCGTTATTGGGCCTGGGTTCCCCGCTCGGTCACCACTTGCACTTTTCCACTCCCTCACACGTGTGGCAGAACCAGCTGCCAATAAAACTATTTGCGCAAAGTAAACTTCATTAGATCTAAGGCTATAAAGCCCCCTTTGTATAATTCTAGTTTTAGTTTTTCAAGAATCGATTCAATCAGAATCATAGCCTTGACTTACTGGTTGGCTAAAATATTAGATATTAGCACTTCCTCAGCTGAATTTTTGTTAAATGAGTTTTAGATAAGGTTTCCGATAAAGTGACGCAATTGTATAAAATCATGTTATGAAACTCCGAAATGTAAAAGACTTATTTCGTCATCAGAAATATTATATTTTTAAACAACTCGGTCATAAAAATGTGGATACATCCTCATACTTAAGATATTATCTATGACGACGTATGAAATAATGTTGTGATGAAACAATTTCCAAAAATTTCGTCATTAAAATTATATTATTTTCTACTTTAGTCATACAAAAAGTTAAGTATTTGCGCAGTAAAATATTTGAAATGTTTTTAAAGATAGTAACTGGGGTTATTAACTGTGACGACAGCTTCTTCATCCTTTCCTATGAATATGTTTACAAAATGCTGCAACTATAATTACGTAGAACTTCCCCAACATTCGTACAAAGTTAACTATTTTTGGGAAATGAGTATAACAAATCTCCTGATAAGGCTTATTGAGTCAGCAAACTATTTAAAATGTATGTTAAAAATAGTAACTCTGGTATTTCACTATGACACGACCCAATATCCAGCATAAATAGTACTACAATGAGTGAAAACTTAACCCTTCTTTAGAAAATGAGTAAATCTCTGGCTGCGGCTTCGATCTTTTTGGAGTCTACTTTTAGGGGCGGAAATGCCTCTTCATGGACAGCCAATAAACATAAACATATGCCGTATATATGCATTTCGGCTAGGCCATTGGCAAGCGACTGATGAACTTCCACAGAATTCGCAATCCCAATGCCCCATTCCCAATCCCATTTCGAATCCCATTTGAATGTTTTCCCATTCAGCGGCCATAAATCAGCGGAGGAATGTGCCCGACTTAATTGAAGACATCAGCAAGGCAATAAAAAATCAATTTGCTAAGATCTTAGATCGTCAGATTCGACAGCCGAAAAAGCTCGTTAAAGCAATATGTTTATGTTTAAATCATTGTCGGCACAAGAGAGCGAAACTGCTTAGCGAATCGCTTTCATGTTGCTGATGCTCGGCGACGTCGTTCTGTCTGCCTTGGCTTTCATTCAGCGATTTTCATTTCAATTTTCTGGCAGGGGTCGAAGGAATTTCACACATGTCGTGTGCAAACAAACAACTGGCACAGCGCGCAATGGAAAAATGTACGCCTTAAATCAAATTATTCAATAGTTCGGAATGCCACGGATCCGTGTATGAGTGAGCGCTGTAATTCCCGAGAGAGCCCGCAAATTGATAAAATATGCAAAGTAAACAGATACCAGAGGGTGGCCATATACCCACGCATACATATATATACGTTTTTTGGGGGCCCGTCCGCCCGTAAATTGGATCTCCTTTGAGCCGCCAGAGCGGCAAACTTACATCATAAATTAAGCCCCGCCGACAGATGGCAAATAATGCAATAAACATTGAAATCGCCGCCGCTATTTATAGAGCTCTCCTGCGATAAGATCGTCTGCGGCAGTGGCAGCGGCAGCGGCTGCAACTGCAATTGCAATTGCACCTTTGGCCACAGATGAGGATGGGAGAAGGGGGACGGGGGACGGGGTCTGGGGAATGGGGTATGGGGTATGGGGTAAAGGGGCCTTATTTTTAGCCAGTCGGCAGACGACTGTCGGACGAGGTCTATTTATAGGGCCCCGCGATGGGGCAGCAGCTTGATTGCCACCTGGGTAACCTGCCCTTGCCCTGTCCTTTGGCGGCAAGTTCCCGATCGGCGATCTCAACGTGGCTTGGCTTGGCCCATATCTGCTTACCCAGAAAAGAGCCGCCCGGGCAGATGGCCAGTCAGCCAGTCAGCCAGTTAATTGATCGCACCTATAAATAGTCATCTATTTTTACACGCATTTCCGGTTTCCCACTCTTTGCAGATGTGTTCCCGCAACATAAAGATCTCGGTGGTGCTGTTTCTCGTCTTGATACCAATCTTCGCCGCCTTGCCACACAACCACAATCTGTCGAAGCGCAGCAATTTCTTCGATCTGGAGTGCAAGGGCATCTTCAACAAGACCATGTTCTTCCGACTGGACCGCATCTGCGAGGACTGCTATCAGTTGTTCCGCGAGACGAGTATACACCGATTATGCAAGTAAGTGTCCCTGGGTGCCACCTCAATCCCGCAGCACAAGGAGCAGAGATTCCCTTACAGCCATCGAGTCACGCCCTCAAGGACACCAATTCGGTCGGATTGGGGTCTTAAGTGCTGGCAGACCCTGACACAGATGCCGGGGTCTCGGGAAATGTTCGCGGGACCTTCGTTTATTTCTAAACTTTATGGGCTCTTTTCTCGCCCGCCCTCTACTTTCTCCTTGACTTTCCCGCACAGAGAAAAACGACAACTGGCCGCAACCCGCTGCCAATTTATATTTTTCCGTTTTCTTTATGTTCTTAGAACTATTATTATGTTAATATTAAATATAAATAGCAAGCAATTTAAATGTTTTCTGACAGTTTAATAAGCATTCTTATTCTTATTTTAGAAAAAATATTTTTAAAATTATTCTAAACATATTTCGCTTTTATGCATTTAAGATGTTAAGAGTTTTAGTCTTCCTTTCTTAACAAATCAAAGTTAGGAGTAAATCTTCACACATCCGATTAGATTTGGTTCTCCCTTTCTCTGTGCGACCTCCTATATCTGTGTTTCTTGTCTATTCGATGCAGGGCCAATTGCTTCGTCCACGAGACCTTCGGGGACTGCCTGAAGGTGCTGCTGATCGACGATGAAGAGATATCGCAGCTGCAGCACTATCTGAAAGTGATCAATGGATCGCCCTATCCGTTCCACAAGCCCGTTTACCACTAGACACCTCTTTCGTTTCCCACTTCCGTTTCCGTTTCCGTTTCCTTTCCGCTTTCGCTTTAAACTGCTTTCGTTTTCCTGATTTCCTGTTTCGGTTACCTTTACGACTTTCAGTTACCTTTGCCGTTGTGCTTCATTTTGATTTTCGTTTCTTATTTTAGGAAAGACTGCTTTGATTCAAAATGGTTTGGCGAATGCCTGAAAGTGCTGTTAATACCCGAAGAGGAAGTGTCAAACTTACAGCACTTTCTGAGAGTAGTGAATGGCTCGCCCATATCCTTCAACATGGGCCCGCAAACATAACTCTAAGTCCCCGCCCCCTCACATACACACACACACACACACACCCAAACTGACACCCCACACACCACACAGAACACACACAGTTGAGGATCACTGGGAATGACGTTGGGAAATGGAGAATGCAATCCAATCCAACTACAACCACAAATGCAGAGCCAGAACAAAGAAATCTAAAATATTAAAACGCCCAAATTTAATTCGTACTTATTTATTACTGTATGCCTTACAGTTTTTACTATATGTGTTTTTTTAAAAACGAATTATTTTTATTAATTTATTGAGAACGTTATGCGTTTGTTGTAAGTAACATAATCGGGCGAGTGAGAGATGGGCGATGGCTGAGTGACGATGATGATGAAGCTGAGGATTCCGATTCGCGGATCTCGCAACTCCCCAATATACATAGAAGCCGAAGTATTTATTTTTAAGTATTCTTAGCTTGTTTTATTATTATTGCGTTATGCGTTATGTATATAAAATAAACAAAACGAATCCATTGTTTTTAATCTATGTAAAGTAAAATTACTCTTATTTTTGTATTCTACTGTAAAATCAGCATTTACAATTTACACTCAGCACACGATTTTCCGCGAGGGCAACAAGCTAAACCCAATCCATTGTAAGCAGACACACACACACACTCTCTCATACACTCACACACTCACACACACACACACACACACACAATGCACACACGAGACCGAAAGTATTTTGCAAATGTATTACACCTACAATTTTGTGCTATTTTGTAAAGATTAAACCCGTAATTAGCGTAAATCTGTCGACGAAAAGAGTAAATATATGCATATACCTTCGTATATACCTATCTAAAGCTAAAACCTAACCTTTATCCGAATGCGAGTACACACATTCTACATATTTGAGAAATCAAGAGAACGCAATTTGTGCAAGACACAAACAAAAACCCCTGGTAAAAACACGCGAAACGGACTGCATTACAAATGTGGCCAAAACGATTATAAGCCCCATGTAAAATAATAAATATAATATTCGCTGGCTATTTGAGAGCATCAAAATTGTGATAAATGAGAATTAAAATGCGCGTGCGCGACGCAGAGCGGCCACAGACCCAGAGATCCGCAAACCCCAGAGAGAGAACGCTATAAAGGCAGCGAAAGAGCAGGCAGCAGCTGGCGACTTGCGCGCGTTTCTGGCGCGACTAAAAACGCCTGCTTACCGTTTTTGTTTTGGTACGTTTTATTTTCTATTATTTTTAATTTAATAATTGATTTTTGACTTTCGGCTTTTAATTAAGCTAAAGTTTGATAAAGTATTACGATTTTTGGAAATATTATTTTATAATTTTAAAAAAGTATTTTTTAACTGTTGGCATCTACATTTTGAGCTAACTTTATAACTTATTTTCACATTTTTGAACAGACATTGCTTGAAATTTTGAAATTCACTGCAAGCAATTTTGACATTTTTTCTTAACCTTTTTGAAAAAAGAATTTTTGAAAAAGACTTTTTGATGGATTATTTTGTATAGAATCCAAAGCTGTGTGCAATTTCTTGCACAAAAGCAGACCAATGAAATATTTTGACTTTTTGGCTCGTTTTCGAGCAAGCTAAGATTAAAAACGCAACATTTAAGGAGGCTACTAATCCCTCTTTCACTTCTTCGAAACAGGCAAGAATGCTTCGGATCGCCCTTCTTCAACGCCTGCATAGAGGCTCTTCAGCTGCACGAGGAGATGGACAAGTATAACGAATGGCGCGATACCTTGGGACGCAAGTAAACTGCGACTCTCTGGGCACTGGCACCGTCACTGGCACGAGCAGCTACTTAATTCTATAAACTATTAACTAAAGTAAAACTATTATTATTGGTAACTGTGGCAGAACACGGCGCGAAACAATGGCAACCAGGAAACGACCGACCCGAGGAATGTGTACCACTTAAACAAATAACTAAGCTAGCGACTAAGCTACAAGCGAAAGCAGATCAAAAATGTTGAAAAAAAAATTATGAAAACAATTACTAAGCTATTACACGTTACTTATTCGCACCGATATCGGATAGTGAAGATTGGTCTATATTTATTTGTATTATTCGCTGTCATGCACCTCGATCCGTGGAGCAGTCTCGTTTAGTTTTAGTAAGAAAGCCAACTAACAAACAAACAAGCAACAAACAAACAAACGAACGAACGAACAAGAATCAAAATGTCTGATGTAAATAAATTATTTTTGTATTCTTTAAAAAATTTCTATACATACATATTTATAACGCCTATTTTGTACATTTCTTTTATTTCGTAAGCTTAAGTTAACTTGTTACGGCAATAAATTTTACGTTCCACACCTCCCCCTCACTTGCACCACGACAATAGAACCGAAAACACACCCGAAGAACATCACACGGCATAGTTCGATTCGATTCGATTCTTTGTACTACTGCAGATGCCCTACGATTACATAAATATTAATTAATTTAAACTTGTTTGGATCTAGTCGTAAAATATAAATAAAGATTGTATATTTCAAGAGGAGTCGGCAGCAAATTTGATTGCGGTGCAAAACTTTATTCAACGTATCAACGTACTATATATTCCAATATCAATAATTCACAAGTGCAAGCATTTCCGATTCGATTAGACTACGATTAGATCGTGGATCTCGCGGTGGAGCCATCCGAGGAGGCCATCTCACTTGAGATGAATGAAATGCCAAGTGTCGACTGCAAAGGGACGTGGTTTTAAAAGGTTTATTTCACAATCACATTAGCTAAATTATATATGTACAACGATTAACAAACGGAAGCCAGCCAATTACATTTATATTTACAGCGTGGGGTAATTTGGTTTTCGGTTGGTAGCTGGGCATGTTAGAGTAACTATTAGTAAGCATGCAGGTTGGATTTGTGTAACCAATTTGTGCGCAAGTTACTGGTTAAAGCGGGTGTTGGAGTAGCGTGTTTTGCTTGGGATCAGGTGAAGCGGCTATAAGCGCGATCTAACATAGTAAACCTTACCTGTGTCGGACACCTCCTCCACCTGGCCGCCGTCGGGGGCGTCGCTGAACAACTTCTCGGCCTCCTCCTTGGGAATAACGTGCTCCGAATTGCGGTTAGTGATGTTGGTGCTGTAAGAGGGAATATGTAGCTAGAATGGAAATAGGAAACAAAGTATATGAAACCCACGTGGAGATGGAGCTAGAAGTTCCGCTCTGGTGCACCAAGTTCTGCCAAAACTTGTGGGTCTCTGCAATGATGGTGGTAGCAAAGTCCGCGTTCTTGGCGTCGCCGTTGAAGGCAAACTGATTTTCGGGCTTTCCATCGGGGATCTTGTAGATCTGTGAATTACAAAAAGTGAGAAACAGAAATCTAAAACACAGTGTAATACCCACCTTGAACCACTCAACGGTGGCACGCAACAGGCCCGGGAAGTACTGGTCTACATCGGCGATATCATTGACTTTGGAAGCCAGTGGATCGTTCACATCGATGGCAATGATCTTCCAGTCGGTCTCGCCCTCGTCAATCAAAGCGATGGTGCCCAACACCTTGACCTTCAGCACGTCGCCTCGCTTGGCTACACGGTAGCCAATCTCGATGACATCAATGGGATCGTTGTCGCCCTTGCAGCCTGTGGAAGGTTCGATGTGGTCGGGGTTCTCCCAGGTTTGGGGCAGGGCTCCATAGTTCCAGATGTAGCCCTTGTGTGGGAAGCAGTTGGCTACGAACCGCAGTTTTCCCTTCTTGATGTCCTGCTTGATGGGATTCAGAGGGGTCTTCAAGCTAATCTAAGGGTTCAAACATGCAATCGTTGGATTACCGAGGGGTATAAATCATAAAGAATGACAGACTAACCTCCATCTTGGCGTTGGTCCAACGTGGTACCTCCACAACCATGTTGTAGATGGTCTTCTCCTCGTTGGCGTACAATGGAATGTCGTGCATCGGCGAGATGACATTGCCGCACTTGTTTTCTGTGGAGAGTGGCCAGAAATGATTACTGATGATATATAGATGACACCGGGACACGCGATTTGATTGATAGTGCTGGAAATTCTGTCGTCTAGACAAAGGTCACAAATTTTGCGTGCCTATCTTAATTGGTCAACTGAAATTCGACCACCAATTCCGATATCTGCCATATGGACTATGGGATAATAAAGCTTTAAGATAAGGCCGAGGAGCCCGAAACTCTTGATGCTTCCGCCAGTTCCGCCGCTTGACAAATCGACTGATAGTGCTGATAGCGACGAGCTAGGTAGGCAGAGTCCGGTTTGACTTGTTGCATAATCAATCCGGCTGTGATTAGCTAAGTCTATGTAATGTAGTGTATGTAAGTGCAGTAACTAGTTCGGCTAGCTTGCACATGCTTGGGATACAAAAGGTTATGCCGGGTCACATTGGGCCCGGGGTTCGGCATACTCACTGAAGTAAAGACTGTAGCTCGGCGAATTCTTGGCGCCCTTTTCGACGGTTTCGTACAGTGCCATTTTGACTGGTTTCGTGCGCTTTCGCTCTATTTGTATATATCTGCAACTATTGGCAAACGCCGCTGATGACGATGGAATAAAGCCGGATAAACGAGTCGCCGCAAGTGAATGAAAAAATCGTTTTGCCATGTTCTTTCAGCCCTGGATTGTGCTTAGGCCCTGTATCATGATTCAGCCCTGAAGTGTTATCCAGCCCTCGGTGAAAGGACTATCGATTATTGCACGTGGAAGATCTTACCATTTCTTTGCTTAAGACATTTACGATCATTTAATTTAAAAAAAAATTGAAATGAAGCAAAAATTAGTGTTAGATGAAGTCCAAATGCAACTTCTAATTCTACTTCACCAACACTGGCATATTTTATCTACATGACATCTACTTTACATCTACGCATTGAAGCTTCGCTTGTCGGCCACATTGCCGCCTTTGTTGCGATCAAAAGTTATAATATTATCGATAGATTTTATCGGCGACAGGCTCTGCCGCTGCTCAGCCTTCGTTCGTAACATTTCCTTTACAAATCTCAACTTTTTAAAAATGCAAACATTTCTGTTAGAAATCTGAGACTTTACGGACACAACAAATATTGCCAAATAAAGTAAATCAAGTAATATTTGTCAAAGCATATTGTTCAGTTTTAGTTGCAACAGAAAAAGAAGTTTGGGAATCAACTGTCAACTCCTTAACAAAAATTAGGAAATAGATTTAAATTTAAGTTAAATAAAAGCAATAAAGTTAGTACATCACCCAATTTGTAAAATTAATTACCTTGTAGCTTAAACTTATATTTTTGGAGATGTAAAATTTAACTTTTAGAAAGCTTTTACCGCGCATTATCGGACTTCTAAGTTTTTCAAGTTAATTGTTTTTCGTGTTGACGTTGCGAATATTTCGATAAGTCAGAAAATCGATTCATTTCTACGATTCCAGGGCTACAAACTGGCCCCATCGATAACCATCATCCGAGTTTTTGGGTTTTTTTCGTGTGCGTTGTTCCCTCGTGTTGGAGTTAAATATTCCATTTATTTCATTGATTTTTAATCTAATTCGCCGACGAAGTTAACCAGGGTGGGCTAAGAAGCACCTGGAATCTGAAAGACAACAACTAAAACACTTGAGAGCAGTCACTACGCTCCGTATTACAAGTGCCCTTGGCAACAAGTCATTTTCCCCTTCCATTCGTTGCGAAAGCTCCAGAGAAATGCAAAACGGAAAGACGAGATCCGCAACCAGGCCGTCGTACCACCGTCGCCCCAGATCAGCAGTGCCCAACTCCTCAACGGAGAACTCTGCTCTTAAGCCAGAGAGCACGGATAGCCAGTCTGGAAACGACGACAACGCCTGCGTGGTGTGCTTTAAGAACGTTGACATCTACTCTATCGGAGATTGCGATCATCCCGTGTGCTATGAGTGTTCCACCCGGATGAGGGTTCTTTGTCAGCAGAACGAGTGTCCCATCTGCCGCCACGTCCTCTCCAAGGTAATTACTATGGCCTGTTGACAGAATCCATTTTTAATACAATCCTCCTATGCAGGTTCTTTTTACACTGGAGAAGCTGCCCTATCGGGAACTGGAGGCCAACAACCGGTCCGATTTCTATAGCAAGAAGTATCGCATCGGTTTCTGCACCGCTGAGATTCAGCAGCAGTTCTTCAAGCTGCTCGACCATCCCTGCCCAAAGTGAGTGCTTTATCAGCACTAAAGTTGCAGTATTGTGATTCCCCTTTAACTTTATATCGCAGATGCGATGCCCCTCCATACCGAACCTTCCAGGGCCTCCGCAACCACGTGCGCACCGAGCACAGCCTTTTGTACTGTGATCTGTGTGTGGAAACCCTCAAGATCTTTACCTTCGAACGCAGATGTTACACGCAGGCGGAGCTGCAGCTACACAACACTAAAGGCGATCCGGACAATCGATCGCATCGCGGTCATCCGTTGTGTGAGTACTGCAAGAAACGCTATTTGGACCGGGATGAGTTATTCCGACATCTGCGACGGGAGCACTATTTCTGTCACTTCTGCGACGCCGACGGCTGCAATGAATTCTACAATGACTATGCGGATCTGGCGGATCATTTCCGACAGGAACACTTCCTCTGCGAGGAGGGCAAGTGCGCCACCGAACAATTCGTCGGTGCCTTCCGTAACGAGATTGAGTACAAGGCGCACGTGGCCAACATTCACGGTAAGTCGCTCAACAAACAGCAGGTCAAGCAGACGCGTACCCTGCAACTGGAGATTACCTTAGGCCCGCGTGGACGTAGTGGGCAAACAGAGCAAGGAATAGCCAATATGCGGGCAAGGTAAGTTGGTTGCCATTCCAAGTGTGAAGCTCTCGCTATAGTCTGCAATCCTTACAGAAACGATGAGCAAATCGACTACCTAGATGATTTACCTTCGAGTAGTCAGCGCCATGTGAGCATCGATGCTGGTAATGAGGAACAGTTCCCGACATTGAGAGGTACATCCACAGCTCCCAACGTGTCTTTGGTGAGACCGCCTCCGCCCTCAATGCGCAATCTTAGTGGCACTTCGGGTCTTGCTCGAACAAAAGAAAACTTTCCGGCTCTTGGAGGGGGAAATGGAGCTGTTGTTGCTGGATCCACTGGTAACAGCATCGCCGCCAGAGCTGCGCAATCCCAGCATCCTGCGTCAGCTGTTTTCAAAAAACCTTCAAGTGCGGCCCCTAGCAGCCGGAACGGACCCCCGAGCAATGGCATGCTCTTGCACGTGTCTAACCGACCAGCAGCTGTGCCGAAAAAAACAGCCGCACCGCAGCTAGACTTCCCCGCTCTGCCGGGAAAGGGAAATAAGAAGAACCAACGAAACTTGGAAGAGGACATGTTGCCCAGCGGCTCTTCAGTGCCCATGACGAATATTTCAGCTAAACATCGGTCTCTGGCTGATGATTATGTGTCAGTTGCAAACCCAAGCAACTTTCAGAAACTTCAGATGGTACAAAAAGAGGAGGACGAGGCTAAGGCTCGCCAAGAGGCTTTGAAAAAGAGTGCGCCGAAGCTCACCTCATCGGAATTTCCTAGCTTGGGCCCAAGTGCCAGTGCCAATTCCAGTAGAGTAAATGCTGCAAGGCCAGTAAGTGGACCTGCTCCCGTGAACTGGGCAAAGTCAACTTCCGAGAAGAAGATGCGTGAGCTGGAAAACCGAAAGTCCAAGGTGGCCCCTGCCCCGTTTTTGCCAACTTCGACATCCAGACCCGCTCCCAAGGCAAATAATAACAATGTCCAGGAACAGCAGGCAAATAAAAAAGATAAAAAACCGAAGGAAAAGAAGAGCAACCAGGAGAACAATCAACCTAAGGCGGGCAAGCAGAAAGAGAAAAACAATAACAACGAACAAAAAACCAATGGAACTCCTCCTACGCCAATACGTACTCCACCCGGGTTAGGGTCTGGAGGACCGCTCAAACCACCACCTGGATTTGTTTCCAATGTGACTGTCAACTCGGTGGCTAAGCTGCCCAACAATCTCACGTTTACCAGTTCACTAGGAGAGTCCTATAATATTGTACCTAGCCCCTATACGTACACCGATCCACCAGATACCGGATTTAGAAATCAGGTAAGATAACTGCAATTACATAGCCTTTGATTTATGTAACATCTGCTTTTCATGTAGAAATTGGTGGATGAAGTCATGAACCAACTAAAGACCCCTGAGGCATTGAACGAATTTCGCACGCTGTCGTCCAAGTTCCGGGACGGATCCTGTTCTGGTCAAGCGTATTACGAGCACTGCCAGTGCGCCATGCAGAGTTCATTTTACAACTTGTTCCCGGAGCTGCTGGCCATGCTGCCAGACATAAGCAAGCAACAGGTTAGAGACTTTTGTTTAAAACGATTTTTGTTTATTAGGTAACCATTTCATTTTGGCTATTTCCAGGAACTTTATCTGGTGCACAAACAGCATATGAATAGCCTATCGCCCGCCCAGCGCAAATCCGTGCCCACACTTGAAGTTTGCAAAGTCTGCAAGCAGATTCTCATTACAGCCGACTTGGAGTGTCACCAGCAAGCGCATGAGCTGACCAAGAACTTTCCCGTTCTCGGAAGATCGCCTTCCAACTCGAGCCGAAACTAAGGCGTTCGAGTCTTAGGACAACAAAAGCTTTATCCATGTTTATTTTCTATGTATATACCGTTTCAATCAACCAGAAGCCATGTCCCTAGGTCATGTGAGTGGAAATCCGAATGTGTAATAGCCGAATTATATCACATATAGCGCACCCTATGAAGCAATCTGTTCGATGTGACTTAGTCCAGGCAGTAGAGTAGCAAGAGAGTACGAGCAACCTGTTAATCTGGGATGCGTTTTTAATATTTACGAGTGAGCTTGTGTGTAGCAAATGCCCGCCAATAAAGTTCAAATCAATCACATTTGAATTTCGCAATTATGTGGAATGATAATGCAACATGTTTGTTTTACTTGCTCTTCACACTTGGGAAGCCCCATTATCGAGTGGAAACATATGGTGGCCGGAGATTGGTTATCTCCAAATGGAAATTGGCTATGGGGGTCGAGTGATGCAGATTATTGGTCGGACATATAGAACACCTTGCTGCTTGTTATCTGCCCTTATCAATTGCGTTGTTTCCCGGAATTTAGGACCACAAACACTAATTTAATGCGCGGAGATTTCAGAGAATTGGGAAATGATTTCATTGGGTAACCAAATTGAAAGCTCTTCTGTCATTATATATATTTAATATACGGTACAGAAGTGAATCTAAAAGATTTTTTTAATTATAAATTAATCTTTTAATTATGTAACCAAATATATAGTTTCATTCATTAATCTAAAACATGTTCTTTAGGTTTACCCTCAACCTTTTCATATAAAGTTTAAATGTTGTTATTGTTTTTCTTTTAGTTCACTTTCAAGAAGGATATCTTAAAATATTTCATCAAGAACGTGTTTGAACTTAATTGCTTAATAGGCTTGAAAATAAAAGAGGTTTTTATTCAAAATAAGAATATGTTAATTTATCCAAAATCCGGATTTTTTCAAATTTGCATTTCGAAAGGCGCGCAAAGTTGCAGTAGTGTCGTTTGCTAAAAATATAAAAAGGTAAAAATAAAACATATTTAAATTATAAAGGGTAAAACAAATTTTATCGATAAACCAATACAAAAACAAAACCTTTTTAAATATTAAAAGGTATATTTCAAGACCGCAAAAAGTGGGTCACACTAAATTCCCAAGCAACAACAACAATGGACCGGCGAGAGGATGCCCTGCTACAGGTATTATTTATAACAGTATTTAAGCGCTTTTATTATTGGGTTCCCTTCGAAAACACTGCACGATAGGCCCTCGATAAAAATGCCAGCGAAACGGAGCGCTGGCAGGCCTTCAAGGCCGATAATGAAAGCACCATCCGGAATTTGGATATGTTCGCCAAGAATCTCAGTGTGGAGGTTATGGTGCCTATTGGACGAAAGGCCCTGATGCCTGGTGAGCTGATCCACACGAACGAACTTCTAGTGGGTCACTACGAGGGCTACTTCTCCGCATGTTCCGCCCACAAGGCAAAGGAGATTTGCCGACACCGCCTGAAACTCGCCGAGGAGCAGCTGAAAAAACTAGAAATCGAGTCCGATCTCTGGCAGTAAGTAGACCACATTAGAGGAGTTAGAAAATAATGTTTACATTTGCCCTACAGAAATAAACTTAATACCCCTTTGACGGAGGGGGCGGTTCCCAGAGGTGAACAGGTGGAAATTGTGGAGGATTTCAACGAGGAGTCCCACAGCAAGTGGATGACGGAGCACAGAGAGCGAGTGCGCCAGCAGAAGCAAATGGAGCGCATTAAAAGGCAGGCTGAACCTCCAGGAAGCGACGATGAAGTCCTACGAAAGTTAGAAGAACGGGAAATGATGGAGGAACTAGGTCTAGATCCTGATAATATCAACCAAGAGCAGCTACAAAATCTGCTGAATGAAGAACCGAAGGAATCAATTACAATTACATCCAAACCCCTAACCGAGGAACAGGAATCAGAACTCTGGAAGAAGCTGGAAGCTGCGGAGCAGAACGAAACCGAAGACTTAAGCACAGAAGCCGAAGAAAGCCTGAGAAGTACGGATAACTTAGTGCGTCAACTTATGTCTGGAGAAGCAGAAACTCTCTCTACTAAAAAACGAATTGGAGGGGTCAAAAAACCTTTGGAAATAGAGGAACGTGTACCAGACGATGACGATGATGATGGTGACCAGGAAGAAGTGGTACAAACCATACGGGAACAGATGTCCTTGCTGCCAAGCGAAGAGCGTGAGTCTTTCCTCAGGGACCAACTGCAGGTGCTCAAAGCGAAAATGAGAAAGATACAAAAGGTGAACTTTATAAGCGACGAGCTGATACACTTGATGAATGTCGTGGTTATGCTGGAGGATGATTTGCAGGACCTGATATTCGATCAGGAGCTGGAGGCCAGCGAGGAAGAAGAGGTCGATGAAAACGAACCCCCAGCGAGCCATACTGAGGAACCTAAATTAGTACCTGAAGCTAGCACAAACAAACGACGCATTTCATTTGCTCTTGCCGATGAAAAGTTGGAGTTTAGGCGGGAGGAAACCGTGGCGGAGATGTTGCCCAATGCTCGAAAGAACTCCAAGGATATTATAAAGCTGGACGAACCTGTCCAGGCACTGTCAGAGGTGCAAAAGGCAATAGTCAGTAAAAAGGACACTAAAACAAACTCGGATATCCTTCAAAAAGTAGAAAGAAACATTGAGTTCGTTAAAGAGAATCAGAGCGTCCAGGACTTTGATTTACTTAATCGAATTTTGGAAGAGTCCACTGGACTCATTAACACTTTACATATTAGTTTCACACATTCCAATGCCGTGCCTTCTCCCAAAACAGACCCAGATGATGCCATACCGGTTAGCCCAGCGGACTTTTATGATAAATATGAGAAGAACTTGTCACAGCGCAATCATTCGTTTCCTATTTATGTAAATGGCTTCGAGGGGGAGGAGCAGGTTAAAGTGCCCATTATGAGCGAGGCTTCACGTGGATCGGCCTATGAAGATCCTAGAAGTCAGGTAAGATCATTAAACATAGTCAACGGTAAATCCTAACGTTTTGATTCTGCAGTTCTCCAAAATAACTTATTCTGAAGAAAAGTCTTCTGAGACGGAAGCAATCACAAAGTCAATACTGCGAAATAAAGCGGCTGTGGAGTTGGAACCGCACGTCGTTAATCAGCAGCCGAAAAAGGGCAGGAAGGGACGGAAAAATAAGAAGAAGGAACGCACCCTAGAAGACGATCTGCGCGATATGAGTGCATACCAAAAGGTCATGCACGATCTCGTGGAGAAGGAGCCCACGGCACCGGAGCCTCTGCCGCAGGGCAAATTCATCGACTCGCATGCGCCCAAGAAGCGGGTTAGTCGCTTCAAGGCACAGCGGGACCTCAACAAAATGTAGCGAAGAGTAAAACTTCAGCCTGGAATTACTAGTATATTTGTTTAAGTTTAATGTGGATTTGTATTACAAACACAACGCAAACAATAAACAACTACTGGTGGGGTGTACATTAGACTTTAAATTAAACACTAGATACTAGTCCGCTGAAACGGAATTTATTTTTAAAACATTTACAGTAGTCTTCAATTTACATTAGATCAGAATGAGAGTTTTTGATTCAAAAATTCACTGCCATTGAAGGATCAAAGGCGCCTGCCGACGTGCGATCTCTTACACGCTACTTTAAAAGTACATATTAACAGCTAATACATACAATACGGACCCTAAGCATAAGTGTATCGGAATGCTCCGCTCTAGCACGAAACCAATCCTATTTTGTTCCTCCAAGGTCTACAGTGAAACTAAATGTCGGTCAGCAGGTCCTCCAAATCGGGGACGTATTGCAAACATTTTAAATGTCAAAGTCTTCCAGGCCGAGGAACTCTCTTTCTAGGGCGGCACCCATCATGTTCCATTCGCCGTCGTCCTCGTCTTCCGGGTCTTTCTCGCTATTCGAGTCGGAGCCAATCTCCAGGTCGGAGGGCAAATCCTCCCCTGGAATATTAAACGATTAACAAAGAGTCACAAAATTACTCAATGTGCTTATGACCTACCTCGTCGAAACTTGGCACTGGGCATCTCATCGTCATCATCCTCTTTCTCATTATTGTCATCGGCCTCCTCGTTTGAGCTTATGTCATATTCCAATACGTTTGGTGCTCCAATCATCACATCCTCGCTTCGCGTAAAGAAGTCATGAGCCCTATTCGAATTATCATCTTCGCGCTTCCTTTTCAACAGCTTCTTGTCCATTGGTGGATTTTCTTGAATTAAATATAATCGAATAATTTTTAAACAAAAATTACAGAAGGATATGACTCCAGTTAAGGTTAAGTATAATTTGTTAGAGCGGCTGGGTTTATGTATGTGATGCCCTTACCAAAGTTTACGGGTCCCTCGTCGCTAGACGAGTCTGACTCAAAGAATGTCTCGTAGTCTTTGTTCATCGACTCGATGTCCGCGTTGGTGAAGACTAGCAGGGGGTTAAGCGTTTCGCGAAAGTTTCCGCTTTGCTCCTCCTGTTGCTTGCTGCTCGATGCTGAGATCTCCGATCGCTCGCTGTAGTTAACCACGTGTTCCGGACTGTGACAATGGGCGGGTGGCTGGCGGCCTTTGTTGCGCACCTTGCGGTCTAATGGGAAGAGCTTCTCCTCAACGTGTTCCCAGCGCTCTGCGCAGGTCCACAACCAATTTGCATTGACTACCTTGATGGCGGCCTCCTTCTTCGCAGCATTTACCTTGTAGGTTCCCGCGTTAACCGCTACTAAATGGGTGATCTCCTTGCTAATATTAGGCTGGACATCGGCGCCCAGACTCTTGGCGATGAAGTAAGCTCGCGACTGCTCGAGCTTCATCTGCGTTGGTACCAGGCCAGAGAAAACCAGATTCTTGCCGCGTAGCACTTCGCACCGAATCTTCGGCACAATTACCTTTAGATCGGGTATCTCCGTGGTCTCGTCGTAGATGGCATAGAATCGCTTGTGAATGTTTCGCAGTATGACTTCCAGATAAAGCAGGTAATCGTCGGGGTCCTCAATCTCTATCTGCTTTTTGCCCTCAAGAGGTACTCGAATACTGGGAGTGCTCTTAGACGTGGTGGCCACATCCTCATCGGCCGTTGGGCTCTTTTCTTCTGGTGTAGTAGTAGATGAAGCAACTACATCGTCTTTTTGTTCCGACGTGACTTCCACATCGGCTTTTGTGCTTTCCTTGGAACTATCATCAATAATAACTACGTCTTCGCCATCACTGCCAGCCTTTTCAGCATCTGGTAAACCAGATGAACTGTCGTCTATGATCACGATTTCCTCTGTTAAAGTCTTGCCATTAACCTTGTCACTCTGCTCTTTAGGTGCCTCTGTCGCGCTCGAGGGATTAGAAATCGCAGCGTCCTTGCCGTCGTTCCCCATTTCAAATACGTCCACCGATTCCTCCTCATCTTTGCTTGTGCTTGAGACAGTATTGTCGCCCTTATCGGTGTCTTCTGCTTTGACATCGCTGCTGGGTAGCGGCTTGTCCTTGTCGTCCTTTTTCTCGGTTATTTCTGAAACAAATAAAAGATTACTAGATTTATTTAATAGTGACTTGGATGAAATACCCACCTTTAAAGTCGACGCCTTCGCCATCAAGTTCATGTTTAGACAAGCCCGGCGGCGCATTAATGTCACCCGTGTGTTGAAAGAAGTGGTAAGGCTTAACTTGAATCAAATTGGAGGCCATGTTCCACACATCTTCGCGGTCGTCGATGATACACACCATGGAATCGCCATTCGGAAATAGGGCTCTGTAATAATGATTTGTAATATATTGCTTGGAATATGGTTTCGATTAGTATTGAATGTTATATGAGCATGTTAAATAACTTTTTATAAGAAAATTACTTAATACGTTGTTTTTTAATCGAAACAAAAATTAATTTTCGGTCTGATAGATTGAAACCTACTTCAAGTTATCTGTCTTGCTGGTGGCATTGAAGCACTCATCTCTGGACAGAATTCTGTGCGAAAAGAATTTTCCCTGCGGGTCCAGGAGCTGGGCAATCATGTGCGCATAGTTTCGCGCTCCGAAGGTGCAGATGTGCAGCTCGTACAGCTGGGACATGCGCTCTAGAAACTCGGCGGTGCCGGGGCGCAGGCGCGTGTGGTACCATGGAGAATGTGGGCCGTATAGCTGGAAATGGTAGATGCCCTTGATGTTGTCTGGCACCGTATCGTTGGTGGTGTGGATTACAGTTTGGTCGAGATCGACGAGCAGAACCAGTTTCCTGTCGGCCAGCAGGCGTCGGGTGTCGTCGTGGCCGAGCTTCTGCGCCAGCTTTTGGGTGACCTTAAGATCGGGCATGGTATGAACCATGGGCACCGAAGCCTCCGACGTTTGTCCCTACAAATAAGGGTGTTAATTGGTAAGTATAGACTGCAGGGCGTGTGGACTATGTGTACTCACATTCTCGTTCTGACGCAAGTCAGCTCCACAGTCCGCGCACATGTCCTTGATAACCGTGGTGTGTATGCACTCGGACAACTCCAGAATGGCATCCCTAAAGGGCAGGCTCGGTTAGTGTGTATACGACTGCATAATTGCATTCCCCCACGCCCACTTGCCACCTGCCACCCACACCTCCCTAAAACTCACCCCTTCGACAACAGCTCCCCGTCCTTTCGGAGCCGCTTCTTTACCACACCGGAGCGCTGGGACTTGTACTTCTGGATAGAGGAGTCCTCGCCAGCCTTTCTCGGCTTTCCGTCATCGCCCACGGGCTGGTACAGAAACAGGATTTGGGCCGCCGACACGAACTGTCCCTCGCGAACCCGCCATTTATTGATTACCGCTCTCGTCTCGTTCTCTCCCAGAGCAGCTTTCAAAACAATGATGCCGCCACCGCTTGTCTTGTTGCTGCCACCGCTTCCTCCATTGCCTTCACCACCTCCGCCGCCATCGTCGCCATCCGCTAAGTTTTGCATCGTTGGGCTTGAGTTTTTATTTACAATACAATAAATTTGTTTAAATATCCGTGCCTTGTTGTGTTTGCAATTTGTGTGAATATTGCAAGCCATTCACACAAAAGCACCGCTTACGTTCGCTGTGGCCAAAAACAGCTGATTGGTTCTTCGGCGGCAAAATCTGTTCTATTTTCTGACGCTTTTTTCTTTGTTCCTCTGTGTTTCCACTTTGTTTAAGTTTTGTTTCAAATTATATGGTATTGTTTTTCATTTGAAATACCAATCATATTACAATTAGTGTACAAACAAATCAAAGACGTCTTCGATATCACGAGGCTTTATTTGTCCGGGTGTATCGACCAGTCTATCGTCCTCCGATATCATTGAATGCCTTGTGTTTTTGTTTACTAGTATAATATCATCCGCGGTATGAGTGAAAAAAGTAAGGACGATCTGAAGCGAAGTGCTCCGCAGGAGGAGGATGAGTCCCCAACAGTAGATGCTCCCGGTAAGGGACCTGAGGACGAGGAGGACACCTGGATTGGACCCATGCCTTCAGAGCAGAGCGCCCCTGTGCCAGCCAAGAAAAAGAAGGGTTTGTATAATCCTATTTTCCCGCTTTTCAGAGTGTAACTAATCAAGAAATATCATCAAAGTCCTTCCCTACGAACACATTTACTTGGAGAACCTTCCCAATGCCGAGAGCTATGAGAGAAGCTACATGCACCGCGATGTAATAACACATTTGGTTTGCACCAAGACGGACTTCGTGGTGACCGCCAGTCTGGATGGCCACATAAAGTTCTGGAAGAAGGGCGAGCTGGGCATAGAGTTTGTCAAGCATTTTCGAAGCCATCTAGGTGGGTATTTGCATTAAAATTAATGGATTTTCTGAACATTTAGAAAAAACTTTTAGTGCCTATCAAATCGCTGACCGCTAATGACAGTGGAACTCTGCTTTGCTCGGCGGCGACAGACCAGACGGCTAAGGTTTTCGACGTGGTCAACTTTGATATGATCAACATCATTCGTCTGGGCTATACGCCACAGTGCAGTGAGTGGATAAATGGTCCAGGCGATGCCGTGCAAGGACTGGCAATGTAAGCAGACATTACGACCCGATACTCTGGACTAATTATTGAACCCCTAACAGTTCTGATTCAGAAAGTAGCCGCGTACTCATATACGATGGACAGGGAGGAGGCGATGTCCTACATACTTTGGAGAAAATTCACTCGGCGCCTGTGGTGGCCATGTGCTTTAATGTGGCAATGGAAACAGTGATATCTGTGGATCGCAACGGCATTCTGGAATATTGGCAAAACTCCAAACACGATTACAGCTTTCCGCAGAGACTGGTCAACTTTGACTCCAAACTGGACACAAGTATAGTTTCTAAATGAAATCTACTTATCTCATATTGAACTAAAAGTTTTATTCTAATAGGCCTTTTTGAGTTCGCCAAGCAAAAGACCCAAGTCACTGGCTTGGCTACCACGCCTGATGGCAAGCGCTTTGCCGCCATTTCCACAGATAGAAAAGTTCGCGTGTTTCAGTTCAATACGGGCAAGTTAATCCGTGTATTTGATGAAGCCCTTGCCACTTACACCCAAATGCAGCAGACCCAGCACGCCCTACCCAACATGGAATTTGGCAGAAGGTCTACTTTTTTACGTTTGTATTTACTTGTGTACTAAACGTATAACTTTTACAGAATGGCTGCAGAGCGAGATTTGGAGAAAACTGCTCAAAATACAACGCTCAACATTCTATTCGATAGCACTGGAAACTTTTTACTATATCCTACGATGCTGGGCATTAAGGTGATCAATGTCGTAACAAATCGCTGCGTTACTATTCTAGGCAAAACGGATAACATAAGGCCCTTGCAGGTAGCCCTTTTTCAAGGAAGGATCAAACGTCAAAAAGCTGCCATAACAATGGAGCAGGAGGCTAGTGAAAATCCTGCTCTACAGAATATTTTGAATGATCCTACAGCCTTTTGCACTGCCTACAAGTTAGTGATTAAAATGCCTATAGTGCAATGGTTTATCATTAATAACCTTATATAATTTTTATTAGAAAAAATCGCTTCTACCTGTTCAGCAGAAGACTTCCCTCGGATCTGCAAGATGTCGATCGTGACATATTCAACGAGAAGCCCTCGAAGGAGGACATTATCGCGGTGCCAGAGGCCACAGGTATTCGGTCATGACTTAACTAATTGTATATCGTTTACTAACCACTAACCAATTTCTTATTGCACGCTAACAATATTTAAAGATGAAGGTTATTTCTATCAGATCTTTCAGTAATTTAAGAATTTCCACAATTTAATACCAATTAATTTATCTATTCTAGTTGTACAACGTATTTACGAGAACGTGGTGCTCCACACCACAAAAGGTGATGTCCATATGAAGTTGTTCTTCAAGGAGGTTCCGAAAACCGTTGAGAACTTTTGTGTTCATGCGAAAAACGGGTATGATTTTTGTTAAGAAAATGATTTAATTAAGAGATACAAATTGTAAGAACACCATTTTAATAGGTACTATAACGGCCACATATTCCATCGCGTGATCAAGGGCTTCATGGTGCAGACTGGCGATCCCACAGGAACGGGTACGGGCGGCAAGTCAATTTGGGGAAACGATTTTAAAGACGAATTCGTACCGAGTTTAAAGCACGATCGTCCCTATACGGTTAGCATGGCTAATGCTGGACCAAATACAAATGGCAGTCAGTTTTTCATAACAGTCTTGCCCACGGTAAGGATATATTCTTTGGTTTTAATTTTTTTTATTAATGAGTTCTCATTTATAGCCTTGGCTCGACAACAAGCATACGGTTTTCGGTCGAGTTTATCGCGGCATGGAAGTGGTTCTCAACATTTGCAATTCAAAGGCGAATCCAAAGACAGACAAGCCTTACGATGACATTAAAATAATTTCAATACACTTAAGTAATTAAGTAGATATTTTAAATACAAGTAAATGAACTTAAAATTCAAATGTTTTTGGAACCGCTCTTTAAAGAATTTCGGTATTTTTATATTTGGTACTTGGTATTTTTGCGAAATCCATGCTCTCCACACTAAACAGCTGTTTTGTTTTCGCATTCGGGGTGTTCCTTTTGTTCAGATAGTGTAATTAATTAAAACCCAAAAAACAAAACATTAAGAAAATAATAAACCGGAAATGTACCAGAAGTAGGGCCAGACGATAGTTTTAAACAATAAATAGGGCTCAACGGAAATAAGATTAAAGCTATTCGAATTATGAGGGTTCTTGCAGTGTGATATGATACGATTTGTTTATGGCTGCGAAAAAACAAAGAACTAAGCTGACGAGTCACTTGTGCGTATCGATAATCTATAACTGTCAATAATCTATAACTAGAAAAGCGCCTGCTCCAGATTTGAAACCTAGTTTTGGGGATAGCAACGTACATTTTGATAGCAGTCAAGGTATAGGTACATAAGCATATGTATAGGTTGGCATAGTTTATTATCTGCAATTCGGAAATTTCGAGTTAGTCATAGGCTGCTTAAAATCCTTTATTCCCGATTTGTCAGCTAATATAAATCGGTTTCGCTGTTTAAGAGATGAGCTAAGTTAAGAAAAAGAGCCTTGCCATGTCTCATATGGATCCAAGTGATGTCCGTAGCACCGCCCAGCTCATTTTATCCAATGCTCGGCAGGGAAATACCGCCTATAACATGCAATATGATATGTGTGAGCATTCCATTAGTTTTATACGCGTTTTATGTATAAAGTTCAAAGATTTCCATACGATTTCAGCTAGAGCACATTCCATCAACCTGATAACAGAGGACTTCTTAGCCGGCTACATGCAGGATGGCAGGATGTCCGTGGTGCGCCGATTTTTCTGCCTCTTCGTTACATTCGACTTGGTATTTGTATCCCTGCTCTGGCTTATTTGCATTGTGGTATGTTAAAAAGAATGTTTAATGAGAAATGAAATTCACCGAAACACTTTGCTTTACAGATCAACGGTGACAATATATTCACTGCCTTCCACAAACAGATCGTGGAGTACACCATCTACAAATCGCTCTTTGATGTCGTGGTCATCGCCATCTGCCGCTTCGTGGTTCTCATCTTTTTCTATGCGATGCTGTATATCAATCACTGGTCCATCATAGCGGTGAGATTGTTTCTCCTATTCGATTAGTGAAAAGTGGCACTACATAATTCAAATTTATTTGGTTTTGCAGCTCTCAACAAGTGGGTCTTGTTTGTTCCTCATCTCCAAGGTGTTTGTGTTTGACGTAAGACTTGTAAAACCTATCAGTCGATTCCACTAGTGAATTATTCTCATTTTAGTGGCTGGATTCTAAGCAACAAGTATTCGAAGTCATCCTTATAATAACCTCGTTTATACTGGCTTGGGGAGAAGCATGGTTTCTGGATTGTAGAGTAATCCCTCAAGAACGTCATGCCCAACACTATTTCCGAAGTAAGATCAGGGATAAGAACAGCTATATCAGATTGCATATAAATCGAGTTTTATTCTTAAGCTATGACCTCAAATGATCGCACCCCTATGGATCAGCCGCCTATTTTGATAGAGCACGAACGACCTCCGCAAAGTGTTACTGACTTCTATTCGCCCATGGACACGGCTCGCCATTCGGATGAGGAGGACGAAGAGGTAAGCTATTCATGTATGCGCATTCTTAAGTCTGTACAGAATAAGAAAGTAAGTCTGGTGACTATATAAGAGGCTGGCCGAGTCATTGTCTTACCTTTGATCAAAAGAGTCTGCTAAGATGATATCGGTACATTTTAAGATTTACCTGCTTTACTAATCTTTCTCATTTGTTCGGATTTCAGGATGAAGAGTTCAACCAAATGGGCTTGGATTGCCTGCGAAAAGCCTATGAAATCATTGAATCCAGTGACTGGAAGGTGGAAAAGGTCACCCAAAAAGGCGACACGATTCACAGCACTCAGCGGGAAAAGATTGGAAAGATCTATAAGCTGACGGTTAGTTAGAACAAACAATTACTTTATATCAATTTCCTTCTAATTTGTACTATCCGCAGGCGCGCATCAAGTACCCCGCAAAGGCGCTGATGGAAGATTTATTCTATCGCATTGAAGACTGCCCCAAGTGGAATCCTGCTCTTCTAGAGTCCAAAATAGTGCGGGTAATTAGGCATTTTAAGTCATAACAGGAAATCTCGCATAATAGTGTGTATTTACTACAGAAAATCAACTCCTACACCGATATAACCTATCAGGTGTCTGTCGGCGGAGGAGGTGGCATTGTGAAAAGCCGTGATTTTGTGAACCTGCGATCGTGTCGTCTCTTCTATAATGGGAAAATCTGCGATGACGATGAAGCGGCTGAACTGAGTAGTGACGATGGAAGCAGCAGTTTAAATCGCTCCTGCGAGGGCAGTGTAAGCACGATTTCTGATGGTGATTCGCACACCCCACTGCTGCCTAGCAGCGTGTCCAGTTGTAAGGCTACGTTTCCGAGCTCATCCAAGGGAGCCCCAGCTGCCTTCGATACGCTGGGCAACAGTTTGGGTGCCAAGAGCTTGGGTCCCATTGTAAACTTTGAGGATGAGCCGCCACCATTAGATCAAGACGAGTTCGAGGACGCAAAGGACAAGGTTGATGGCGAAGCGGAGAACATGACAAAACCAAATATACCCAGCGTGGGTAAGACCAAGGACAAAGTTTGGGTTACCTCGGCAATTAGTGTGCAATATGCAGGGGTTCCACCCTCATCCAAATACACAAGGTCGGTTCGTTGATTTCGAAACTAGTTGAAAGTAAACACAAACACTTGTATCTTGAAATTGCAGAGGTCAGAATATTGTCAGCGGCTTTGCCTTTCGTGAGATCGTTGGGAAGACTGATAGCTGCATTGTAGAATGGGTGCTTTGTTTGGACCTCAAGGGCTATATTCCTCGCTATGTTCTGGATGCAGTAAGTTCTGAAATCCTCTTTGTAAATCCAGCTTACTCGATGATTAAATGTATTTAGGCTCTCACTTCCTCCATGACCGAGTACATAACCAACCTGCGTAAGCATGTCAACGAACTGAGGCAACGGAGGCGTGCCCGAGTCCCCAGGTCGCACTAGGAAATCAACAAACTGTATTTTACTTTTAATCCCATTGTATCTCAAGCTGTCCGATTGCTGTCCGTAGCCAGGTATCTATTAGAATATTTCAAAAAATTTGAAGCAGGATAGCAAATTCAGTGCTGTAAGTTTATTGAGTATTGTATGTATATGTATGGCATAAGTTCTATGTACCTATATGCACGGCTTACACTATAAATTTTTTACATGACTTTTCTAACGTCCGGCATTTTCCCATTTAGTCGCAAGAGCAGGCGCACCACCTGCTCATCTGTCGCTGGTGCGTTAGTCGTAAGCTCGATATCTGTTCTTGGAGGCGGAGTCGCAGGGCGTGGTCCTATTTGCTGTCGTTCTGGGGAAACCACATGGGACACGCCTCCATGGCCACCTCGCAAACAGCGCTCATCTTGGCGCTGTCGTAGTCTGGATGGGGATATGAAAATGTCTATCGAACCTTATCCAGATCACTGATTGGAAGCTTACCTAGGCTGTTGCGTTTGCCAAAGATGCTGCCATTGAAGGGAGGCTTCCGGTACGCTGCCTCGCTTGAGCCCAAAAGAATGGCTGTGACCAGGATGGTGACCAGTAGCAGAGTGAGGGTGAATCGGAGAGCCATCTTGCAGTTTTCAGTAAACGTTGTGGGCAGTGTGCAAAGGCTGGTCTAAGCGCTGTTAGATATCGGATGCTTCTGTGCCAACCAAAGCGGAATCCCCGACTTTTATACCCGCTAACCGAGTAGAAGGATGTAGCCTAATCGAGTTACACCCGGCTAATTGAAACGAGATTGCTTGGGGACGTGTACGAGTGAGACCATAAAATGTAATTACATTCCACTTATTTACATTGCTGTACTATGCTTAAGTTAGATGTGTACAAGGGCTAGACGGGCTCACGTCTTCGCATTCCATTCAAGCACCTTGTTGAACTCCTTCTCGCCGAATCCTATGGCCGCCGACTGCTCTAGGCAGCTGGTTTGCCGCTTTAGGTTGTCGATCATGTAGAGCTGCTTCTTGTAGGCGTTGAGCAGGTCACCCCGTTGCCGCTTCAGGGCCCGGATCCGGCTGTCTCGTTGCTTCAGCTCCTTTCGCTGCACCTCCAACTGGTCGCGTTGCTCCTCGCGTAGTTGTTTGAGTTCCAGACGAGCCGTATCTGCATCCTCCTGGGTTCGAGACAGTCGGTTCTCCAGGTTCATGGTCGTCTGCCTGGACACCTTGGCATCTCGCTTTAGCTGTTCTAGCTCCCGTTGCTGGGTGGTGAAGTCCTGTTGGCGCTCCTTTTGCCGTCGGTTGGCGTCCTCGATTTGCCGCTCGGCCCGCATAAGTTGCTCAGAGAGATGCTTATTGGAGCTCATCGTCTGGTCGCGCTGGTTCTCCAATTTGCGCTGCGCTTCCAGAGCCAATTCAAGCTGCTCCTTTTGGCGGGTCAACTCGCCGGCATGATGGGCGTGGTCTTCCTCGAGAATAGCCACCTTGGCTTTGAGGAATCTTTAAACAGAAACGGGGTTTCTTAATAAGTAAATTAAATTTATTTCGGTTCTCAACTTACTTGATGAAGTTGTCCTTGGTGACCTGCTTCTTGACCTGGCCATTGACAACGGTTGTGCTCTCCCGCTTCTGGGTGACTTCCACTTCGACGACGTCCCGTTTCCGGGCTGCAAGATCGGCGTCGTTGCGCAGCAGTTCGTCTAATGAAGGACTCTCGCTGAAGTTTGGGTTCCGGTACTTGACATACGTAGCGGTCTTACTGCTCACATCCCGCGTGAAGGTGCTGAACCTGGATACCGTGCCGGTAGTGGGAGAGCTGGGGCCGGCCGGGGACTTGGTGTGCTTCCAATCGGGTGCCTTGGACTTGGTCAGCAGACTCGTATCGGGCAGCGGCGATGTGGTTACTGCACGGGCTGAAGCAACTACATCTCTGCCGGGTGAAGTTTTCGCTGGAGTCTTCATTGGAGCCGTGGCAACCACCTTTTTCCGGAGCAGGCTGCTCGGTCCCTTCTGCTTCTGGAAGGTGGCATATCGTGGCACAGTCACTGCGCAAGCGGGCGGTGATCCTTTCGCCGGATACATGGCTTCTGCGGCCGAAGTCAGGGTCAGAAGGTTGAGTTCCTGGTTAATTTTAAACAACTCCTTCTCGCGGGACAAGAGTTCGGCCATAACGAAGAGTCAATACGAAGAAAGAGTCTGAATTGCTAGCAATAATTCTGATTCTGATTTGGCAAGAGACCTGAACGAACTACACACATTGAATTTTTCTCAGATTTAACTTGCTGCGCTCTCCACACGGCTATATCTAAGCTGATATAATAAATTCGTTTGAAGTAAATACATTTTCCGGACGCCAAACAGTGACAGTTACCCCTGGCTACCTAGTCTTGGCGCCCCGGCCGGCATTTGGGAATTGGCCGGGTCCCTTTGGAAGTCCTACTCCTGTTGCTGTCTGACGGGGTGGTTTTTCGGTTGTTTGTTTGTCCCCCAGGCGGCTGTTGCTTGGGCTGGCCCCTCTGGAAGTTTCTTGCGGATTGCGGAAGTCCATACACCCCGGCCAGAGTGGGCGTTGAAGTTCACACAAAAGATAGTCAATGGCGTGGGTTGCCTATGCCAGCACTTTTCAGAATTGGAATGGCGTAACTGATTTATAAATCTGATTTTATAAGAGTCTCAGATGGAATTGAAATAAAGAAATATATAAATATTTTATAATTCTATAAGAAGTTGTAATACAACTTCTACCTTTTCAAGGAATTTACCTGTTTCCAATATAACAATATAACGATCAATATGATTAGATGTGGTAATTGTACCAGAATTCTCTCACGTCTCAAAAGAATAACTCCTCTTTAACCAAATTTCCCTACTCTTTAGAATCGAAAAGTGAAAAAGAAGAACACGCATAATAATCATAAATATTGGTTTAACTTAAAGTATAAACAGAAACGCGCGACTTCAAGGGAAAGACGGCCGAACATGACAGCAGTCCGAGGCCTTTGAGGTGTCACAGCTACCTGTACTCGTACCTGAGTTTCCTAGGGTGCAGGGTGATTCTGCTGGGTTCACAGAATCTAAATGCAAGTTCAAGATTTATGTGCTACCGTAGCAAGACAATGAAGATTTGTCCCACAGTGAGAGGTTGATCCGACCAATCAGCCTAAGCAGTGGCTATATATGCCGTCATCAAGGTGTTCTGGTGACAGCCCACACATGGGCCATAATTACAGCTGGTGTGTTGCCAAGTTTGAGCAGAACCTGACTTCGGGCTGCAAGAGCACAGCTGTGGCCAAAAGCATGACGCTGGTATGGATAGGTTTTAAGAAGCACTTTAAAACACAAGGATATTTCGAAATTGAGTCTTTAGGCCTATAACTTAAACTCTTTCTTAGCAAAAAAGTTCATAAATATAGCACATAATATCTTCAGAAATTAACTAAAATAAAACGAAAATATTTTTAATGTTTTAGTTGTTTAGATTTTTAATTTTCATTATGTTAATATTAACCGAAGGCTTTTTTCAGTGTAGACTTGCGATATGGGATGACCACCGCCCGACCCTCTAATTATGCCGCACTCATTAGAAAGACAATCTGGACCCGTAGGTGTATTAAAGGGACCCAGCGGAGCGTGGCCGTCAGTCCCGCCGATCATCAAGTGCAGTCCAACTGGACGACGTGTTACGGGTGAAAAACGGGCAGCGACACCAAGACGACCGCAAACAGCAGCAATACCTGGGACACTTACTACGAGTAGACAATAGTGAAGAGCTCGTTTTAAGAGCGGGACTATACTTGCCAATTGTTCCGAAAACCCCAGAGCGGCGCTACTCCGAATCTTGGCAAGACCGGTTGTGGGTCCGCCGTCTTGGCGTGTTCGTCGGAGTGCGAGCGTTTCGGCCAGTCAGTCTTGGCCAGGTTGGTGTGCGAGACACATCCACTACGCTCAACGAACCTCGATCCCATACGATCCGATTCGTTTCGATTCCGAATCGTGCGTGAGTTCCTCAAGTTAGCTCAGTTCTACGGTTAGAACTCCGTTTACCCGGTTCTGATTGGATCGTGCAAACGGATTTGGAACGGCTTCCCGTGGTTGAAAAGATTTTCGATTGGGTTTCCGAGATTTGAAATTTGAAATAGTTGCGGTTGTTGCTGTTGTGTGATATTTTTGTCGTGTTTTTCTCTGATTGTTGTTGCCCTTGGGAAGCTATTAAGCTCGACGGGTGGTTGAACCGGGCCAGCAAATACGTGCTGAATGATTTGTGAATCTTTTGAATATTTCGCGATGTTTTCTGGGGAAGTGTAAAAGTGACGGAAAGTTTGTTGCTTCAGTCTTTTGTGTTGAGACGGCGTAATAGCCACAGCGACAGCAGCAGCAGCAGCAACAACAGCTCCGATTATTTGCCACAATTGGCCAAAGAGCCGCTCTTTCCGACTCTCTGGCTGCTTTTGGCCAACTCTTAAATGTGCAATTCCCGCAGCGTTAACATGTAAAACGAGTGTTGGCCACAAAACGAAATAATTATTGAGGAAGCCCGCAAAAAAGTCCGGCAAGGAAGTATACAAAAACCATCAAACTAATGTGAAACCAAAATTTCATAAAAATATTTAAAAATCATCATCGTTCCGGGCAACCAGTTAAAAGCATAGCAAAGTCGCAAAACAACGGACACATAACAAATTGGATTACGCAAAAAGGGCGAAGTTGGATAGAGGTGAGTGTTGGGTGTCGTGGAGCTGGCCAAAAACCAGAAAACCGCAAAGAGAAACAGTTAAAATCAGGCAGAAAATCGAAGTTTGTGCCGTTTGCAAAAACAAAACCGAAACAGCCTCAAAAGATGACTTCATAAATCGCCCGACGCTGTGGATGTGCCAAAAATCCATCAGCCAAACCGGTTAGCTTCAGTTCGCCTCGCTCGAAATTTCAAATTCACGGAATACCTGTACTTGGGGGAATACATTGAAGAAGCACTGCAATCTGTTTTCTGTGCAAATTAAATGGGCTTTATCTGCGTTTCGTCGTCCGAAAAACTGTCCTCATCTGCCCGGAGATCTGAACCTGTTTGCCAAGGTTGGCTGTGGCCAAAATTGGCTGCCAAGTTCGCAGCCTGTTGCATCATCTGGGGACACAAATATGGTTGGGATGGGACAAGTTATTTGTATAACCACATCACGGACATCCGTCATGCATCCGCTTTTCCCGATTCCCAGTACCCAGTTTTCCATACCCATTCAGGGATGTGCAGCGCATAAGCAATGTGTCATCGGGGTCTTGGAATCCCAGGTCCATTCACATTGTCCACACATTGTGTGCGGCCATTATAAGCCAGAATCAGTTGCTAATTGGCTGACCCAACAATCCCCACCAAAGGTTGGGCTCAAATTCTTCTCCTTGTGGATCTTTTAGCACTTCCATGGATCACACAGGGCCATAATTATGTTCGTTTCCATTGTGTACGAGTTGGCGTCTAAAGAAGCAATTAGAAAAGTTGATTAATGGAGAGATGGAGGCTTCAACCCATCCCGATCCAGCCCGACACTTGCATCATCCATAGGGTATGGGTATGGGAATGGGAACCTTTCCCTTTTCGGTGATGCATGGCCTATTAATTGGTTAATTTGTGGTTTGTTAGCCATCAAAATATTGTTGTCTGGCCAATATAATGGTCTTCATCTGCGTTGAATGCAACGCCTTGCCTAGTGAATTATGGCTGTTCGGATCTTTGACTTCTGTTGGATATTTCCCAGTTCTCTGGCATTCTCAGAAAGCTTCGAGTTTGAGGAACGCCAACGCAAGCGTAAAATTTGTATAATTAAAAGGCGAATCCGCGCTCGAGCTGCTCGAATACCAGTTTTCTTACTCAGTGTGTAGTTAACTTGTTTATATAACAGCCAGACAACAACTCGGAGTGACCTTGAAGCAGGCACAAAATAAAATAAAGACGGAAAATATGATTGTATGGAGAATTTTGTGATATTTAGCTGCTGGGCGATGTGCTTGCGCATTTAAGTAAGAAAAATGAATACAAATGGCGGATTTTCGGGGGTTCATGAACCAAGCTGAAAAATGCGTGTGGGCTTGCGAAAAGGTGTGTTGATTGATTTATAATCTCCCGCCGAAGAACTGACAAAGAAAGCACCGAAAATGGTGAGTTCATTCAACCAAACTAAGACCTTTCAGCGTTAGATTTGATTTGATTTACAGTTGAAACGAAAGACTTAGGCAACGAACTTGCCGATTGCATTACTCATACGGCACGTTGGCGCTCGCCACTAATTATGCAAAAACCCAAAATACTAGCGAAAGGCGCGCCCGAACCCCAGCCGTGAGTCACAGACCGTTGTTGCTCTCTGGCCTGGACAATGTGCATTGGATTTCTTGTTTGTTTTGGCCAAAATGAAAAGCCGTCTGGCTAGTTGATTCGCCGCTCCACTCCTCCGCCTCCCCCGCCACCGTTCGTGAATTAAATCAACATTGGCAAGCCAAGCGGACTTAAATGCAGGCTTTTACCTTAGACCAACCCCACGCAAAAACCCCGCGACTGCAGTTGGATACGAGTTTGCTCGATTCATTCGGAAACACTTTCAAATCCAAGCCTTAAATGGGGTGTGGCAGGCCTAGACTTTTGAACTGTTTTAAGTTTGCCTGTGCTGTAAGTGGCGAGAATTATATTCTGGTAAACCTTTCCAAGAGTGTAATCTAATCCAGAAAATGTTCTCACCTTTTTGGGTTTCTTGGCTCATTAGGTTCAAGAATGAGATCATTCATTCTTCATACACTTTTCTTCAGGCCACATCCTCCTGAAAAGGGGAGAGGGAAACTTGGATAAAGTTATTATGAGAAACATGAGGTCAGCCCAGGCTGGCAGTAATTAGTAAGGCCCGCTCCTCTGGCTCATCAGCAGATTCCCTCATCAAGACCAAGTATCTGCAGTTAAAATAACCCTCAATAAATGAGTTTTAATGACGAATTAGGGCCAAGCTTAGCTGGTCGACCAGCAGTAGCCGCTGCCAATGTCGCTGGGAGCCTCCATTTTAAGTACTTCTAGACGCGAAACCCGCCGCCAAAGCCAAAACGGAACTACAAAACTAGTTTTGGCTGTGCCTTGTAGGTAAAATGAGAAAAAACTAAACAGCCGGTAACAATGGGCGCCAGTAAAGAGGCAAAAAGCCAAAGCAAAAAGCAAAAGGCGCAAAGTAAATGGCTAAAACTGAAATATTGTAGACCCGGCTGATAAAAATCAAACACATTCATGTCTAGAGCTTAGCTCAAGTCACGTTCAATGCGAATTTCTTTGCCGTTTGTTTCGTGTTTTTACTTATTTTTTGTGGCAAACAAAAAATAGCCGCAAAGCCTGTAAGCCACAAAAATTAGGCGTCAAAATGAGAGAGAGAAATATATTTAGGCTGAGCCGCGGGCAGGCCAGTTGTGGGTGTCCAATCAGTGGTTTGCATATTGCCAGTCAGCCAGTCGGTCCGCCAGTTAGTTCGAGCCAAATTGGACATCTTGACAAATCGCAGAGAAGCGAGTCGTTTGCAGAGAACTTACATAACACGACAGCAGAAATACGCAACGGATCGGCTAGTTTTTGGTCCTAAACCCCAAACTTGGTTCGCACAATGTGTGGCAAGACTATGATGTCTCCACGCTCCAGTTTAATGCGTGTGGCAACAACCAGGTCAGCGCATTTTGGCCAAGAAGGTGGGGTTGCGTTTTCGAAGTCTCTAAAGGCCGCTAATGATGTGCGATTTTCAAATTCTCACATTGTCTTAATGGGCAATTGTCCATTAGAGACCCAGCTGCCGTTGGGCCAATCTGTGAAATCTATAAACGGAATCGGCGTTGGCGTTTATTGCAATTGGCCAACAGCAAATTAAAGCATTGTTGGCTCATTTGAGGCGAACAAAGGCGGCGGCGAGACAATTGCATTGACCTTGAGGCAATCGACGGGTAAAATAAAGTTCGTTCCGATCCGTTGACTTTCGGAAGTGTGGCCGACCTGGCTAGCTACCTGGCTACCAGGCTACCAGTCTACCTGGCCATCAATCCCCAATCAAATGCCAGCTAATTGCTGGATCTGAAATTAAAAATTCTAATTTTGAAAAACAAAAACAGAGCCTGCATACACAAGCAGGTGAAAGTCGATGCCTCAATTGCCATTGATCTCCGACGCTTGATTAGCCCCAGCCCGCTGGCCAACTAGAAGTTTGTCTTGGGTAAAAGTAAAAGCTAAGCCCGAAGTCTGGCAATAAAGCCGGCTGACCTCATTCGGGCCAATATAGCCAAAGCTGCCCTTTTTGTTCGACTCGTTAATTGCCGTCATTAAGAACAATGCGGGACAATCGCACAATGCATCTTCGGAGCGGGTCTTTGGTTTTGGTCTTTACTCTTTTGGCTTTGGGCTGCAAGGCCCTAACCCGCCCCAACTTACTTTCTACGCCAGCGGAATTGCAGCGAAATTAGCTCTACGCATCGCTATGCTACACTGGGAAAAAATAGATACTCGTATTCGATGGCTAAGGTCATCGAGCAGACGGGAAATCTTTCATCTGACAGCTTTATCGATGTTCCGCAGAAACATATTTTTATTTCCATCAAATGAATATGTAAATTCATCAATTTGGTCGCCATAACCTGATATTATCATGTCAATTTTTCTTTCTGTGTGATTGATCACACCAGAGTCGAGAGATGTACGCCGGAGATTTCCCATTTTAATGGCAAACCGCAACCGAAAGTTGGTAGAACCCCCTCCGTCATCATGCTAGTTCCAAATGGGTCAGCCACGTTAGTGAGTTGTGGCTCAAATCGCTGGCACTGTGTGAGTTTGTGTGCTTAGCACAGTTTTTTGTCTGATTTTGCCATGGCCTTTGGCAATTCAGATTGGAACCAGATCTGGCAGCTAGCGATGGGAGTCGTCAGATATTCTAATTGACTGGCTTCCCGAGATCTCAGCGTTTTCTAAAGGTTCCCATGTGCGCGGCTTGATTAATGTGGTTCACCCAGATACGCTGATCGATCTGCGGGAGGTCCGTTCCCTTTAATTACTCACTTCATTAGGGATTAGTTTCGTCGGCCCAAAACATTTACGTCGTCATTAAGATTTAATTTTCAAAAACTTAACTTGGGCGCAATTTAACGCACAGTTACGCGCTTTTCCACACTTTTCGCGGTTTTCCCAACAGTTTCGCTCAGGCAGAAAGCTGTAAAGTTAAGTGTGCATTTCAAAACTATTTTTGCATACCCTCGCCGGGTATTTAAAAGCAAATAAACTACGGGAAAATGGAAACACGCGAGGTCATTTAGCCGCCACATTAACAGAGCACACACTCCAATGAAACTGCAATTGTTTAAACAAAACAAAATAAACACACAACTTTGTTGGCTCGACAGGCACGCAAAACCGAAAACCCATTTAATTTATTCAGATGCACGGCCCATTTTGTTGGTTTTCGGTCTTACCTCGTGTTTGCTTAGTTATTTCGGTTATTTCGGAGCTATTTGCTCTGGGAAATGTGTGTCAAATGAATTCAAATCGACACTTGGAGCTATCCGTTACAAGCGAATGCACACGATTGATTGGGCAGTGAATCATCGTTGCGTAATTTGTATTCTTGGCCAGGGTTCTGAGCCTCCGTGGGCAGAATGACAAGTGGAGGAAATGGCCTGCAGCTGCAGGAAATGCTGTCTTGCAGAGAGAGAAATGGAGATTTATATATAGATTGTTTTCTGATATGGATCGGTTTCTTCCCGTGTGGTTGCCATAGAAACATCGTTTCATTATAGCCAAAAATATCTGTAATTTGTGCCCCCATTCGATGCAATTTCCCTTATCACCGATGAACGTAATTGAAGGTCAGTTTGCCATTTCCACTGGGCATTCGGCATCATGTTTTGTTTTCCTTCGCTCGTTTTGGCTCGAACTGGGTAACGAGAGCAGATGCCAATCAAAGTCATTATTCATAATGTTCGTTGGCGTGCCTCGCCGCATTTTTCCAACCAGCTTTTTGCCTGCATGAGGTGCGTTTTCAATTCCGAACTTTTTAACTTTTTACCTGGCAGCCTCGGTTAGAGCCGCTTGCGTCATTTCGCTAATTTTAGCTAATTTATTGCAATGCCAGTTGAAGTACGTTTGTGGGATGTTGTTGGCCGGCGTCAGTTGGCAATTTGCATTCGGCTCTAAGCCACGTTTGTCTGCTCTACGGGCTGCTTGAGCCGTTTGGCGTTGGGTGTTCAGGAAGTGTGGGTCTCCAGCTTTGACAAATTGATGTGTGCTCACTGCATAATGCCAACAATCTATCAATTTCAAGCGATATCTATTGACCCAATTCCGTGCTCCTCCCCGATTCGCCGGCGAACCAATTTCAATAACAACCAGACTCCCAACGGGATTACACCTCTTGGATAATAACCGGCCGTATCTCGGAGTCTGTATCTTGATTCGGGGTGAGTGGATGTGGATGTGGATGTGGATGGAACGGAGTCGAGTGCTGGTCTTGTGACATCATCGCCGAGTGTGTTGCCGTGAATGAAATGTGTTGGCAGCGTCAGCGGTAACAACAAATCATTATCGCCTCTCGGCCATCAGTGTAAGCCGCATTTTGTTGTCTTACGACGCCCGAGACAATGATCAGCTTGCACGGGGAAAATGTGATCTCATTTCGGCTATCGACTGGGTGGCATTCCGAACCGAAAACGTTCCTCAATTTGGATTTATTTCTGGTGTTGGGTTAAAGACTAGCAAACATAACTATTTAACATAAATTTATATATTTTCTTGGTCGTGAGTTCAACTTCTTTTCTGACCAAGCAGTGCTATTAATTTATGATTAAAAAATATGTAATTTTAGTTTGGTTTTCATATATTGTTTTCCGTGTATTGATCACTTTGAAAATGTCTTCCTGGCCTGGCCGTGACTCGCCTGCGAAGTTCTCACCGATCGGCAGGAAGTTGAAAAGCGTTTGTCACGGGTTATTGATATGCGCTTAATATCTCGTAATGCAGCAGCTTCTGTTGCCAAGAAAGAGCCAGAGGAGCGGAAACCCGAGTCATGATGCCATGAGTTGCAGTTGGCGGATGTTTGTTTGCTCTGCGCTCGATCGCTGGCATCTCCGAGATGTGGAATCTCGCCGTGAGCCTCCTCCCTTGAGTGGCAGGTACCACTCTGTGCCGATGTTAACCCATTTGCAATAAGCCAGCACGCGAACCGAAATTCGGCTGTGTTGACTTGACCCATTTGCAAGCAGAAAGTTTGCCTTTGGGCCACGAAATTCATTACAGAATCGTTGTCTTCGAGTGATTTAGCATAATCCTATACGTGTGTTGTGGGTGTGGAACCGGTTTTCTGTGGGCTTAAGTTTAATGCTTTGGGTTTTGAGTTTTGACTATTTGCCAAGGTTTGCGATCCGCATTAATATCCGTCTTTCTGTCTTCCCTCACTCTTGCAGCTCGCACCATGAAGACAGGCACTCCAATGGACATTTTCTACACGGCGCTGCACTTAATCGTAAGTATTACCTGGGATCTGTGGGCCCATCGAAATGGAAAATTGCCGGACTCGGCCAGAACACATCAATCAAGCAGCCCGCTGAATGACAATTGCATGCCAATGCGATTAACCTGGATATGAGGCTGGAGGCCAGTTACTACTCCCCTTCCTCCGTATGCTAAACGCGATTCCGAGTGGGCAAAAGTGGCACACCAATGCCATGGCCCCAGCTCGATTCTAAGCCGCTTGGCCCCAAAGAGCAAAAGATTCAGGTTCGGTTTTGGGGTTCGGGATCGGGATCGGGCTCAACTCTAACCCAGGCTGGCGAAAGTTTTTGCCAGGCTGCAGCGGAGCCTTAGAATCGTGAGAATATAGTGTTCCCCCCTTGCTGCCGGCAACACGAAAACGAAATTTCCACTTTAATTAAAGAAGCTTACTGGCGATGGATTAGGCCAGGGACTTAATGTCGGCTTCTCGTGATTTATGTCAACGCTTTACGGCCCGAAAGGGGGCGGGGATCTATGGTCCATCCCATATGCCAACTATGCTAATGAGTGACTTGTCTCCACTTTCTTTGCAGACAATCGCAGCTCTGACGACGCACGCGGCGCAGATTCCAACGGCAGTCAGTGAGTACATAAATCTGTCTATTAAGAAGCTAAACCCAATTCTTTGGACTGGGGGTACCCCGACACTGGGGTCCAAAGAAAAATTGCTAACAAATTGGTAGTGGAGACGCGGGAAAGATTAAGCCCAGTTGGAGTCTTTTGTTTGCCCCTAAAAAACTAAGCTAGCATTCAAATGAGGCATCGGCATCAAACCTATTAACTGGTCCCCGATCAAAGCTCTCGAAATATATATGTAGATAAGATTCATATATTTATTGATTCGAACTAGTTGAGTTTGTTACTAAAACATTAAAAAACTACAAGTAATGAAGTGAGAATATATTATGCGATATAGAATTACCAATAATACTTATGCTAAGCTAATGATTTTATTACCACAATTAGGTGAAAGTAGCTACACAGTGACGTAAGAAAGCCGCTTAAAAATTTATCAAAAAAAGGATACAATTTGTAGACAGTGCTGAGACTGAAACAGAAATAGCTTGAAATGATGAATTGGTTCCCCCTAAGACTATTACCTAATTAGTTATAAAGACACTCCACTTTAATCCGCCAGCGCTGCTGCCATTGTTAAGTAAACCCGCTAAGCTGGCTGTTGTCTTTTTCGGGTTGCAAAATCTCTGTTGACTCTGTTGGCCAAATCCGAAACGAGGCATAATCGCATGGCAAACACAAAAGTCTATTGAAGTCGCTTGGCTCTTTGGAGCTGCCTCATTGAGAGCCGACTGGCCAAACATTGCGACACACTTCCTTCTGGCTTTCCCATTGCTTTTTTTGGCCTGGAGCGGGATTCGGCTAAGACCCCTGTGACCTAGGAGCATTGTTCGGGCAGCGAATCGTGTAGTGACTCCAGGTAGTTGAGGAACTGCTGGTAGGTGAAGAACTGCCCCTGGTGTCCGCCTGGGTGGCGATGGTACGCGCACCGCTTGTCGACTATCCACTTCCGCTGCTCCGGCGGATGGAACTCCTTGAGCATGTGGTAAATATTTTGGTTCAGTTCGTAGAGTTCAGAGGAGGTGTACCTGGAGATTGGCTTATCGATTACGCAGTTGATAACTTCTCTGTTGAGCTTACACGAAGGCTTTGTTGACTAGTTCCTTGACTTTGGCGCTCTGACAGATGCTGTTGAGTATCAGGGTATTGTGCTCTCCCTGCAGAAATCTCAGGAAAGGCGGGGGAAGCAGGCAAAACCGCACACACTCCATTAGCTTCTCCATCTGAGCCTTTCGTTTTGGCCAGTTATGACTAAGCCAGCGAACAGCACTCATAAAAATCTGAGGTCACCGAAGTTTAAGACCACATATTCGGATGCCCTAACCCTCTCACCTCAATCTCACTGTTCACGCCCACACTTTGGATGCTCAGGAGTTCTCGAACCCAATAAAAGTCCAGTTCCACAAACTCCTTGGACGCCACCAAGGGTAAGAAGAACTCCTCGATGCGAGACAGCAGCATGATCTGAAACATTCGAATCTCGAAATTCAGGGCTTCCATGAACAGTCCAAAGGCCTGGCTGCCCGACACACAGCTATCGTTGAAGCAATCAAAAACCAAATCCAGCAGCTCATTGACTTTCATGAACGTCGCAGCACTATACAGCTCCACAATGGAGCAGTCACCCTTTCGACTCTTCTTGATGTCTAACATCCAATTGTAGATGACATGAAACGCCGTCGGGGTCACCATTTCTACGGGAAGGTGGCCAGTGAGGGTTTTCCCCTCTCCGTATCCTCGGAAGTACATGGAGTAGGCCTGCAGGACTTGCAGATGGCAGTGGAACTTGTATTTGCCCACATAAACCTTGAAGAGTAAGAATTCGGGATCATTCAGAACTCGGAGCAGCTGGGCATCCCCGGGGAGTTTAGGATGTTGCTTAAAGCACAAATATTCATTGCTATAAGTTGGCCTAGGTATGACACTGAAGGAAAGGTCGAGGGGTTCCAGCTCCTCAGTAAACGATAGTCCAGAACTGATTTAAATCCAATTCTTTGTTAAGCAGACTTTTCTTCTCTTTTAAACATATGTACATACCTATCATACTCCCTGAGAGTGTCTCCATTCTGACTGATAATGAGCTGTACAAGTTATGTAGGTTATTTGCAGAAAACTGAGGCGTCTTTAGTTACCTGCTGATTGGAGAACGAGGCCGTATCGGCCACCTCCATAGAAAATGTACTAGTTCTATCCGCAGTTGGAGCTTCAATCGTAGCCTGGTCCAAGGCAACACCTTTGCCATCCTCACTTGCTTCATTTTCTGGCACAATCCCATCCATCTTTGCACTTAAAATTTAAACTTGGTGAAAGCGATCGATAATTTGCTGAAATAAGATCTGAATCACGAAATATCACATAAATCGGAGAGTAATAAACTGAAGCTAATAGGTGATTTATTTTTCTAGGCAGCACGACAGGGATTGAGATGTATATTTTGGGTTTTGCATTTTCTTTGTTCGCCGAGTGCCAAGGGAACAGCTTGGAGAAGAGCAATTTATGCTAGCCATTGTTGCCTTAGTCTAGTTTGTTCTATTTGAGGAGTGCAGTTCGCCCCGCCAGCGGAGACCATAAAATTATACATAATAGAAAGCCATTAAATGTTTTATGTGCCAGCCAGGCCGACGAGTGGATTCCATTCCAGTGCAGAAGGTAAAACCGGCTCTGCGATGGCCGTGTTGCATGCAATTACTTTGCCCAGAACCGCAGTATAGTAAGTGATGCGAAATGCTGCAAGGTTCGTTGAACCGCCTCGACCGAAGGCATCCCATCGCATCCCATTCCATCCCAAGGCATATATATATATATAGTATACCATGCCATCCATGCCTGCACTGTATACACACCGCCAACTGCCAGGGCGAACGTGCCTGGGCAGCTTTTCTCTGGTCTCTTCTTGGTCTTGGTCTTGCTCTTGGTCTTGGTCTCCAATTGTGTACCTTCGCGGAGGAATATAGAAACAGAGAAGCAGAGGAGTCAGCGGGGAGTTCTTGGCATTGCGATCGCTGGCTGAAAGCAGGAAATGCCAAGAGCACCTCCAAATCCCAAGTTGTGCCTCGGATGGTTCGCCGAAGTTCAAGGAACTTGCAGCGTGGCGTCTTTCTAATGGCCACGAGCGCTTCTGTGGCGTGTCTTCGCCCCAAGTTGCTGCTTCTGCTGATTTTCGAAGTTGCCGCTTCAATGGCTTCGCAATGTCATGAACAAACACTGAAGATCACAGCTAACACTTAAACAAACTTACAAGTTAGTTCGGTAAAAACTTCAGTTAAGTTCATTTCAAAGTTAACTCGTTTTATATTTTAAGATTTAATTCTTAATCGATGAACAGCTTTTTGCTCATTATTAAAAATCTTTTTTTTCTTCTTTTATAAGTTATTTTCTCTCAGTACATTATTGTTATTTGTTGTAGTCTTCCGCATGCCGGCTCCAACTTGGAGCTATAGTCCTAAGTAAATACTACTCCCATGGGCCATTGTCTCTGGTTTGCCGCTCATGATTTATGCTAACGGCTCTTGAGGTTGCCGAAGTGGATGCGGCATCCTCCTGGTCGGCTAACTGTGCTTTTTTGGGAGTGGGCCTGTCGTGTTTCTGTTTGCATTTCATAATTTCCGATTTCGTCTTGCAGAAGATGCCCAGAGCTCGCTGAGCGAAGCGATTGCGGCGGCGGAGGCGGAGGTGGCCTCCACCTCGAAGCCGGCGGTGGAGCCGAGTGTGCGGATTAAATGCCTGTCCGGCTCGATGCTGATAACCATCAAAGATGCTCCTCCGAACCATGAAACGGGGCTGTTCAGCGGAATGATCTACCCGAAAGGCCTGTCCAAGAACTCCACCTGCCTGAGCGAATACAGGTTAGTGACGAGCTTTAGATCGCCCAATCTTGATTATAATCCGTAACCTCTCCCCCACAGAGACCATGTGGGCTCCCTGCGCTACAAACTGCCGCTGAGGTCTTGCAACACGATGCCGAAGGAAACGGTAAGTCTAGAATCAATTAGTCCCCGAAAACTCCCACTCAGGCAGATGGTAGGTGACGCCATGTCCCGCCAACTGGTTCTTCCATTTTGGCATGCAAATAAAAAACATTAAACATTAAGCTTAACCACTTATAAGGCAGCCAGATCCGACTCATTGGTTACAAGGTAAAGTCCATACGCCAAGATGATTAGTCCACTGAAAGGTTGAAACTCAAATGGCCAACTCACGCACCTTTTGCGGCTAAACTAATGATGCGATTGTGATGACTTTACAGATTTTCCAGCTAAAATAGCAATCATTCGATATGGTGGATATAACGAAGAACTTCTGACTAGTATCGTATAATAAGATATGTCTGCATAAATATGAATCTAAAAATTCTGACTGGAAGATGATCATTTTCTACAACCTCTTTAAGAATCTGGGTTCACTCACTCGAAACCAGATTTCCCATGATCTCTGAACCAATCAAGCGTATTATTGATCTGAACCGCCCCATCAACCGTGACAAGCTGTCTCCCATGTCCCTGTAAACGATATCGAATAATCCGAGAGACGGCCAAGATGTGCCATATAAATATCAGTCTCGCTCCGCCTTGGGTTTGTCTAATACGTATATGGCCCGACTTACTTATTGGCTCATTCACTCGATCGATTCGGGCGAACAACGGCCGTGTTTGTGCTGGGATCTGATTTTGAAATCTCAATTAGCACTTAGCCGGGCTAATGTGGCTGCAGCTCACGCACCGGCAGGCATTTTTGTAGCCCCTGCCACAGTCCGATTGTGATATATTTAATGTAATTTTCTCGGCATTTATGGGGCCAGCGTTTTGTAATTCGCTGCCTGTAGCGGCTGCTGTTTGCTGCTTTTTCCTTTCCCCTAGTGGATTGACACAATTTTTGAAATTACCAATGTTAATTGCAGGTACGACAGCCGCCTCGATGCTGCAACAAAGTACAGTGCGCTCAAGAACCGCAATCAACGATGAGAAGATATCGATTGGGGTTAGCCGGCTGCTTTATGATTGCTAAGGCAATTAAAAATTGTTGAAATGCTCTTTAATGTATTTATGTTATTTCAGAATTCATCAGGAAACAGTAAAAAATGCCATATTATTACTGCCTATCTCTAATCAACAGATGATATATATGATGTTTGCAAATCTGATGGAAAATAAGCAATCATATTTCCCTGTGATTTACGATAGGCAGCCATTAAATGTCTACAAAACATAGTTTGTTGCCTTAGTCATTTGTTTGTGATTGATTGTTATGCTAAAAATAGTGTCTTACAAACATTTTATGGAAGTCTGTCTCGTGTTTCGCATGGAATTCATACTTATGCCATGGCTGTGGAACAACCTCTTCCAGTTTGTTGCCTAAGTCATTCGTTTTCGAATGATATTCGATCGATTTAATGATCATTATATACTTTGAGGGTTACCTGCCATATATAGCACATATAGTATTCTTTAGTTTGCTTTTCACTCAGTTCGTTGCCTAAGTCTTTCGTTTTTCATATCTTTGTCCTTCGCCGCCCCGCCTTTTCGTATTGATCCAAGCAATTAACGGCGAGTCTTCAATAAGTAAGAATCAGTAAATATTATTTACCCCCCGCAAATACTGGAAAATCAACAGAGGCGTCCAAGGCCCGTCGGTAGATATCTTAAATGTTTGTCATTAAACACGATGAGCGGTCCCCATCCAGCGTGCAGTCCACTAATGGCAACCATCCTGCCTTACGTCATCCTCGTCGAGATGAGCTCATTGCAGTGTAAAAAGTCGCGTGACAAGCCGCCACATCTGCTGCCATTGAGTGACTAGTACTTGCTCCCCTGAGGAGTCGAGGGTCTTGACTGTGCGCATGTCAAGCATAATTAAATCAGCCACGAACAGGTACTCGCAGGGTCGCCAGAGGTTGGGAGGGGGCAGAAATTTTAATTAAAATTTAATTGCTGCCATCCCAGAACTCCGAACTCCGAACTACAAGCTGCGAGCCGCGATTGTAAACAATTTTTCATAGCTCAGCGAGTAAGCCATCTCGCAGCGAAATCAATTTGTTCTGTCCGCTGGTAATGCGTTCATTGGCCACCAATGCCGCCGGATGACCATGAAAAGGCCAAAAGTGTACAAACATTCAAGCGCTTTATGGCCGATATTGATATTTAAAGGCAACTACCGCCGTGTTTGGAGCGAAGGTCAGTCCGGCGACTGACTCCCACGCATCCAGCGTGAACCTGTTTTCGTTCGTACATTTGTAAGCCATCTGATACATTTACACTTGCCTCGGAGCACACACGGTTTCCATATTTATGCGAAGAAGTGTTATAATGACATAATAGGGCTTTCTACCGTTGGAATCTTTGTCGCCTGTGCTTGAAATCTTAAATGTCACTTTATTATGCTTTTTATTGGCCCATTGTCTTGCGATGATGATGCCCAGATGCTGAGAACCGTCACTTGAACATAACTGTCAACGGTTCTCGGGGACTTGGGCAACAAAGGAAGCCCCTGCCCGACCATTCTTCTCATCTCCGTTTTCTAACTAACCATCTCTCGGCTTGTTTTAAGCCAGCCAAGCGGCGGAAACCGAGTTGGGCAATAAATCGCACTGGCCAACGTCTTTAGACTAAAGTCTTAAGTCGGCTTCTGCTGGCCGTCGATTAATGCCGGCTATAACAACAAACATCGGCGCTGGCTATTAAGAATGCCCCCCTGAGGAGAGCCCACTAAAATGAAGAACTTCCGTGCCCAAATCTGTAGAGACCCAATTACAAAACTTCCGAGCTGGCGGGGTATAAGTAGTACTTGCCGCTGTCATTACCTCACCTTTCTTCAGCGCAGTCGGCTTTCTGTTGCCAAAGCCATCGAGTGTGTACTCGATTTGCTTCTACTGCCCGTTGGAATTAGCACAATCACCGATGGGCGAATAACCCGTTACAGGTACACAGAACGAAAAACTATGAGAACTATCTGGGAATGAACTTTGTGAATTTATTGTATGATCAGTTGCCAGACTGTTTGGAGAATATCATTCCGTATTTATCAAGAAAACTTATTTTAAAGAATAATTATACGTTAAAAGTATAATATCTCCCCAGCGGATGTCCAATTTGAATACCCTACCAAAGGGAAATTGCATCATGCTAGCATTCTTGGATTTCCAAGAGCCTAAGTAACAAGCCATTAAAATTCATCATGCAAACTTGGCTAATTTGCGAGGAGATAGCCCGCAGATCAGATCCCCAGAACGACTAGACGTCACACCTGGCTGATCGGCTTTAGCACCATTCTGATGGCGACTTCAGGAAGTGCTCCATAGCCCCCACTTCGGCATTAGTATTGTCTGTCTTGGATCGCACATTCAACTTCTGAGGGGCGATTTCTGGCTGCAGCCAAGCGTGAATCTGAATGCATAATGAGAAGGGGCTTCGCCGCCATTACACTTGGGCTCAGTTCAGGTGGCTGATATGGCTTCTCCAGTATGGCACCAGTATTAGCATTAGCCGGTGGCCAGCCCTAGTTAACAAGGCAACTGGGGGCGAACAGGTTTGTTGCCCGGGTCTTTTGTCAGTAGGTGGTAATTTGATGTCTTATTCTCATTTTAATGGTAATAACTTGGCCCGATGAAAGTACGGATAGAAGTATAGTTGAAACTCTTAAGAGAAATATTATTTACTAAATTATACAAATTTAATACTTAACAAGGTTTTAAAATTTTCCCTGCTTTCAGGATGACGGTGGCATCGAGTTCTTCAACACTATTGTGCTCCAGCCGCACCTGAAGCTCATCACTGACTTGGGACGTGGTTACCATGTCCGTTGTGCCTACAAGAGTCGCGATGCAGCCATGAAGCCGAAGAAGTATCTCCGCAAGCATGCCCAGAAGCCACAGGCCTTCCGCAGCGAGGATCGCAGGGACTACGGACGATCGCTGGACAAACAGCAGGACGATGACCTCGATGAGGAGGATGTCTTCGATGCCAATGGCCCGCAGGAGGAGGAAGATGTGAGCAACAACGAGATTCCCATGCCCGGCTGCCACATGAAGATCTACAACGACGAGCACAAGATAGCCGACGACGTCAAGATTGGCGATCCTTTGACCATCGTGATCAGCATCGATAGGCAGCAGGTTTACGGACTCCATGTGACAGATTGCATAGTTCGCGATGGCTTGGGCTGGGGAGAGCAGCGGCTGGTGGGCGAAGATGGGTAAGTTCAAATTACATTTTTATGAATATGGATATTAAATAGAGCTCCGTGCCCTACAGCTGTCCCATGGACAACGAGATCATGGGTCAGTTCAACTACACCCAAGATCGTTTGGCAGCCAACGTGACCTTCCCGGCGCACAAGTTCCCGTACACCACTTCCGTGTATTACCAGTGCAATGTACGCCTGTGCGCCCTGGAGGATCCCACCTGCCAGGAGGCTCCTCTCTGCAGTGGCAAGAGGCCTAAGCGCCAGACTGCTGTCGACAGCAAGGAAGAGGACGGCCTGCCGGCCACCATTGAAGTCTTCTCGGGTCTGTACGTCAACGAGAACGAGAACGCCAATGACAGCGACGATGATGCAGTTTACAAGGAGAAGGTGGGTATCCAGGAATATATACCTTGAAATAGATGTAGACAAATATGCCTCCATTACAGACTCTGGATGATGCTCTGTGCGTGTCTCAGCGCACCTTCGCCATAGCCATTGCCATCGCCGGCCTGATCCTCATGCTCGCCGTGGTCGCTGCCGTGCTCTGCATCATGGCCCGCCGAAGCACCAAGACCGTGTCCAACTCGGGCAGCTCCATCTATAGTGGACCCTACACGAACACTGCCTTCTCGCACAGCAGCTAAGCGCGAGAGCATGAGGTCCTCAAAGAGAAAATTCAAAATTCAACGTTTCCAAAATGCAAAACACTCAAAGTGTTGAAAATCAGAGAGTTACCAGGAGGAGATTCGATCGCGCAGGTGCCGCTGCGGTAGTCAACGATTGGTAGGATTGGAGCCACTTAGTTTATAAGGATGCCGGAGCAGTCAGACGTTCAGTCGAGCGGCTGTTCATTAGATTAAGCCTAGTCTTAGTTGCAAAAGGATGTGCAGAGATTACCGGGCAATGGCTGGGGTCCATCCTAATTGCCCGCTAATGTCGCAGAGATTCAAGGTACTCCACAGATATGTTTGGGTATCTATGGAACTCTGTTCCGCACAGTCGGTGTTGGACTCGCCCTTCCTTCAGACACTCCACTGTAAGTGCAAGCGTGTTTCTGCATCCCTAACTAACCCACTTCTCCTAACTTAAACACTCGAACTAACAACGAATGCAGCAGCCGACGCTCAGGTGATATTTGTACTCGTATCTACTTAATGCCTAACTCTATTCGTAATTTATTAATTTATCGGATGCCTAACTGCCCTCCTAGTAGAATTTCCTGAATATTTTCTTGTCATCGATTTATACACTTAACTCCGAAGCGGAAGGAGCCCTTATTATAAAGCATCCGTCCGAACAGCCTCTTACTATATCAAGATAATCAAAATAGGCAGTTCTCAAAGTAAGCCTAGGTTTTTGCACCGCTTCAATCGAGCATTCCACCGTGCACCGACCATATGAGGGAATGCTCCTTTGGAGCCGTACAATCCACGCGATTCAATTCATATTTTAAATCTCAATGTTAGTGTACCTCTAAGTTAATATTAATCACTGAACAATAAACTCAAATTGACATAAATACCTGCCACTGAGTGACACTACCTGTCGGGGGCTGCAATAATACTAATATGAAGCGCAATTCGAGATTCAGTGTCAGTGTGGTTTTGGAATTCCGTAGATCAGAGCGCTGGTCGGTACTCAAAGATTTTTATAAGGTTATTAATTAGTGCAACCTAATATCAATGGCGGCAGTCGCACTTCTGCTTTATAATTTACTGATGGGTCAGACGATGGGCACCCTTACTTGCCCATCTGGAAAATCGAATCCCCTGCAGTTTCACCTGGTTCGTCAGTGTCAACGAGCTTCAGCGGATGATGCACTGGCTCTAGAGAATACCTCCTCACTAGAGGAATGCGTAAGCTTGGCTCATGACATGCGGGCACTGGCCTTGAACTACGCCCCTGGAGGTCCGAAAAGAAGGCTAAATCTGTACGATCAGAGGACATTTGGCAAGGAGAGCCAAAAGCAACAGCACTTACGTAGCCGTTTAAGTGTTTTCGAACAGCCAGGAGAGTTCTTCAACTGCCATGTTCTGCAGTGTCCTCAGAATAACACATTTTCTGGGATGGTCAACGACAGTCGTTTCGATTATTACAGTTTATATGGCAGGCCTACAGGTTAGTATTCTAGAATGTCTGCTCTGATAAAAATAGTGCCTTTCTTTTGTCAGTTATAAGGAACTACAGCTGTTTGCCGGAAGTTGGACTATTCGTGGTGTATACTCAGCCCAGTACCTACTTGAATGCCTCATTGACCTGCTCGAACTCTTCCGAGTTTACTGGCAGTCTTGCCCACATAGCCTCTGAGCACAGAACAAGCTTCTTGGCCCAGTGGTTAATGGAATTTAACAGAAAGTCTCAGCCGCGAAAGTCAAATGTCTTTCTAGCTTATGTGGGACTAGTGTACAACAGATCTACCTCGTTGAGTCCTCTGGATTTTAGGAACTCTCAGCAAGAAAGCCTACAGTGCTTTCTTTACAGGGCCTGGGACGCAGGCCATCCTCGCCTTGGGTGGGTTGATAATACATTTGCAAGACTTATGTTCACTTAATCCAATAAAATTACCAGCCAGGAGTTGACCAACGCCAGCTGCGTGGCCTTGACGCCGCAGGGAACCTGGCAAACCCTCAAATGCGAAAGGGAGCTCCCATTCATCTGCGAAATTCACACAGCCAGGTCAACTTCAGGCTGGGAGCACTCAGATTCTGAGCTGGACACTGGCCCAAATGCAGTCTTCGAGTGTGGAAACGATTGAGTCTATGGCAGCATGGATATTCGCAGCCGTTTTATTCACTTAAGCAGTTTTCAAAACACAAAAGCCAAATATAGATAGTTTCTCGGTGTTTGCCCGCCTCTCGCACGCCTTGTGGAAAGTGTAGAATCTAGTGTAGATGCAGGACCACCTCGGCAGCGCCGTTTAGTGGTACTTGTAGTTCCTGTGGTGCTTCAACTTGGTGTAGTTAATCAGATAGAAGAACGTCATGCTGGCGACGGTCAGTTGGAAGAAGGGAGCGATCCCGGCGCGCTTGGGGAACACGTACTTGTGCTGCCAGCGCCACCAGGCACGGCTCACGGCTCCGGCCACCGCGTTCGGGGTCTTGTTGCGGCGTCCCAGCCAGGCACCAATTTCTCCCAGCTTCACCTGGCCAAAAGGCACATCAGCTGCGTACCAAGGAGTTATGAGAATTATGTAAATTAGTCAACGATTTTGGGGCCAGTGTAAATGTGCTCTGCGCCTGCCGCAAAAATTACGTAATTTCGCCGATTCTTCTTACCTTTGCCGTAGAAGCGAGCCGGATCGTAAGGCCCGTGCACCTTGGGGTTGTACTCAGCTGGATAGTCACCGAAAGCCATCTCGCTGGTTTGGGTAAAATATATTCTCAACTCAGATTCTTATGAAACGAAAATTATGCCTGCTACTTACTCGTTCGATACCAAGTATGACAGTGTGACCAAAGCGGGTGAATTTAGTATTTTCTTCCTAACGTATTCAAAATAAGTGGCCTAGACTAGGGTGACCTTTCTTGAATATTTTTCAAAAATCTTTAAATCTATTTCTTTATATACGAACAATACAGTACTAAATCCTCTTACTTGGTATTTTAACCTTTTTGAAAAAACATTTAACTATTTTTTCGGCGGTTTTAATTCGATGATATTTCATTCGTTTTTTGGTATAATTTCGGCAGGGCTGAAAAATAATTGGCACTTTACAAGTTGGCAATACCTGGCAACACTGCCCCTCCAGTATATACAGAAATCAAATACGATTTTTGCAAGCCTGGGCATTCGAATTGGAATCTAATCAACAGTAAAGCGGAGTGTAAACAAAAACAATGAAACTGGAGGAGCTGCTGACTAAGGGATCCTCCTCGCCGCCGGAGGACGACGACGACGACGAGAAATTGGATCTGAAGCCGCACAAATCGAGCAGCGCCACTGCGGACGAGGGGGCGGAGAACGCGGAGGATGCGACCGAAGATGCTGGTGAAAAGGAAGGCGCGAGTGGCAAGAAGAAGGGCACGCGCAAAAAACGCTCCCTTAACTGGGAAGAGGCCGAGCGGGGGCTGCTCCTCGAGGTTATCAAGTCCAAGGTGGCCTTTGTGGAGAACCGCAGCGTAGATGCCAAGAGCATTAAAGCCAAGCGTCTGGCGTGGTCACACATCACTAAGCAGTAAGTTGCGCAATCGGAACGAAAAAGCTCCTGTTTTAAAGCCTTTGATAATTCCTCCATCTAGGTTTAATGCCCTCAACTTTCGTCACCGACTGCTCGAGCAGATTCAAGTGCAGTGGCGCAGCATGAAGAACTCCGCTAAGCGAGAGCACCAGCAGAAGCATCCGAAGACAGAGGCTCTTGAGGGCATGCGCATGATCGAGTTCCTGGAGGAGATGCAGAAGGACCCGGTCACATCTCGCAGCCAGACGCGCAGTGCTAACACCAACGGTGCCGTGAAGAAGGAACTGCTAGACATCGACGAGGACGAGGACATGCCGCTGGCCGCTTTGCCCAATTCCACGAATGCCAGCGAGGACACACTGCAGACTTCCACTATAGCCATCCCCTCGCCGCCACCATCCACCGCTGGCGGGGATGGGGACTCGCAGCAGGAGGGCACTCCCGCTCAGCCGCCAACACAGCGACGCAAGAGGGCCAAGGCCAAGCAGTCGCCCACGGGCGCCAAGACAGAAATTTCCGCCGAGACGGGGGAAGAGAACGAAAAAGGCGCAGCCTCACCGCGCAAACGACGACAAAGGAATGTGAGTAGGAACAGAAGTCATTCATACGAAAAATTTGTCATCGTCTTTTATTTCGGTTTGGCAATCATTCTTTGAGATTTAATCCTTCAAGTCCTAATAACCAATTATTTTTTTAAAAGGAAAACTAATTTAATATAATTAATAATTTTAAAAAGTTCGTTGGCCATTAGTTTATAAAACCTAGCTAATATTCAATCTTTTCCCAGCTTTCACAGGCTCAGTCGCTGCTGTCCGATGAGAACGAAGTCTCCAACAGTGTAGCTCCGGCCAGCACGCTTCAGCAGTTCGCACTGGGTGCCACTGCAGGGGCAGACTCGAATAGCCACCCTCTGGAACTCGTCGCACCTTCAGAGGTGGAGCAGAAGTACAAGCAGGACCTTTTCCGACTGCTAAAGCAGGCGCGCTTAGCCGAGATCGATTACGCCCGGCGGGAACACGAGCAGAAGCTACGTTTTGAGCAAATGGAGCAAGAGGTTAAGATGGCCTACTACCGGCAGGAACAGGATCTAAAGCTGCGACATATGCGCGAGGAGCATGATATCCGAATGCGACAGCAGCGGCGGGAGCACGAGGCTCGCCTGGGGATCTACTCTCTAAAGGGATGCGGCCTGAACGGGAGCATACAGGAACAGAGCTCAGCAAAGTGCAATGCCAAAGCGGACTACAACAATGTCCATGAAGTCGGCCCATCGACCAGTGCGGAGGGGGCGCTGGCGCTCAATGCCGCCTGCAACTAGGCGTGGCCATTGACTCTGATGCATATACAATACGAATTGCCAGCAATTAGCGTGTAAGGGCATTTAGAGGAAACATCAACAGTACTTTAAAATTTAGCTTGAAATACGTTTAGCGAAATGTAGCTCATCCGGTCAGCCGAAAATCCGTATCAAGATACGGATTCATGGATACCCGATACGAATATGAATACTCATCGACACACTCAAGTTGCCACACAGACAAAAGGACTGTTGTTTTGGTGCAATTCGCACCACAGGAACTCACAGACATTGCATTTTCAAGAAATTAGTATTATATAATTGTATCCGTATCTGTTAAGTACTCCGGGCGAAAAGATCAATTTAAAACACGGTTGTGTCGTCGAAAACAAACTCGAAAAATACTCAAGAATAAGTTCCCCTTTTGCAGAACGCAATTTACTCATCAGTCAGTATTCTCTATGGCCACTGTATTATTTTTATATATTCAGTTTTTAGTTATAAGTTTTTTTTACATAACTACCATTTAAACTAGGGGTGAAACAACGCCGTAAATGTAAATCCATGTATGTTTGTTCATACATAAACGAAAACTTTTATAATTCGTGTAATCATAAGTTACTGTACGTCGTGTTGTATAGCGCTGTAATATCCTGTCACTTGCTTCAGCTTAATAAATACCGTATATCGGGCGAGAGCAAGGTAAAATTAAACCATTAGATAATGAAATACAAATACATAGTGCGTAAACAGTTGGGAAGTTCGTTTAAATTGTCCTTATAGGTGGGAAATCCGGAAATGTATCTTAGTAAGTAATCCAGTTGGCAAAGCTAATCTTGGTAACCAAATTGGTTTTTATACCAACGTAAAATTGTAGTTAGAGAACAAATTGTTATTCAGAACGTGAAACTATTTATCTTTTGGCAATATGAAGGATCTGGACGCTTCCTTGGACACTTTGGAAAATGCCCGATTCAACTACTTGTATGCGAAGGCCATAACTAAGTTGCGAAAGGACTCAATCTTCACGGACAACGAGCTAGTGAGCATCGTGATGCTCTACCACAAGTTTGTCCTGGTCAATGGACCAAGGGCTAAGTACATGACCGTGGCGCAACTTACCATGCTAATGGAGCTTATGTTTGAGATCATGGATCGCGAACTTAGTGCGAGCATTGTGTCTAGAATAGCCCACACTCCAGGCTCCAGATCATCGGATTTCATTCCCGAAAAACATATTCATCTGGAGTCCTTTGTAAGGTTGCTTACCGTTTACTTTACTAAAGACCTTCAGATGAAGATGGAGTTTGCCTTCTCGGTGGGTGATTTTTCTTTTGATTTTTATACTTATAAGTAAAACCTTTTGTTCAGATCTACGATAAGAGCGATTCCAGGCAGTTAAATGGCAAGGAAGTCGGGATCTTTGTTGGCAAATTTTTCGAGACCGAGGACGAAGACGAAACAGCTGAGTTGCGAATGGTGAGACAATCCGTATTTATATTCACTGACAAATATATTTGTCATTCTACTAGGACATGAAGGAAATGCTCTTTATGAAATTCGACTTGGACAAGGATACCAACATTGGGGTAGAGGAATATTACACAGTTGTCCGTCGACAGCCCATGTTGCTTGAGTGCTTTGGCCGTGTATTTCCCCCCAATCCTCAGATGGATGTCCTAGCCCTTTGTACAAATGTGATGTCCTGGTTTGATGACTCACCCAATCCTAGGATTATGACAAAGTCAGATACAGAGAAGGCACTTAGTTACCAGGAAGCGCGGAAAACGAACTCATAAGTTATAAAATTTTGGGTATAATAATATAAAAAATTATATATATGAATATATAATGAAAATAAATAAAAGATATATTTTTTGCAATATAAGTCTTATGGTATAAGTAATGTCCGTTTCTTTTCAAAATTATGTTTCAACGGTACACCCGCTAAAACGGGTTCTGCAACGATAACGATACCGATTCCTCACTTGTCGACCCTCTCACATACCTAATACACGCGACTCAACCAAAACAATTCGGATCTCGATCCATCAAACGCTTCCAGAATGGCCACGGAGGAGCACCAGCGTCTGGCGAGTATCGTGAAAAGCTGCCACGAAAGTCTGCGGCAGCTGACGAAGGAACATGGGGCCACGGTGGCCTGGCAGGAGCACACGAGTCCAAGAAACGCCAAGCGTCTAGCGGAGTATGCCAAGGCCATGAGACAACTGGCGGCCATATGGGAGGCCAACGAGGATAACGTGGAACTGCAGGCTCGAAGCCGAATAAAGTGGGCGATCGACTATATCACCAAATACTTCTTCACGGAGGGAATCTATCTGCAGAAGCGACAGCGAGAGCAGCGCCTTCTGGAATCCTACAGATGCGAGGGGAAACTGGGCGAGGTGGAGTGCCGCTTGATGGAGGAACCACCAGACAGACTTCATGTCTTGGATGTAGGCAGCTGTTTTAACCCCTTTTCCAGTACCCCCTACCTAGACGTCACTGCCCTGGATCTATGCCCTGCCACAGAAGATGTGCTGCAGGCTGATTTCCTCAAGGTGGATGTGCTGCCCGGAATAGAGGAACCGGGTCTTGAGGCGGGCAGCGTGAGGAGCCTCCCAGCGAGCCACTACGAGTGTGTCATATTCAGCTTGCTGCTGGAGTATATGCCCACAGCCGAACAACGGTTGCAGTGTTGCCGCAAAGCCTACGATTTGCTCCTGCCTGAGGGCATCCTCGTGCTAATTACACCCGACTCCCAACATGTTGGCAAGAACGCCCACCTTATGAAGAACTGGCGCTACTCCCTAGCCCGGATTGGCTTGCTTCGGGTGCGCTTCGAGAAGCTACCACATATATCGTGTATGGTGTTCCGTAAGGCCATCAGCCGGGAGCTCTCCCAGCACTGGGCGAGCATTCACCGGGAGGAGGGCATGTGCGAGGAAATCCGGATACCACAGGACGATAGTTAGATAAGATACAAGCCTCATAAATCGATGTAAATATGTCCGTGTCTACTTATTTATGGCTTAACTTATCTGTGTTAAGTGCGAGTTAATAATAATGGTTGACGATTTATCTACTATCTATAGATGTCGTAAATGGACAAATGCTATTGCTTCTGTTCCGACTGGGGGAACAGCGCGCCGCTGGCCTGGCGCTTCTTCATCGCCGTGGTGGCTCCCTGCGATATCTTCATGATATTCGGTGGCAGCGGCTTCTTACGATCCGCCTCCCATTCGGCTCTGTGGAGGCGCTGGCGGTGCTTGTACATGTTGGCGTTAGAAAAGAACGTCATGGGACAGTTGGGGCACGTGTAGAGCACCTCGCCAGTGTGCGTGGAAGTGTGTTCCTGTATATTGGATTCATAAGCCTCAAGATTTCTTTAAAACTAGGTCCAGAACTCACCCTCAGATCTTGTGGTCGTTTAAAGGCCTTCTCGCACATACCGCATTTGAACTTGCGCTCGCAGAGATGGTTGTGGTAGATGTGTCGCTTGAGGGCCCTGGAGTTGGTAGAAGTTTTGTTACAGATGTGACAGCGATGCTCGCCGCCCGGCGGCTCGTGCACCGTGTTCATGTGCTGCTTAAGTCCAGACAAATGGCGCAACCAGGTCCCGCAAATCTCGCACTGCACGGGATCAGGCTTGGGTCGCGGCACCTCGGAATGTTCCAACTCATGATGCTTCTTGAGATTCGTTTGTGAGCGTAGCGTCTTGCCGCACTTATCGCAGATGATGGCCGTTTCAGGGTCGTGCATGTAGCGCAAGTGCTCTTTGAGTTTGCGCTCCGTGGGAATCCTAAAAGCATTACAAATTTAGTTTCTATATACCACTCAATGAAGGCTACCTACTTCTTGTTGCACTCTGGACAGGAAAATTTAAACTCGGACTTGGGAACATGCTTGGACACGTCATGGTACTCTATGGCCGCCTTTGTGGTAAAGCTCTTGGGACATTTATCGCATTGATAGATACGCTTTTCTTTCGGCTCCGTTTTGATCTCCGGATTCGTGTGCGTCTGCTCGTGAATCTCTAGGGTACGCGAATCTTGAAACACCCGTCCGCACTGAGAACACATAAAGTGATCCGGGTTCTTGTGGACTAGCACATGTTCCGCTAAAGCCTTGCGTATGTGAAACTTTTTTCCGCAGCACTCCATGAAGCCGGATTCGATATTGTGGGAAATGCGTTGATGACGTCGCATGTCTCCAAAGTTCTGCACCAGCAGATTGCAGATGGAGCAGGGGAACTTTTTAAAGAACTTAAGGATAATCTCATCGTACTCGCTCTGCTGGAGCTTTCGCCGTTCAATCTCCTCTCGGCTCAGACGAACGGGTGGCACTAGAGGCTTCTCCCGCTTTCGGTACTTCTTGGGTTTTACTACCACCCTTTTTGGAATCTCGGCGTACCGCTCTTCGGGCTCGATGTCCGGTAGACTGCGGTCGGAGTCCTCCCCACTGCTTTCACTGGAGGAACTGGCGCTGTCATCTGTGCCAAGAACTGCCTCGGCAGCCACAAACTCCGTATCATTGTTGCTCTTATCATCATCATCGTCGTCAGAGTCTAATTCCTTTTTTGGAGAAGGAGGCGTATCTGGTTTGACTTTCGGCGGACGACCACGTCTCGTGCTTCTCCTCAGCATGCGGCCCTTGCTCATTTCGTTGCTCTTCGTAGGACCATTGGAGCAGGGGTTTATATCTGATGACAGAAATTCAGCTAGAGGTACATCCGAATCACTGTCCACTCGATGTTCGTTCTTAATGCGACGCTTTGGGGGCGGAGAGCCTTCTTTTTGGACCCCCAACCTTTTAAAAGCTGTTCTGGCTTCCGTGTTAACCGGGTCCTCCAAGAGTTCGACCTTTGGCAACGGCTCCAGTTCATTTACTTCCACTTTAACCTCACTGGGCGCAAAAAAACTCTCAGCTAAGGCGTCCAGTTCTACGGAGTATAACGGATTGATTGGCTCCTCTGCCTGTCCGCAGAATTCGATGGGCAAGCTCTTGGAGTCGCTGCTTCTCTGCTGGTGTAGGCAGGAGACCCGCTGGTGGAACTCGTCAAAACTGCTAACGCAGTCCCAGCACTCCCGACACACCGTTGCATCACTATCCGCCGTAAGGACCTGAGGGAGAGCACAATGTATATTCTTAATCTCCCGAACTTGCGATTATGGCGCACAGCTTACCTCCGAGAACGAAAAGTGCTTGTAGATGGTCGCCCTAATGTTCAGGCGGACTCCCTCCGCTGACTGCAGGCATAAGCTGACTTCGGAGCGGGCCAAGCAGAGAATACAGGCAGTCATGTTGTAACCGGATCCACTGCGAAACCCCTAATCCTGATCCATTTCCACTCAAAGTTTTTGTTTACGATTTTGCAAAAAATTGTTTTCCAAAGCAAAGCAGGGTTGTCAAGTTGGTGCAGGAAATGTCAGCCGATAGTATCGACATATCCATCGTAATCATAGTTACCACTGCAAGTCAATTTATATTGGTCCTCGGTTTTTTTTAATTCAAGTTATAAGTAAAGTTCAGTTAAAATCTTCTAAAAAGTAATTTGAATTAATTATTTTTATAATGAATATTTTAATACTTGCAAACTTATATAATTCGCGTCCACTTAGGGTAAGAACTGCGCTACTTAAATATTAAATATATATGCATATATGTATATATGTATATATATGTATATACATATGTTGTTTCAAAATGTTTAAATATAATTACGATAATTTCTAACAACACCCTAACGCCTTTTATTTCGCGCCTAGACGCCATGGAAAGTGTGTATCCTCTGGAACTAAAAATATACCAAAACATATAGCCCACATTGCGACGCCAGCTGTTTATTTGTTGCGTGCTTCATAATCAGATAACAATTTTCATTTTTTATGCGGTTACTAGGACGCGTTTAAACCAAAAATGAGCCAGACCAAGAAGAACAGGAACCGCAAGAAGACAATAAAGGCGAAGCAAAAGTGGCACAAGAGAGGATTGGCCTCCTCAAAAGCATCAAAGATCCTGTTAAAGTTGTCGGCCGACGATCCCCAAAAAGACTCAGATGCTGGCCCTGCAAATATGGTAAGTCCTGTTGATCATAGAAAAAATCAATTTTAGGGATATTTCCGAGTTGACGTCGTTATGGTTGGTACGCGCAGTTTCTGTTTTCCCGCGAGTGGTAACCAGGTGGGGGTAGGGGTTTCATTGGGCAGTGCGCAATCGCCAGAGCCGAACCCCCCACATTCCCAGTGAATAGTGAAAAGTGAAAAGTTCCAGAAAGACCAGCTTCAGACAACTGAATCATCTCTATCGAAGCAAGCACTTCGTAAACCAAATCCGCGAGGCCAAAGTATTACCAAGAACCCACCAAGTATGGAAAAGATATGGAAGAAGGTGTGCGAACATCACGATGTCCCCGAGCAGGTTGCCAACGAATGGTTCACCCGCATCCAGCAGCACCTCAGCTCTGAGGATCCCGCTCGCGCCTACCACAACTGGCAGGAGATGATGCAGCGCAAGGAGCCCCACCTAGCGGGCGTGTCCAATCTCAATATAGTGCTGGCTGCCTTTTTCCAGTACTACCACTTCGACGGCAACCGCAGCTGTGCCGAGCAGAACTGCGAGGTCTTTGAGGAGTTTTGCCACGATGCCCTTATCGAGGATGTAAGTAACAGTCCAGCCTGATTGAATATCTTTACCAGGATGCTTTTATATTGAGCAGGACCACGCCAAGAGCCTGGTGTGCAATTTGCTGGGCCGTAAGACTCCGGAGAACCAATTGACCTGGTGCCATGACGACGAGGCCAACTTGCTGCAAGATGTGGACTTGGTGGTTCTTGCGTGAGTACCCCTACAGCCATCCTTCAGCTAGTTCACTGCCATATTAAACTATTTAGTGCATCGCCTGAGGAATACAAGCACTACACGACTCTACTTCGCTCAGAGTACGCCAATTTAGATGATGCCACTTACAAGGCAATGCGCATTAAGGTGCTGGAGACCCTGCTGATGATACCCTCTATCTATGCCACTGGGGATTACCACGACAAGTACGAGGAGTTGGCCCGCGCCAACATACGCAGCGAAATCACCGAGCTGAAGAAGCAGTAGGACTAGAAGCAGGAGTTGGAAGGATCCGAATGGGACGGGGCTGCTTTGTTTACTGCTCTTGAGTTGTGTACTTACTGGCCATTTTACCTCGTTTGACTGCAAGGCACTCGTGTATTGGAAAGCAACCTTTTCTGCCGAGCATCTATCTAATTTTACTCCTAAGTGAAGTGTAATCAAAATCAATTTCCTAGTTAGTGTGTACGCCTAGATATATACGTAAGCCCTGTAGACTCCAGCTCATAATAAACTTGATGTAAATGATGTACCAAAATTGTAGTATTTCTAAAAGCACTTAAAGAACAAAAGAAACCTTAAAACGCAGTAAGTAGGAAAAGTAACAACCGAATTACTTTTCAAAATGTATAATTAGACCACATTCGTATAATAGTAAACCGATTATTTTCCCCATATAGATCGAAACACCAGAAACAGTCTCCAGTTCAAGCCGCAAAATGTCTAAAAAGCCCAATAGCTCAAGGAAACATGGAAACCCCAAGCTCCAGGTAACGCTTATAAGTTTAAAGTTAATTTAATTATGACATTCGAAATTCCACAGAATAAAATACTCAAGCGCCAAGCCAACAAAAAAAATGGACTGAATAGAGAATTGATAAACAAATGCCTAAGTTCGATTAAGAAGAAGTACAAAGTCCAGAGAAACCCTCAGATTAAGCGCAGGTTGGAGTTTTGCGAGAAAAAATCACCCGCAAAGAGAAATGCGCTGCCCAAACCGAAGTTCTACAGACCGCAGAAGGTAATTTTTTTAGATAATTTCATATTCATTACAATTCTTTTTCACCACATATGAAATTTAGGCTACTGAAGTTCCTATCAAAAATCAGAATGACACCATTGAATGTGGAGAAATCGTCGAAGAGTTGGTGACGATCAGTGATGATGAAGACTGCGTGTTGTTGGAGACTCCGCAGGAGTCCATAAACATCGAAGACGATGAAGATGAAGTCGATGAGGACAATGTGCCCAGCACAAGTAGTAAACTGTCCATTGTGCAGATTGTTGAAGACTGCAATGGCGAGGTTGGTTTGCGGTTAAAGCAAAAAACGGAAAACAAGGTGTTGTATTCTACAATCGCAAAGACGGATTCGTCGGAGCCCATTATCAATTTGGATGAAATTCCCCAAGCAGTACCCAGTCCAAATGCCGATAATAATGACTCAGTAATATTTATTAGCGGAGAAGATTTCATTCCAATTCCATCATTTTCACCGACGGCGGCGAAGGAAAAGAAACGTCCGCCAAAAACAAATAGTGCGCGAATGAGAGACAGCCTTTTCACAACTGCCGAAAAGAAGAAGCTCGGAGACTATAACACCAACACATTTAACCCATCGGACGAGGCTGAAGAGACCAGTAAAAAGCCAAAATCTAATAAGAGATCGGTCATCATAGATGGGAGCAATGTGGCGTTTGCGTAAGTTTATGTCGGAAGGCAAATAATCCAGATAGGTTAAATTGCTCTTATCAACAGCCATGGCCACTCGAACGTGTTTTCCTCTGAGGGAATAAAGTATTGCTTGCGGTATTTCGAAAAGATGGGGCACGACGCAAAGGTTGTAGTGCCAATGTTTCGGAAAAATACCTATAAATCCTCGAACCCCGAGATTCTTGATAAGCTCCACAAAGAAGGGAAGATAGTCTTTACGCCTTGCAAAAACCTCCCCGGGCAAATGTCGTCCAGTTACGATGACCGGTGAGCTTCTCGTACATAAATTCTTTCTCCTGAAAATAGAAATTTTATAATTTTGGTTTTCAGCTTCATTTTGCAGCTGGCATACGAAAAGAATGCTGCCGTTGTTTCCAACGATAATTACAGGGACTTGATTGATGAAAATCCTGCTTTCAAAAAGATCGTCGAGAATCGTGTTCTGGGTTATACCTGGTGTGACGACATATTCATTCTTCCTAAAGATCCTTACGGCCGCTGGGGGCCCACACTTGATGAAATTTTAAAATGCTAATGCATTTTTCTTTACTTTTCTCTTTTTTATAAGTTTAAAAATTTGTTTAGTTTGTGTTAAGCGTTTAGTTACTTTGTATATTTGCCATTTCTTTTTTTTTCTGATATTATTTTTCGGAGATTAAAATATATACCTCATAATTATTGCACGAATGTTAATTTTCATAAACATCGTATTTAATTTGTCCTTAATTTTTTTGCATTATTCCAAAAGAATGTTATTGTAAAAATCCGCCCAAAATTATGCAATCCTCGACGAGCAAAGTTTATTTACATAAGCAAAATTGTACAGGTGTCTCGTATGGTGTATAAATAAGAATAAATGTAAGGTACCTCGGAATTGCAAATCTGAGCTACACCACCGGTGGTTGGCCGTTGACCAAGAAAACGGTGCTGGTGGTGGAAGTGGTCGTGGTGGACACATTCGCCTCGTACACCGGCGGTGGTTCGTTGATTCCAGCCGCCAGATTGGAGCTGCTCGCCTCCAAACTGGTGGCTATGGTCAAGGTGCTATCCTGCTTTCGTTCGCTGAAAGCAGCCTCGTCGTAGCTTGGCGGAAGATCCAAGGTCTTGGGCAACACACTAAACTCCTCCTGGGTATTCATGCACACGTTTCCGACTCCGTCGGAGCCGCCGTTGCAATTGGTTGTGACATTAATTTCCATCTGACGACGGGCTGCCGGAAAAGAAAGATCAGATTAGGTGTTAAAATGTATTTAAGTGTCTCGCGTTTTAAACTAACTTAATTGACTAAGAATTATAGGTAATATAGTCAACATCATTACTTATTTTTTGTCTATAAATAATGATATTTAAAACTAATTGCAAAGTACAATAATGTAATGTCTACTTCTTGAATTCTGAAAATAGCTTTTAAGTTTTGTACGAAATTATTTTAAGGAAAAGCATTGCATCTAGTCATTAAAAAGTACATATAAATTAAGATCTAAGAATATAAAATATTAGGAATAACAACCATTAATTTTCAAAATTGTAAAATGTAACCGAATTTTCTTAATCTCACATGTACATACATATTGTAGACGAAAGACCGGGAGCAAAAGGATCGATTAAGTGTACATTAATTACGCTAAACTTGTCTGCGCAGTTTAAGAAAGAAAAATAAAATATGATTTCATTAAATTTAAATTAACAGTAAAGGCTTGCTGTTCTGCTCTGTTAACCGCTAGCTGTTAACCGCTTAATGACTAGGGCGTAGGCACATATCTCAACGGGATCTTGATATATAAAAAGCATACTGATAGGGATTTACTTGACATACTTTTTCTAAATCAGTTTTGAAATTAATATATGTCAAATATATTCTGGAAACTTAACCCCCATTGGACCCCTCTGGCTACGCCCTTGATCTTTACTGTTGGGTCAGCTGCTCTGACGTCAGGCGAACAGCTGTTGCCGCCAACGAAGGCCCACGAAAGTTAAAGCGCTTCAATTTAATCACAGACTTTGGTATTTCAACACCTACGCGCCGTCGAAAACGCGGCGCCACCTGAAGCGCACAGAATCGAGTAAGTGAAACTATTGGCAGACATTCCGAATGAGCCGCGGCTCACCTTCAGTTAGGTGTTTACATAATGACGTTGGCCAAATCGCCGAGGTGAAAGTTTAGCTGCATGTGAACGGGGAAATGTAAATGGGGAAAATGTGAATGAAAATGTTTGCGGAGATGCACCAGGTTTTGTTTCATGGTTGAGCCCAAAATCAGATGGCTGGGGACAAAGTTCGAAGTTTACTCAGTGACTCAGTGACGCAGTTCTCCGAGAAGTGTTTCGCGGCTAATCGGAGGTGAAAGCCCGAAGGTTAATCGACACTGACACCTGTTGATTTCGCACAGCAGACTGAAGAAGACGTCTCTACTTTTCAGACGGAGGAGATGCTGCTGCGACGCGTTCTGGGTTACGTCGTGGGCGCCGGACTGGCGTCTACCGGCTGGAGTCTGCATACCAATGACTACGATCCTAACTCGCTAGGCATCGTCCGGTTGACCAGATCCGCAGCCGCCGTCGTGGACGTGGCACTCACCTATAAGCGAGAGCTCTACTACAGGGAATGGGACAAGGATACACAGGAGTACAAGGCGGAGAAAAGTCGGGTCCATAAGATAGCTGCCGAGAAGCTGCTTCAGTTGATTTGCACCAACAAGGGCGTGTATATTAAGGTGGGTCAACACATAGGAGCTCTGGAGTACTTGTTGCCCAAAGAGTTCGTACAGACCATGAAGGTTCTTCACTCCGATGCGCCTCAGAACCCCATCGAGGATCTGTACAAGGTAATCAGACAAGATCTGCACTGCAATCCGGATGACATCTTCGACAGCTTTGAGCGGGAGCCACTGGGAACCGCCTCACTTGCCCAGGTGCACAAAGCTCGCCTCAAAAGCGGCGAAGTGGTGGCCGTAAAAGTGCAGCATCCCTACGTCAAGGGCAACTCCCGCGTAGACATGAAAACCATGGAGCTGGCAGTCAATGTGCTGGCGCGGATATTCCCCGATTTCAAGATTCACTGGTTAGTGGAGGAGTCAAAGAAGAACCTGCCGATCGAACTCGACTTCCTCAACGAGGGACGCAACGCAGAGAAGGTTGCTAAGCAGTTCGAGAAGTACTCCTGGCTGCGGGTGCCTAAAATCTACTGGGAGTTCAGCTCCTCTCGAGTCCTAGTCATGGAGTATCTAGAGGGCGGTCATGTCACGGACTTGGACTACATCCGACGGAACAAAATTGACTCTTTCGCGGTGGCCAACCGCATTGGGCAGCTCTATTCCGAAATGATCTTCCGTACTGGTTTTGTACACAGCGATCCTCACCCGGGGAACATTTTGGTAAGACAAACTAAGAATGACCGTCTGGAAATCGTTTTGTTAGACCATGGGCTCTATGCCAATCTGACGGACAAGTTCCGGTACGATTACTCCAACCTTTGGCTGAGCATTCTCAAAGTGGACCGAAAGGCCATGAGGCAGCACAGTGAGCAGCTGGGCATCAAGGTAATTATGTGGTATTAGAAATACGTTTACTCTGTAACCAATGTTCCATCTACGTTTGGCTAATACAGGGAGACTTGTACGGTCTTTTCGCATGCATGGTGACGGGACGACCTTGGGAGACGGTGATGCAGGGTCTTAATAAAGTCAAATATTCCAAAGAAGAGGTACGTTTATCCAAGTCAGATCAATCTCCAGCTACTCATACTGATTTCTTTGTTGGTACAGAAAAATACACTGCAGAACAACACTTCGCTGGTGCTGCCGCACATTTCCGACGTATTGGAGCAGGTGGACCGTCAGATGCTGCTCATCCTGAAGACCAACGACTTGATTCGCGGCATTGAGTCCACGCTTCGCACGCAAAACCGAATGACAGCTTTCTGGGTCATGTCCAAGTGCTGTGTGCAATCCTCCTACGCCCAGCAGCGAGCCCATCAGTCCGCCTCCGGTTCCTCGCGAATCCTCTGGCTACGGGTGCGCGAGCGCTGGGAGCTGTTTAAGCTCAATTGCTACTACCTCTACCTTGGACTGATTAATTTCGGATTCATCGAAGCACTCAAGCAGGTTATTTAGGCTAAAAATGGCCCCCCATTAAAAGTACAAAACTCTTGACGAGTCAGGAAAGAGAAATTACCTCGTTGTCTCTGCTGGGCGAGATTCCGGGAAGTTACGTCCCGTTTGCGTTTGGCGCTCTTCGGGTAAGAGAGTAAATCATTAGCAGGAGCAGGAGGATTCCCAATTCTGATTGGCTTACCACAATCATGGCCAGAGGAAAGGCGATGACAAAAAAGAAGACCAGCACGATGTATATGACGTAGCTGGGATAGAAAAACACAAACGGGGTGTCGTATCCCATATCATTGTTGAAATTTGGGATGGTTGTGGTAGAACTGTAAGCGACCGACGTGGTACTTTCAGTGGTGGAAAGGGTGGAAAGGGTGCTTGCCACTGAAGTAGTTGTATCCGAAAGAGTACTTTCCGTTGCGTCAATGGCAGGTGCCATGTTCAAATTGGGGATTAACTTCGCGCTGATTTATTAGATTTTTGAAACTCCTTCGAAGACAGCCGTTCTCTGGCAAACCGACGAACCCGACTAACCTGAACCACTGGCTACCGAATTGATAGGACATCCGGGCATGGGTCAGACACCAGGCCGAAAACCAAGAACACACATATTTGCTTTGTAATCATTAGCTGATAAGGTGACAAAACCAGTGTCGAGCCAGGGCTTTGTTTTTCGTTGGTGTTCGCAATTTATCTAATGAGGCGATATGATAAATGTGCGCAAATAGATATATGTCTGAACACTCGCATAAATATATATTAATGTCGTCCATGATTTATGGCGGCCAGGGACTCTCGTTCTCACTCATCTGAAGAACGAAGAACGAAGAACGAGTTCAGTGGCCCAACTGGGGCAAATATTTATGTTTGCTCTCCACGAATGCCCCACCACCCAACCAACCAACCACTCACCTTGCTCCTCCTTTAGGCGCAGAGACGTCGAGTACGAGCGACAGGCAATCAGAAGCACCTAGAAGACAACACTTGATACTACGGGATGAACTGACGCGGCTTAGATTGGGCACTCACTCGCAGGAGGAAGAGGAGGAAGCTGAGAGCGCACAGGACCAGGAGAAAGGTCCCCAGATTATCCATTTCGATTAAATGACCCACAAGATGACTCACCGAACGAGTTGTTTTGGCCAAAAACGTTAACCGTGATTCAGTCTAAAGCCCTGGGTGCATGTCACAGCGATAAGATACATAAGATATTAGATATGGCGAGTGGCCCGAACTCTGATTACATTTTAAGCATTTGATGGACTTTTTAGCACCTTTGTCCCCGGCAGCAGGGGATCCCTTGCGGACTAATGAGCGAACTGAGCCAACTGCCAGCCACTTGCTAAATGGCCAACTCTCGGATTGAGCAGGCTCAGTTATCTCGGCCAGATTGCATTTTATGTTCGTGCCGGCCGTTATCTCCGGATTCTGTCCGTCAGTTGTTAACGCTTAATTGAAGCTAATCTAATGACCGTTGGCTGTGTGTACCTTCGCATTCCGGCCAATGAACGACGCTCGTCCCTCGACACTCGACCCTTGACCCCTGGCAAGCAGAAAAACTCACAGACGAAGCTTCTTTTCCAACACAAATATATTTCCAATGTTTCTCTTTGATTTGAAATCAATTGAACGAATGAAAAGCATCACACGAAAATTCTTAAATACTTAAGCACTACCAACGTCGGGCCTTTACATAGATTTTGGGATAAATATTTCATTGAATTTTCAAATAGTTCTGTTGTCAGATTACGGGCTAAATAATCCCATTGTATTTCGTTTTGGTTTGCAATTCACGCAACTCGAATAACATTCATATATGAATATGAAATTGGCACAATTTGTTTTCCTTTGTTTTCCCAAATTTGGTTTATATTTTCTGATAATCGCCAACGCCAACGCCACCGCCACCGCCATTGCTAGTTTTCGCTGCAATTGAATTTCCGCCGTCTCAATTGAAATGGCAATTTCCAATTAATTTATTTACGATTTGTTGACCGGCTCGTCACGCCCGCGCACTATTTAAGTTGGCATAATGGCCACTATATACACTATATATATATGCGTATTCGGGTAGGATATATGGCAGCGAAAGCTTCCTGTTAGCCAGCAAAACATTTTCATCATTCCTCTGGCTCTGGCTGCCACCGAACTTAATTGAAATCAAAATAAGAAAATAAATTATACGCAAACACCCGGGGCGCGTGTCCGTGTGAGTCCGCATACAATTGGCAGCCGCTGTAGAAGGTGTCAGTTGCAATTAATGGGCTCTGACCATTGTTAAACTTTAATTAGCTGCAGTGTCCGATTCCTGACCCCGACCTCCGCCAGTCCGCGACACCTGTGCAAATAGAAATGTGGAAAAGTAAATATGAGGGCGGGGCGACATGTTTACTCTATGGCTAAGTGCAAATATGCATATGCATGCTCGCTCTCGCATAAAAATCACACACGAAATTTATTTTAAATTTTATTCATGGTCCGTGCTCATAAAAAATTCATAGACCTGCTCCGCCTCGCTCTCCCCCTCGGCCTTTTGGGGCTTTCGGCTAAAATTATGCCTGTTTGGGCCAAGATCCTTCCTCAAAGCATCTCCCCGCAGGTGCCCGCAAGAAGAAACAACTTTTGCAGGATTCCACACACACCGAAATTGGTTTTGAAAGATAAATTCACGTTGACATTTTAATTAATTTATCCCCGACTATGTCTTGTTAATAGTTCTGTGTTGCCTCCGAGTTTACAATGTAAACTCAAAATGCCAGCCATACAGACCTTAATCAAATAAATACATATGAATGCCAGCCCACGCACAAGGTGGGGCAAGACTATGTGGAAATTGTAGCAGAACACACGACACAAATCAATTTGCATAAGGATGGAACTTTCCAACTTTTAGCATCGAGAGAAAACTTTGCTTTGCGGCAGATGCTGTAATCAGACTCGTCGATGGGTATGCACGTCTTCTGTGTCTTGTTGCACTCACATTATATATTTGCTTAAGTGCTCCAGTAATATTAGATGGAGAAGCAAAAACACAAGGCTTATTGCTCCATGCTAAGAGTCCTTGAAAGTATCCCATAAACGGAAACTAATAAGTTTAGCTTAAGCTGAAACTCAGATCTCCAGTTTGGCTTAATTAAAAAAGTAATCTGCCCATCACTATTTTCCCGTTCAGTTGGGTGTCAGCAACAGGCTGATGGTATCAGTCCACCTGTCAGTCTGTCAGCACGTCTATCTTGATTTGTGAAGCAGGGAGATATGTTTAAAGTGGGGCTCTGCTCAAAATGAATTTTGAGGTATCTGAGAGTCGAATCTGTGCTACTAGAGTCCCCCTCCCCTTCATGTGTGTATTAAATTTGAAATTCAAATTTATGAAACTGCAGTGGAGGAGCGTTCCTGTCTGATTTTCATCTCAGCAGGGCAGTTTGTTCAAATCTGAGGCATTTGCTCGATGCTTTAACAATTAGATAGCATACATTTTGGGGCAGATCCGAGCTTGGCAACCCACAGGAAGGGGAAAGGACTTTCCTCCTGGTCCTGGCACTTTTATGTGGTGTAGGCCATTTGAGGGCGACTCTCGAGTGTGGAAAGTTGCTCAGCTGGAATCAAGTTGTTAGCACAATTAGTAGGGGGCGTGATGGGCGTGGCCGTTGGCGGCTTTCATTATCGAAACGTGCTTTCACTTTGTCCATGAATGTTGAGCGAAATTAATTGCCGGCGGGCGGGAAAGAGCCGCCCAGCGATTGCACAAAACTTTTGTTTGAATAATTTCATTAAGATTAATTTTGGCAACAAAGGATCTGGAAAATTATAATTTATAATTAGCAGTCAGCGAAAGCGGTTCTGTTTGTTTTTCGCCCTGCTTGCGGAGATTTTATTGAAAATTTTAATTATGATTTTGTGTGCGTTTTTGGTTTTTCTTTTTTGTTGTTGTTCGTGTTTAAATTTCGCCAAAAAGTTTCGTGTACATGGGCCATAAATGAGGTTTTCCTGCCGCAAAAACAAATTAAACTGGAGTCGAACTCAAAGCGAGGTCAGCCGAAAGAGAGCGAGTGGAAAACGCTGGACAATAAAGTTTAATGAATTACATTTCAGTCAGCGACGGCGGCGTAGGACGGGCGGAAGGACGAACCAGCTGCTGGTAATCCTTGGACAAACAGGCAGCGAAAGCGGAGCAAAAAGTCGAAAGGAAATGAAAATATGTCGACGGAAATGAGCATTGACGCCGCTGCCACTGCCATTGCCGTCCGATTGTCGTGACCCAGACATCCAGTTTCGGGGTCCTTCCTTCTTTCCTTTGGTCAAGTCACATGCGCTGATTTCCCGACTGGGCGGGTCTTCGCCCAACTTGCCATTTCATCATTGTCAACGGCCGCAGAACATCGAACAAACAATAAATATTGTAAACAATTTGTTTGGTCTGGCTGGGGAAATAGAAAGCCATGGCAAATATTTGCCCACGCCCGAGGCAGGCCGAAACGGAAATCGTTTCCTCCAAGGCTCCGAGGCTCCGAGGCTCCAAGGCTCCAAGGATAAAGTGAGCCAGTGGGCCAGAGGAACGAAGTGCGAAGTGCGAGATGGGTGGCTCTGTAAGCCCTTCGGGGCAATAAATTATCATCATCAGCAAATGGCAATGTGGTTCATCCTGTCGCCGCTGCTTCCCCAGTAGCCGCTCACAATTTCCAATTGCCATCCGGCCGCTGCGATTCCCAATCCGAGAACCCTGGGGTCCCTAGTCGGGGCTCCGTCCCTGCCACGTAGGTAATGCGGCATTAATTAAATCAAGCATCATTAAGCGGGGGCGTGGCCTGTGGGCGTGCTGCGGTTGGGCTCTAATGGCAATTGCATTCGGACTCGCAGTGCACCGTGGTTAGGAGCACTTTACTCTTTGGCCGGGCTAAACTGTCAATAGCAGGCCGCAGGGAACTTGAACATTTGATTTGGAGTGCTGGGTCCATTAATCTGGGTAACTACTTGGCGCACAAAAAGAAGTTTTTGTCTAAGGGAAGGCCATTTTACTGTGAATCGATAAACTAGGTTGGGAAATTAATGGCAGTTTTAAACTGTTTTAAACTCTGAAAACTACGGGTGGGTTTTAGGTATTTAAGCAGGTGAATGAAACGCAAATTATGGATGGAATACCATGAAACCCATCGTCTATTTCTGTAACTCTATCCCTTAGTTTTATTGTTATTCCTGGGTAACCACGCAGGTTTTTACTTGTTTTACCAGCTTTGTTCCAGCCATGAAACTGCCAACCACTGTCCAAATGGCAAACTGAAAATAAAAGCCAGCACACAAAATGTTTTAGCTTCTGCGGCTATTGCGTAAAATTTCATTTGCTGAGCACGGTTTTATGGCTGGCGCTGCTGTCTGAGTGAGGAGTGGAGGGCGCCCAATTGGCCATGTCGGAAAATCTAAGGTAAAATGAGTTTTCAATAGAGCACAGCCCCCGAGGGCAGAAATTGCATAAGTAGCTCACATGGTGGCCATGTTTTTGGCCAAGCACCCACTTTAGTGCATTGTCTTTTAGCCAAGCGGAATTCCAACGGGCGCCTGGCAAATGGCCAACAGCTGGCGGAGCTCTCGGGTGCTGCTCCTTCTGGGAGGAGGTTAGACAACACCAACACCAAATGCACTTGGCCGGCACCCACATATTCGAGTGCACACATTGGCAACATGCTACACGCAGTACTCTGCACCGCGAACAAATTTGGGTCTTCTCTTATTCTAATTCTTTAAAATATCTCTTAATTAGAATAATAATATTTTCCCAGGGGTTAAGAATTCTTTAAACTATCTACGAAATATTTCTGTGCTTTCTCTTGCTTCGTAGAGTTTGTAAAAAATAAACGTTAGCCTCGGGATGAGGAACTCTTCTCAGTGCAGCATTGTAGACATTAAGCCTCCGGGGCTTAGACGGTAGGCTTTGGACGCTTTGGCTGACAGCGAGCAGCGGAGCATGGCCAAAGGGGAGGGGACGAGGAGGAGACGAGGACGTGGGCTGCCAGCCGAGGAGCATCCTATTTATTGCCACCGCTTGTAGCAGTCATTATTCACTCGGCAGGGACTGGCTCTTTAAATTTCATTTGGTAAATGTAATTCGATTTAAGTTGCGCTCTCGATTTGCCATTTTTGCCGCTTGCCATCCTGATGGCCATGAATTTTTCATAGTTTCAGCTTGGCTTTTGTGCTCTTTGTTGGCCTGCATTGCTGCAATTGAATAAGCGGCCAAACAAAAAATCCTGAAAAATAAAACGAGAGCAGCATGGAAAGTTTAATGCAAAAAGAAGGGAAAACAAACGGAAGTGCATGTTTTGCATATTGCTTTGAGCCCTCAACAAATATGGAAAATTTCCTGCTCTCTGGGTGTGGATGTGCAGATGTGCGGATGTGTGTGTGAGAAAATCAAATTTGCCGGCCCTCAGCTTCCGGATGCCCCGGCTGGTGCAGCCCCCAAACACCGCATTTCATTTGTTGCCAGCAATCGTCCATGCAAACAGCGAAACTTGACTAAATGCAATAAACTGACCAAGTGCCGGGCCATTTTGCCACTGTTGCGGTCCAGAACCCCATCCTTCCTCCCACCCCATCCCCTGGAATTCGCTGGCCACGCTTCGGGCCAAGCTTTGCCAACTCAGCGGCATTTTTGCACTCGGCATTCATTGAGTTCAAGGGTGTAACAGATACCAGAGAGGGCCAAGAACAAAAAGATCTCTGAGCCTTAAAGAAAGCAAATGCATTACAACCACTCTCTTGGCGGGGTACTTGAAGAATCCCAAAGAATCGATGTAAGTTAGAGGGCCTTAGTAGGTAGTAAAATAACTTTTGTGATGGCTACGAGGGATATCTCTCAGTCGACTTCAACTTCTTCCTTTTTGCAAAGCTTCCCTAGAATAAAATGCAATTTGCTCATTTTTGCATAAACCCCAATTTCAGTTCACGAAACGAATGAGAAATTGCTTTTGCAATCTGCGAGTGCGAGTTCGCAGTGGATTTCGGCGAGGATTTGGGATCTCGGTTAGAGAGGAGGTACAAAGCGCTTTGACCGGCGACAGGTGAAATCAAATCCCCTTGCCGGCGGACACTGGCCAGGGGAGATGCTTGTCATACAGTGCCATGGAATTCACGAAATGCCCCACAAACAACACACGTAATACTCGCATGCCGGACACCTACCTGGATTTACGTGAAAGGACGCTCGGCTCCGGCGGCGGCATCCAGCAGACTCAGATCGTTGAATGTTTCACAATTTTCCAGCACTTGGCTGCAAGTGGCGTTAATTAAATCAAAATCGATGGCCACCCGGTGTCCCAGAGACTCCGATTCGGGCAGCGTGTGTGCGGCCGGGGAATCGCCTTTGTGCGGTGGGTGGTTGTTCGAGTCCAGTTGGCAGCACGGGAGGCGGGGTCTCTCCTGATCCCGGGGTCCTGTCAGCACCGCCTGCAGCTCCTCCGCACTGCAGTCGTACTCATCGTACTCATCGTCCATCAGCGATTGCTCCGAGTAGCTCTCGTCGTCGTCGTCGCAGTCAAAGTAACCGCTCTGTGGATGAGCCAGAGAATTGATGGTTGATGGTTGATGGTTGAAGGTTGGTCTGGGCTCAAGACTGAGCTCTTGATTGGGCGGGACACGGGGGAGCCACCATTCCAGGGACGCAGTCTGAGCCAAACCGAATTCAAAAAGTTAAGAAAACCCCAAAGGAGAATGCTTCGGTTTTCCATTAAATCCTTAAATATTGCATGCTGCCTTGTTTTCAATTTATTCCCCTTCAGTTTTCACTTCCACCCAATTGATTTAGGTCAGGGAGATTGCAACAATGAAACTATCAAGAAATGGATACATGGCTTAAATGAAATATTAAGAAAAGAAATAATATGAAAAGGGAATTAAGCTAGTTTTCCCCTATTATGGCTTTTCAAAAGAAACATAAATAAATTGATTTGAGAAGACAGTTCACCTCTGGGTTTCAACATGGCTACAAAATCCAGTGACCCGAAATTGCGTAGCTAACCATTTCAGGACCAGCTTGCATCCCGGACTCCCCGACGACTCCCCAGTACGTCCATTGTCACTCACTCACCTGGCAGTCCAGGCATCGGCAGTTATCACAGAGGCTGCAACTCAGGCCCAAAATGTCCGCTGCCTCCTGGTAAAGCTCGAAACTAGATTTCGCCTGCTGTTGTAGTTGTCGCTGCTGCTGCTGCTGCTGCTGCTGCTGATGATGATGTTGTTGGATGGTCAGTGCTGCGTTGCTGTCCTCATTATGCATGCTCCAGTTGGTCAATTTATTCAGCTGCCCTCCACCAGCAGCACCCCCTCCAATTCCAGCCTCCCGACTGTTGCTCTGATTTTTCAAGTTCCCGCCATTGTTGTTGCCATTGGAGGTGGGTGGCTCCGCCTCATTGCTGTCGAGCATGTTAAATGAAAGTTTATTTAGCTTTTGGTTGACTAAACTAAACGCGTATCAAATGGCTGCAAGTGGCGCGGAAGGACTCGCAGCGATTAGGGAGGAGCAGGAAGGATGCCTTCCTAATTGATATAAAGTGGGATTGGGATGGAGGTTATGGATAAGTGCTGTACTCGTACTTTAACAGAGATGAAGAGGCATAAAGGTAATAACATTTAAAGTTTATCAAAAAGTAGAAACTCGAAAGCGCTTGCTAGCGGACGATAACAAAGGCAGATCCATCGATTTATCCGATAAATCGACGTGTCTGCATCCTGTCAACTTTTCCCTATCCAGCAGCTGGAAAATGGAAATGAAAACAAAGCGACCGATTTAATTTGCGGCGACAATCAGACAATGTCCCAGCAGCATTTCAGGCTGGTGGCCACAACGAATTAAGCCACCTTTGGTGGGCTTAAGTGCGGGCTGGGAGCTTTCAAATTGCATCAGCGGGAAAGCAGGCTGCACACGGCCGAGGGAGGCGGCGGGAAATGCAAAGTGAGTAACTTTTCACAACAACTTTCCGCAGTTATTTTGCGACACAAGTTGAGGGAGTCATTCTTGTCAGCTTCGCTGGTGTCGCCATCCAGAAAGTTGATGAATGTGCGCCGAGAGTTTCCGCCGTGGAAATGCCTAAGAAAGGAGAGGGGAGGGGCTCTGCATTTTTTCCTCGGCTGACGTTTACTAATTAAATGCGCACTGGCTACTAATAAATCAAAGCGAAGCCCGCCCTTTTTCCCTGATGCAATTAATGAAATTTTCCCAGCCGCCTTTGCCAGCGCGAATTTCAGTGAGCGAACTTTTGACATCATTATTGCAAAGAGGATATGGAGGAGCCCAAAAAGGAGGGAGTGGGCCTGGAAAACTTTGCGTATGAGTGATGTCTGGGGGCGGGTGCGACTTGTAAGTGCAACTCGGGCATTAAGTCCCCAGAATATGATTATTGCACTTCAATGAGTACATTTATGGGCTGGGCCGGCGCTTTAATCAACTTTTTAAGCCCTCTTTAAGCCCCAATGAAAAGGAGGAAAGGCGGAAAAGCCGGCGGAAAACGGGGTGAGCAACTTTGCTAAGCGATGATGATCAAAACTTATGACTTCATGAACAACGCGGCAAAGTTTCGCCGTTGCAACAAAGTGTCTGCTGACAGATAATTGAATGCGCTTAAAAGCCGCAGCTAAAACAGGAAAAGCTCATTTGGCCATAAAGAGCCATCCGCGGGAGACAAGAGAAATGGCCAATCGATACTAGGATGAATGGCCTCGCCAGGGTCCACGACTTACTCGGGAATAAGTGGCAACTAACGCTGATTGCTGCACTTCAATAATTAATTAAGAAATAATCGAATGCCGGGGACTTTAGGAATTCGCCTGGCTCTCAGACAACTTAATGAGGAACCACTTCGGCATGGCAACTAGGACCGCAGCACTACCACCACACCTGCACACACCCACTTGTCCCCTCAGAATGCCATCATAAAAACTTGCCACAGTTTGCAGCGCGTTGCAAGATGCCTTATAACATTTATGGGAATTTATAAGTTTTTGCGGCGAGAAGATTGCTCCGCTGACACAGGCCCACATATTGGAGAAACTACACTCGAAAAATGAACTACCAAGAATAACATTTGGAGATGTTTTAGCGAACTTCTTTCTCAGTAATGAAACAAACACATGGAATATAAAAAGTTATGAGTTAATTTAAAATGTTTAGTTTTTTAAGGAACTTAAGCAGTGGGACTGGCCTGATCCCAGGAACAAGAATGATTTAAAGTGCTTTGGTGATGCACTTCAGATTTTTGCGAGTGCCTGGGTGTTACATACCTGGCGGCACCAGTATCTTCCGGAACTGCTGCGTCGCTGCGCCATTTTTCCTCTTCGAGATATTTGAGAAACTTTGTCTTCTTGGCAATAAGCGCTGATTTGACATTGGTGCATTTCTTCTTAGGCAACAGAGGGAGGCCACCGGCTCCTCCTGCTACTGCTCCTCCTGTCGAGGTGGCCACTCCCACTGCGCCATCGAGCGATTCGCCACTCCGGCTCCGATTCCGGCCGTTTTCGGTTACTCCGCCTGCCGCTGACAGGCACCTATTGTTATGGTTGCTTGCGGCGGCATTGTTGTTGCTGCCATTGATGTGGCTGCTGCTGATGTTGCTGTTGTTGATGTTGCTGCTGTTGGTGTTGCTGCTGCTGCTGCTGCTGTGGTTGCTGTGGGAGTGGGTGACATTTTGGCAGGCGACGCCGACGCTGCAATTGAACAATTTTTGCAGGGCCGCCGTTGCCGGTGAACACATTGCGGTTGACATTGATGTAGCGACAGGATTTACGTAGTTAGATGCGCTTCCCGCTGCCGCATCCACGAATGTTGTTGGTGGTGATGCTGCTGCTGCTGCAGCGGTAGTTGCTGCACTGGCTGCACTGCCAAAAGTTTTGAATTTATGTTGCAGGACGCCACTCGAGCAAGTTGCCTCAATTGGATTTGCCGCTCTGCTCCGGCTGCCATTTATTTCACGCTTTGTTGCCGCATATGTGCCATAGTCCTGCCAAGATGGTAGATAAGTTTGGGAGAGCGATAGAGATAGGGAGCGTGCCGAAAGGACGAAAGGAGCTCGGGTAGTAGGGCGAGTGGACTCGCTAAGGACTCACCCCATATGCGCCGTAGCTGGCATTAAGCACATAAATCGAATTTTGATTGCTGCACTGGAAGACCATGTCGTCCATCGTTCGGGCTGTAAAGTCAAGGAAAGAAAGCGATTTTGATTAGCTTTAGTTGTGTTTAAAATCAACATTTGACACTTTATTTTAGGAGACTATTATTTAAGAATTAAGTACATGGAAATGTGGTCTCTGGGGCTGTGAATCATTTTTTGGCCACTGCAATAGCTCTTTTAAGATGGGAAAATCCTTACATAACTTTTTTCAATAAGTTTTTAGAACTCTCAACTCTTTAAAATCAATACTTATGGTTCTATAATATTCGGGATTGTTAATTTAGGAATGGTTAGAACGCCGAAATGGCTGGCCCATTGAAATCCATTCCCCAGCTTAATATTGGGTTGCTGGCTTTTGGGCCGATTCGGAAAATGTTGCTTAACAAAATTATGCAAATTTAACATGGAAATCAAACAGCAGACGGCGGCGTCTCTGTTTCAACTTTTCGCATTCGGAAGGGGAAAAGCCCAGGCTGGAGCACACGAAGGGCGGAAAAAAGGCGAAAATTTAATTTAAATTCTTATTGCTGCCTGCTGATTGTGATTGTTTGTGGGTGGGAGTGGGCGGCGGTGTGCGTTGCTTACCCATTGAACTTTCAATAAATTTGGTTTCGTAGACCTCCTCGGCCGGTGCCGAGGAAGGTGTTGATTGCTGGCGGGGTGCCGGGACGCCGGGACGGATCCTGTCCAGCTCCTGGTGGCAATCAAAGCTACAATTACCGCCGCCGTGCACGTCCAAGTGAAGCGGAAACTTATGCGGCTGCTGGAGCGTGTAAACGTTGACTGAGCGCTTCTCGTGGCCAACGGTTCCTCCGATTCCTCTGATTCCGAAGCCTCCTCCGGTGCTCCGCTTGGTCCTCCCGCTGGTCCTCCCAGAGCTCAGCCAGCTCGTTAGCCACAGGGATTGGATGTCTGAAAGGGAACAAGAAGGCCAGAAGAGGCACGGGCATAAGCAAATTTCGATTCGGATTTGTTCATTCCACGCACTCGGTTTATTGTTGCGATGCTTTTGGGGAAATGCGAAATGGTTAACTCGGCCTGGCCAAGCATGATAAAATTTCGTTTGAAAAGCAAGTTCATTGAAATAAACAGGCCTCCGACTCATCCACCCATCCGCCCATCCGCCCACACACTTTCACTGGCAAACACGCAGAATAATCAAAATAATCCTTTTTTTGTTGGCTCGGCTCTGGGCTTAGTTACGCATTCCGGACTACCGAGACCCTTCTATTGTTGGCTTAGAGAGATTGCTCGACTCAGTCCGGCAGAAGTTCCGACAATTACGCATCGCATACGCCATGTAATCGCCGTTGCCAGGACAGTTGGCGCAAGTGGAAGCCGTTCTCCTGGGATCCTGAAATCCTTGCGATTGAGTGCGAGCAATAACCGAAATGGAAATATGATTTCCGTGAGTTTTACACTCCATGCACTCCATTTGTCCCCGTCTTCTACTTGAATTAATTATTTGGATTTGCTATCCCCTTGCCTTCCACTCATTGGTCCTAGATGGGAACTCAATTACTAGTAATAGCTTAGAGTTTTAGCTGCAAGCAGTTTTGCAGACGTTGTTCATATTTGCAAGGACCTCCTTCAAAAACCGTAGAAGTAGCACCCCAAAGAGCTGACCAACGTCACATTGACATTCCTTGCAATGCAAGTGTGCAGATCGGCGGAGCATTTAACATTTGTATCCCTATGTGGCCCTGCCGTAAATCCTGGAGCCGCAACTCGGTGACCCCATTCATCAAAGTGTCGTAGCAGCTGGCGGGCAGAAATCTTTTGTCATTTGCTGTCAAATCGCAGGGTTTTGATAAGGGCGGGCGGCAGAGAAAAACTAATACGTGCTGTAAGTCAACAGAGCAACATGTAAAACATCGGGGAGTGATAAAAGTTGAACGGGCGGATGGGTGGAAGGGCGGAAGGGTTCACCTGCTGCTCGTCGAGCATCTCTAATGAGCGGCAATAAAGCAAATGTGGCAGGTGACACACCAACACACACATATCAAACAATTTGCACATTATAATTGTTGACACACCCCCTGTGCCATATAGAATATATACATGTGTGTACCCTGCGTGCGTGTCATTAGTGGGCATCTGAATGGAGCCAGAAATCCTGCCTTGATTCCGTTTTATTCTCTGCTATTTGGGGGGTTCCCCGCCCGCCCCCGCCACCATCAAGCCAATAATAAAACTTTTATTTATTTTGGGATTTTCGTCAACTGGCCGAAGGCAAACAAAACGCTGGCGAACAAACAGGCCTACAGAAATAATAAGCCTGCATAGAGACAAGGGGCCAGTGGGCGGGGTGGGGCGAGTGGGTGGCATGTCCAGTGGAGCGTGGCATATTTGTCATAATCAGCGTTTAGGCAGAAGCATAAATTTGAATGAGTGCGCACAGGGGTGGCGAGGGTACGGGGCCAAGGCCCATATTGTAAGGATATCCTTTTCATATATCAGGCAGGGCTCCATACCCACTCTCAGCCGTAGCTAAGGGAAAGTATTTCTAGAAAGTAAGGATATAAAAATTGCAAGTACCTTTCAGCTTCAACATTAAATTCGTTCTTTATCATTTACCCTGCTTGAGTAGCTGTAGTAGTATCACTATCATCGCAGGGTAACAGCAACAAGGTGCAGCTTTGAAGTCAAGGAATGGATGAGCTGGGAATTCCGTATACCCCTTGCAAGGGTATGCGAACAAAGCAGGACTCATCTATGCAGGAGCATGACTGACCCGCACCCCGGGATCAGGAATTTGCGATTGACAGGAGTCGCGTTGCCGGCGGACGGGCTCTGGGAGCAAATATTTGACTGAGAAATTCCGGGGACTGCAGGAGGTCGCGGAACTGGAAAGCGGAGCTGGAATGGGAGGCTATCTGGCCATGTCCATATTTGGGGGGTTCGGCCTTGTTTGGCCATAAATTTGATGTGTGCATAAAAAATGTTTTTCGATTTCCTTCGGCACACATAAATTCCTGGCCCGGGTCACGTGCGAGCAGGTGTTGGCCGCCAGCCCGGGTATTGTCTTTTGGCCACTTTCTCCGAGCTCCTAGCGACCGGGCGGCACTTGGAGTGGAATCAATAAGTGGGCCAGAACATTGTTTTTGGCGTTCCCCATTGGCTGCTTTATTTTTTGTCCAAATATTTATTGCATTTTGTTGATTTTGTGCCGAAAAATCTAACCAAAACGTTTTCCGTTTGTCATAAATTTGGGGCCAGGCCGCCCATAGAAACACATTTAAACTGAAATTTAGCCGATTTGCTTTGTGTGTTCTGGCATTTTTCCGGGTGTGTTATGCCAGCGATTGCATAATAACATCGTTTGTGGAATAGCCACAATGGCAATAAATTAACATTTTATATGGAATGTGGTTCCCGCGCGTGAGAGTGTGTGTCCTTTTCCACTATGCAGTTGGCTAAGCCTTTTATGGCGCGATTATCGGCCAGAAACATTTTTGGCATTCCAATAAGCAGTTATTCAAAGTGGATTTGACCGGGCCTGCAGAGCCCGGCCCTAAGATTGCGGGTTCTGGTCCTGCTGTACGCATCTCGGAGGACTCCTTGAAGATGCCTCAGTTGGCCAAGTTGCATACTTTCCGGGGCCTCTCAGGCTCTCAGCCGAATTGGAGTAGCAAATACTTATGAGGCTCCGCATTCAATGTTCTGGCTTGTTTATTTATTTTAATTATAAACTCATACAGCAAGCAGAGCGAGTCAAACTGATATCCTGCCTGGCAGGATAACGGGGATGTGCACATAAGAAAGAAACTCAAAAGCATACACTGGCAGCATTGGCCAAGTGTTTGGCCTACGGCGTTCCAGTAGCATCTCATGCATATTTGTATACACTACCAGGAGGTATCTTTAACATTGTATTCAATGTAAGGATAGAGCTTCCTATAGTTAGTTGCTTCTTTTAATAAGAAAATCAACTTTCCAAGGAGTAATCTTACTTAACGAACTACTTTCTCGTAACATTTCTACCTAGCACGTTTGTCATCACAAAGAAAGCACAGATGAAAAACTAACCTTATATAACTCAGAGCTATAAGGGTATCAGTATATGTTCGATCTGTTATCCAGTTTGTCCTCATCACTTTCTACTCTCCTTGCGGCTTGCTGCCCACTTTAGTGAAAGTGAGGGTTGGTGGAGAGGGAAAGCTTGTGGAATGCAGGAAATATGCCAAGTGCGGAGTCTTCCCATCCTGCTGCTCCTTCTGGCCATCACCACCACATGCACACCGCACGAAGCACTCGAAAGCCCACAGGCACTCACACACTTACTGGCTGGGCAAATGTTTGCGCTTGTGTGCACGGCCGCGAGAGCTGGCCACCGTTATTATCCATTTGATTAGAGAAAACACAACATTTTGGCCTAATTAGAGTCAGAATGTCAAAACATTGACTTTGGCTATTTGGCCGGACATCAAAGAGGATCCGGCAGAGAAGGAGGACTTGGCGGCACTTGAATTCTAATGGGAAGTACTCGTGGAAAGGGAAGCGAGCTGCCGAGTCAACAGCAACAAAGCCAAGGACGAGGTCGAGAACTAGTACGAGTCCGAGGACAAACCATTCAAATGGCCCAAACCCAAGAGTCGCCAATGAAGTGCACAAAAAACGACTTCAAGTACTTGGCCATTTGGGTTCATTCCACTTCGCCTCCCACTACATTCGGCGCCCGTCTCCATTTTTGCCAATGTAAACACATTTGATATCCAGCAAGAACAAAAGGAACGGAGCAAGGCAGTGGCGCGGAAAAGACTTAGACAAAGGGGGTAACATCTCCGTCTCTACACTCACTAGTTTGTATCTCAAAAAGGTAAATAAATACCCGGAAATACGGCTTAATATTTGTAATAAAAATGCCTTCATTGATTTTCCTAAAATATCTGAACTTGAAACCCCTGGGAATCTTATCCTGCCAACGCCACTGGCTCAAAATGGCAGTTAGAGAAGAGAAAAGATTTAATTCCCAACAACAAGGCTGGTGAGCACTGGAGCTCAAGGGGACGAGGAGCGAGAGATTGATTTTGCTCTCATTTGATATTCCTTGCTGACCGCTGAATCAAACGGGATTTTTGCCTGCCAACCGATTTGTTGGCTTCTTGTCTTCGTCGTCCCTTTTGCCCTCTCCATCTCCGCTTCTTCCTGGCAAGCAGTGCAATAATTTCCCGTTAGCCGCTCACTAAATGCAAGCAAATTTTGTCATTTGGCCGGGACGTGAGTTGGTTGCCCAAGGACTTCTCACAGGACCTCTCGCATTAGAGCGAGTTAGATGGCGGCCCACTAAACTTTTCCAACCTGCAAACTCCGAGCAATTTCATTATGCTTACACCACTCAAACGTACGGAATTATACAAGTGTGTGCACCTCGGAAGGATTCTTCGACACTGGGAGAAATTTGGACTCCTTTCCCAGGAAGTTTATATACTCTTTGGTCCTTTAAACATTCCACACAAATTGTAGGATCTTAAAGAGGAGTTTGACATGGAATCAAGAGGAAAATGAGACACAACTCTTATTCTCCAGTGTAAGATGCAGTAAGTGACAGAAGTCCCATTTCGGCTTCCTTCGGAGCTTAATCTAGAGGTCGCCACTGGAGGAAGATCCCAGGCACGTAGCTCCGCTGCTCCTTAAGCAACCCCTAACTCCCTCCATCGCGCTGTCGTCGCTAAGTCCTTTATAATAAATAGTTGAGTCACTTAAGGGGATTAATGTTGAAATTAGTTTATGCCAATGAGATTAGGCATGACATGCCGAATGCCAAGTTCATCTCGGCCGGGAACTGGATCCAGTCGCAGATGCTGATGCTGAGACAGATGGAATTCCCTCTACATACTCCCTGCATTATGGATTTAGTGGGTTTATTTTGGAAAACCAGCAAAGTAATTTACCCTCGTATCATGGTCTTCCATCTGATGATTGTGCTATCTCTTTGGGTTTAATCCAGTTCGAAAGTGCCCAAAAAGTGTTTGCTAATATACATAGTTGTCCAATAATATGCATACTATCTAATGGTTTTATCAATAGCGATCTATAAATAGATCCCGGTGACGTCACTCCATCTCATTTCATAACAAAGCAGAAAGTTGCAACGCTGATGTGGTCTTTAATAACACATAATAATACCTTTGCATTAATACAATGTTTATATTTTTTCTTTCAGATAGAACTCTTTAGCACGCATGTGACTTAAGCCGCTAATTGATAAGCAGTCCGCTCTCTTAACGGTTGCCTCTTTCTCTCTTCATCAGCACATTCTCCCGGTCTTTGCACTCTCCCTATATTTTACTCTCTCTCAAAAAGCGCGTGTATATAAGCAAAGACAGCGCGCGTTGTTTACTTCAGTCGAGCGTCGACGTGCGTAGAACGCTCTCCACGTCTTTGGAACCTCCTCCCGCTGCGTAGTTCGATTATTATTCCTAATTCTGGAAATCCCAACATGGTTTTCGTGGAGCTATTGATATTCGTGGCCTTCATCGGTCTGTTCCTGTACAAATGGTCTGTCTATACCTTCGGCCACTTCTCGAAACGAGGCGTGGCTCACGAGAAGCCTACTCCTCTGCTGGGTAACATTCCCTGGTCGGTGCTGATGGGCAAGGAATCGTATATAAAGCACAGGTAAGTGGAATGCTATGGCATACAGATCTCTCAGGGCCTAACATATTTCTCTTCAGCATTGAACTGCATTTGCGACTGAAAGAGAACAAGGTCTACGGAGTCTACAACCTGCGGGAGCCTCTGTATTATCTCTCCGATCCGGAACTTATTCGGCAGGTGGGCATCAAGAGCTTTGATAACTTTTCAAACCATCGCAAGGGGATTAGCGATGGGCCCAACGACACCAGTGTGATGTCCAAGAGTTTGCTTAGTCTGCGGGATCGTCGTTGGAAGCAGATGCGTAGCACCCTAACACCCAGTTTCACCAGCCTCAAGATCCGCCAGATGTTCGAGCTCATCCATTACTGTAATGTGGAAGCAGTGGACTTTTTGGATCGCCGGCTGGAGGAGGGCACTACGGAACTGGAGTTGAAGGACTTCTTCACCCGCTACACCAACGACGTGATCGCGACGGCTGCCTTTGGCATCCAGGTGAACTCCTTCAGGGATCCCAAGAACGAGTTCTTCTCCCTAGGGCAGCGCATCTCGGAGTTTAGTTTCTGGGGTGGAATAAAAGTTATGCTGTACATACTGATGCCCAAGTTGATGAAGGTAAGACCAGGTGTGCCAAATACTCTTTCAGTCTTTAACCTCCTCTTCTAATCTCCAGGCCCTTCGAGTCCCCGTGATGGACATGAACAACGTGGACTACTTCAGGAAACTGGTCTTCGATGCCATCAGGTGTCGCAAGGAGCAGAGCATTGTCCGACCGGATATGATTCACCTGCTCATGGAGGCCCAGCGGCAATTTAAGGCAGATGGTGAAGGATCCCGGGAAAGTGGCAACCATGAGGAGCGAGCCGAGTTCAACGATGACGACCTGTTGGCGCAGTGCCTGTTGTTTTTCTCTGCTGGATTCGAGACGGTGTCCACCTGTCTGAGCTTCACCAGCTACGAACTCCTGATGAATCCCGAAGTGCAGGACAAATTGTATGCGGAGATCCTGGACGTGAAAGAGCAGCTGGGGGATAAACCACTCGACTACGACACCCTGATGGGCATGAAGTATCTGGATTGCGTTGTCTCCGAATCGCTGAGGAAGTGGCCGCCGGCTATCGTTCTGGATCGAATGTGCGCTGCTGACTTCCAGCTGAAGGACGAGGAGGGCGAGGTGGTGCTTAACCTGCGCAAGGACGACCTGGTGCACATTCCCCTGATAGCGCTGCACCACGATCCGGATAACTTCCCGGAGCCGGAGGCTTTCCGACCGGAGCGATTCGACGAGGAGCACAAGAACGAGATCCGGCAGTTCACATATTTGCCGTTTGGAGTGGGTCAGCGCAGCTGCATCGGCAACCGGATGGCCCTCATGGAGGTGAAGTCCCTGATATATCAGTTGGTTCTGCGGTATCGCCTCAAGCCCACGGACCGGACTTCGCCGGACATCATGGACAGCATTGTCGGCTTTCGACTGATGCCGCGGGAATTGTTCTGGTGCAAACTGGAGTCCCGGGGAGCCGCTTAATTAATAACACGTCCCCGGGCACATATAAATAATAATAAAGGAGGAGGAAAACGAAACAAACACATGGCAATTCATTTCATCTGGACACCCTTGTGCTGACAAATTTGTCGCGGCCATGTTTCATTTTCCATTCGCTTTGTTTTTGCCCGGGTTTTCCGGCTTTAAAGTCGATGTCACGGGCAGAGATTCCGAGTTAGGAGCAGGCGACAAGCCCCGTCATAATACTGTCAGGACATGATGGCCTCGTCCAACCACCTAGGTTGTATGTGGTGCGGTTACACCGCATAAAACAACAAGGGCGTTGCTTTGCCACACACACACGTACAGCCACCCACCCACACACACAGCACATTAAGGATTATTTATTGGGAGTTATTTTTCAGGCGGCATTAAAATTTTCGGTACAATATGAATTATATTACACTCGTGTCATAAACTCGGTGGCGCAGAGCGGGAAAATGTTGTAGGTTGGGATACCTTCTCATCCTCCACTTTTCCCACCCCTGAGTTGACAGCCAAAAAGTATGCAGTGAAGTAAAGGCGGATAATTAACATCAATCTGGGTTCCAAGGATCGAATCGACACTGACGGACACAGAGAAGGCAAAACTGGCAAACGGAAAAAATATGCTGTTTGTCTTTCGGTCATTGAGATGCTCGAATCTGCCAGAAGTCCTCTGTTTTGATTGTTCTGCTTTCTGTTTGCTTTCTTTTGGTGAATTGGATCTTGAAACATTGGTAAAGGTGACTGAATAAATGGTTTTTGTGTTCATAAACTCGTTTAGAGGTGAATATTGAACGGTGAATAGATTTGTCAACGAAATAAAGTTATCTTCTTTCGTATTATGGGAAATACTAATTTAAAGACCACTCCTGTGCTGGCTTAAAATATCTACAGAAACTAAATCATACTTCCTGTAATACTTTCCCTTTTACTGCCCTGCAATTTCAGCAATTTTGCTAACCTGCTTAGTTTTATCTTCGCATTTATGAGCACTTTTATGTCAAATTTGTTGCGAACACAACTGGCAATCCACATGGCCTATAAAGCAGATTAGTTTGAAGAACTTGGCCCCAACTTTGTGCATCTTTTGATGGCCATGATGACGGTGGTCAAACCCGGAGCACGCCTATGGTCATTAGGCTGGCACCCAGGGCAATAAAAAGGCAAAGGCAATTACCAGATATGGCCATGCAAACACCCGGCCATTATTCACACAATGTAACGCACGTAATTAGTTGCATATAACTTGGGGCCCCGAGCTTCGTAAAACTTTCAACGCGCTTCAAATTAGTTGAATGTTTTTTTATTGGCAGCCTTGTTGTCGTCCTCGCTGCAACAGTGTTGTTGCTGCTGTTGGTGGCCCATGCAAAACGGGTCTGGTCGGGTTGGATTGAGTCACATGTGGAGGAGCAAATAAGCCGCCGGCAATCCGAGAGCACACATTTATGCCATATGGATGTGGATGTGGATGTGAATGTGGGTGTGGGTGTGGGTGTGGGTGGGTGTAAGTCTGCCACAATATTTGCTTAAAAATGAGGCAATGGCAAAGGCAATGGCAAAGTGGAATTAAAGCGAAAAGTTTGCGAGATGCTGGCGGGGATAACTAAGCAAACGCTTTGCGGTTGTGCCCGTTCGTTTTATGGCCGAAGTTTGCCAGTTTGCCAGTCTCCCAGTTGCCAGTTTCCCAGCTTGCCGCCGGCAGCTTCAAGTTTCCGGATCCTCCTTCGGCTCTTGGGTGGGTGCATTTCAGATTCGCCTGTCTTGTCAACGCTGCGTATGCGTAATCTTCAAATGCCAGCGCTGCGTATGCGTAATCTGGAAAACGTCATAAACTGTGGCGAGACCAAGCAGCAGAGCTATTTCCACTTCTGTTGGCACTCCTGTTTTTGTGTTTTGTTCACAGCAACCTTATCAATCAATTCACCCACACAAATGTGGGCTAGATACTATATATAGTATATATATATATATATTCGGGGTGGTATCGGGGATACAGAGCAGAGGTCATAAAGAAAGTTTGGCGCCGCGACCGCCAGACGCCACCAGGAGCATTAAATTTTCTCCCAGCAGACGAAAATCCAAAAAAGGAAAGCAGAAAAGAAAACAACAACGAAAAACCGAATAAAATAAAAACGAAGGATGTGGGAGTCTGTCAGGGGAGGTAGGAGAATAGGAGAATAACAGCGATGACGACGATACAATGATAATGCCAAGAACAATGAGTCGAGGCAGCAGCCAAAAGGAGCAGGCGAGCCGGGAATGCTGAGCATTAACAATTTGGCACAATGGCAAACTGTCGCACACGGGTTTTCCCCTTCTGTTCTTCCCCGTTTCGAGCTTTTCCTACGCTTTCCTGCTCTGGCTGAGATGCGTTTTGCGATAAGCACGATGCGATAGCGTTGTGTGGGTGTATGCCAAGCATTCCCCAACGTGTGTGTGTACTTTTTTTGGAAGAAATCCAATGTCTTGGCGTTCAATCGTCAACCCCAAAGGCCGTGACAAATGGATAATTATAACAGCTACGCGGTAATATTATTGAGAATGCTTCTTATTTCATGGATAAAGTTAATTTTCAATATGACAGTTGATTGCCATCATCAGATTCTAAGCAAAGTTAATGCTGTGGTTAACCATGTTTCCAATAAGGCCCCCAGCCTTAGTGCATGCACTTTCTCTAATGGCTGAGACAGGGTCCTCATCAAGTTGCAACTTTAAGATCCTTTGATGGCCTTTAATGTCACAATGGGCAAGCGCAATAATGATGCTAAAAGTCCCCATATTCCGAAACTATGTAATTGAATCGCCCGACATTGTTTGTTCTTGTTGTCTTGTAGCCAAATATCTTTGTCCCATCTGAATCTGCTCTCCTTTTGCTTATCGCAGCTTGTATATAAATACGAACAACCAACTCCCCGCTCTCCGGGCCCTCTGCTCTGGGAAAACGTTGTTAACGTCTCTTGAATTCGGTGTAAGCGAGTTTTCCCCATAAGGAAAACAAGAAGGAAAAGCATAATTTGGAGAGTGCTTCAAGGGAAAGTTTCTTGTGTCGTTGGCAAGTTTTTGAAGACCTCCTCCAGAAGCCACACACACAAACACACACACACCGAGGGGTGGGGCCGAGAGATGGGGGAAAATAAACATAATTTTATTTTCGGTTTTTATTTAATGCTCCTCCGCATTACAGCAGTTTCTGCAACATTTTTGTTTATGCGAAGGCAAGTCCTTTCCCTCTCTTGTATCTCGTATTTTGTATCTTGTATCTCGTATCTCGTATCTCGTATCTCATGGATTCCGCACAGCACAGTATTATTGTCTAATGCACATTGGGCTGGCCAAGCGTGAATTTGCATGGCTGGCATTGTCATAGCTGAGCTGGTGCACATAAATCGCTTTGGTCCATATTTGTGTGACATTTTTCGGTTTGGTTTCCCCGCCAACCGAGTCAGGATGTGGCATGTGGCAGCTGGGAGGAAGCAGGAGGCAGCGGGCAGGAAGCCGTAGGTAAAAACTTTTAATATTTCTCCGCCGCCAGCTGTTGCCATTCCGCCCAACGCCACTTCCCCCGCTCACCACATGCCACATGCCACATGCAGTGCCAGTTGCATCCGGACACTGTGTTCCGTATTCCTGATGCCGAACCCCCATCCGCCCGTAGATGCAGCACAAACAAATAGGAGAGAGCTCCGCAGTAGGCCAGAAGAATCGCTTGGGCTTATTTATGCCCACGCTGTGAAATTTAATTAGCCGCCCTCGACAATTGTAAATATCCAGTGCCGGGGGAGCGGAAGGAAACGGCTCGGAATGCGGGAACTTAGCTCAGATGAGCGGAATGCCATGGCAGGAGCAGAAACTGCTGACTCCGGCGTCACATCCGCCGTCGACTTGAAACAATGCCAAGTGGCCAAAAGCAAAAGACGTCTTTGACTTCCTCTCACTTTGCCCTTTTCGTCCTTTGGCCACGGGCCCCAGTACATGGAGAAAAATATGGGGTTTAGGGATCAAAACAACTTTTGTCCTCGCCATATCAACTTTCTACTTTCACTTGCACACTCTGCCTTGAGCTGAAACCAGCAGTTCCAACCATTCAATTCGCTTCGACTTGAGCAGGCAAATCTTCTTGATTTAATTGCTAAATTATTATATGATTTACGGTGTTTAGTTTGTCTTTTTCAAGGTGAGGGAAATAAATCAGTGATGAGGAAAAGGCAAAGACAAAAACTAAACTCCCCCTGAGAGACCTCGAATGATTGAAATCATCTGTGTCCCTGTGAAAACTGTTTTTATAGCAATTTTATTCCCCGTGTACGGTCTTACGTTACTTTCCCGAGTTCCCAACTTTAATGAGCTGCGTCGGCAGGTGAAGGAATGCCGAAAGCGGATGCAGGAGTGGAAGGGTGGATGACAGGTGGCAAGGTGGCAAGGTGGCATAGGCTTAACTTACTTTTTAGGAAATCCGCCAGTGTCGTGAAGTCGTTTATTTCAACTGCGTTTCAGACGTAAATGAAGTTGGCTTTTTGGACCGCCCGCCGGCAGTGTCTGTTACTCGCTCTTCAACTTGTCTTAATTCTTTTACTTTTTGCCTGGCTTCGGGCTCTGCTTTCACTTCTCTCACCTGCCGCTCTTTGCCGTTGCTGTTGTCCTGCAGCAGGAAGATACGCATTAAAATTAAAAAGGAAAGCAAAGGAATCTGGCCGCAGCGAGTTCTTCCGCGGAATTCCTTTGTTGTCCTGCGGGAAGGGGTAATGGTCTGGAGATAGGACATTCGAGATAACCCAATGCAGGCTTCCCCCGGGGACAGTCAAATCGCAATTTCTGGGGCTAATACGGGCCAGTCTCTCTGGCGGGATAATTCCAGGAGCGATAATCAGTACGTATAATGGCTCTGGCAGGGTGCTCTTAATTTCTGAAGCGAGGAGCTTAGCTGCAGCCGTGGCTTTAATGCACATTCAGATAATGTGGCTAACTGACATGGCCGTATTAAATCTAATATCCGCTTGGCCGTGCTTAGATGGTAAATAAGAAACGGGCCCCGGAGCTTGGGGAGCACTTAATAGTTGCCTGGCGTATCCATTAAGTAAACATGACTCGCTAAGCCCGCTGGGCGGATATGGATGTGGATATAGAAGTTGATGTCGATGTGGATGGGTGGCGATGTGGCTCAGTAGGAGCTTCGCCTTCGACCACACTGTCAATGTACATTAGGATTGTTTTGGTTCCCAGCTTGATACATCCCATCCGCTCGGCGAAAAGAACAAAAATGGGAGCAAAGGGCGAAAACAAGAGCAACGACTTCGTGTTGTTGCGTATAAACGCTGAATATTTAATAAATTCAAAGGGGATGTGTCGGATGTGAGTCGGCCCTGCTCTGCTGCGCCCAGATGCGAAAAATAAAATCAACTTAAGCTTCGGCACACCGGAGAATTGGCTCTGCTCATTCGCTGATGATAACGCCAGCAGACCTTGGGGCCCAAAATGCTTTTGATATTTTATTCATGCCGCCAACGCTCCCAGCGCTGTCAATTGGTATTAGGACATTATAATTTATTGACGAGCGGGAGGACAACGGGAGAACAGCGGCGGCGGCCCTTGAAAGCGGTTTATAATTCGCACAGCCAAAGCCAGAATGTCAAGCGCACAATTAACGGGCCTCTCGAGTTAACCAGTGCTCCTCACACACTCAAAACCGCCGAATGCTCTAACCGCACACACGACGTATACGCAATGTTCGACGTATCGATCATCCGCCAGCGCGTCCACTCGCCTCGACGCACCAATTCCAACTGGCACACTACGGATGCTGACGGCTCCGATTTGTGCTGGAATTCGGATTGGGATTCGGAATTGCGTTCGGAGTGGCATGCAACTCGTGGCACTGGGCCACTGGCACAAGGACGCAGGACGCAGGCGCCGGGAGAGAGCCGCATCCTTTGGCTGTGGCCCCAAGACGGTGTGAAAATGGCTCACAATTAATATGCACAGGCGTCGCCGATGACGGGCCAGTCATTGATAGATTGTCGTAATGAAATGCAAATTACTTGTCAATAATTGCCCCACAAATGGCACTGCGGGAGTGGAGGGGCAAAGGCTTCTGCGATTATGAGTTAGCAGTGGTTTGGGCAACTACTTTTTTAAGTTTGTCTTATTTGTAATATTTAGTCATAGCTAAGCACTACTCAATGCAATGGCAAGTTGCAAAAGCAGTTAACCACCTTTCTCTAATCACAAATCGGGAATCTGTGTGGCCGTGAAGAGGAGGAATAACTTTTTTGATATTTAATACCTACCATTGGACATTCCAGAAATTGTAGGATCCCATTAATTAATTCATAAGGAAAAAGGAGGGTCCTTTTCGTCGCCCATTTTGCCTACAATAATTGGCAGTCAGATATCGAAATTAATAACTTGCACCATACTGGCCGCTGGTGTCCGAGCGGAGGAAACGCGGACAAAAAATATTTATTTATGCGAATTCCATTCAGAGGGCTCGTAAATCTCTCGGCACCCTCGCAACTGAGCTGTTGGTGCGAGTATTTATGGCGGCGACTATTACATACTTTATTATTATTATTAATGCCGCGTACAATGGACTGAGTCCGGTTGGTCAGAGACATAAATTCTGGTCACCCGTTCTTGTCAAGCGGCGCATTCAGTAAAGTGGCATATTGACAGATTTTAATTCAATTGGGGAGGCGAAATTAATTATTATTTTGATTGCCGTTTTATAAACAATTAATGAATGCTAAGATTGCATTACTTTTAATACCAGCAGAGAAAACCAATGTGGGATAAATTGAAGTTTTCCTTATCTTTATCTACAAAAACAAAGGACTAGAATAGAGGATGACCCCCTATCAAAACCTCGTAATCAGCCAAAGAGTGAGAGGGATCGATAGATTTGATCATCAGGTGCACAAAACAGTCGCTCCTATAGCTGTATGCCTTATTTTGACCAATTTATTGTTTAGAAATCTAGAAAAAGTATTGCAGAGGTCGTTCAACGATAGTTATCGTGATTTGCCTTCAAACAATGCCAAAATTAACCAAAAAGTAGAATTTCCGAAATCAGCCGGAAAACGGAAGCTGTAGAAAAAAGTCATTCGTTAAGCTGTACGACTTGTTTTAACCATCTTATAAACTAAAAACATAGAAAAAGTATCCAAAATTTGGTGCAACAATCCTTTTCCTGAACTCCTTCAAAAGATCCAGTATTTTGATCATAGCTCAGCGAATACTGGTCGGAATGTGGAACGCAATATCTCGTTGGGATCGGAATTTAATTTCTAAAAAATCTGTGTCCCCACCTAAAAATGTCAAATTTGATGAATTTTTCGCAAAAATTTATGATGTAACCCCTTTCCGAAAATGCGAAATGCGATTTGCCCTAACCTCTTCCCAATAGTTAGTATATTGATCATAACTCAGCCAATACTGGTCGGATTGTCGAACGTCATATCTCGTTGAGATCGGAATTTAATTTCTAAAAAATCTGTGTCCCCACCTAAAAATGTGAAATTTGATGAATTTTTCGCAAAAGTTTATGATGTCCGAAAATGCGAAATGGGGTTTGCCCTAACCTCTTCCCAAAAGTCAGTATATTTATCATAACTCAGCGAATACTGGTCGGAATGTCGAATGTCATATCCCGTTGAGATCGGAATTTAATTTCTAAAAAATCTGTGTCCCCACCTAAAAATGTGAAATTTTATGAATTTTTCGCAAAAATTGATGATGTAACCCCTTTCCGAAAATGCGAAATGGGGTTTGCCCTAACCTCTTCCCAAAAGTCAGTATATTTATCATAACTCAGCGAATACTGGTCGGAATGTCGAATGTCATATCTCGTTGAGATCGGAATTTAATTTCTAAAAAATCTGTGTCCCCACCTAAAAATGTGAAATTTTATGAATTTTTCGCAAAAATTGATGATGTAACCCCTTTCCGAAAATGCGAAATGGGGTTTGCCCTAACCTCTTCCCAAAAGTCAGTATATTTATCATAACTCAGCGAATACTGGTCGGAATGTCGAATGTCATATCTCGTTGAGATCGGAATTTAATTTCTAAAAAATCTGTGTCCCCACCTAAAAATGTCAAATTTTATGAATTTTTCGCAAAAGTTTATGATGTCCGAAAATGCGAAATGGGGTTTGCCCTAACCTCTTCCCAAAAGTCAGTATTTTTATCATAACTCAGCGAATACTGGTCGGAATGTCGAATGTCATATCTCGTTGAGATCGGAATTTAATTTCTAAAAAATCTGTGTCCCCACCTAAAAATGTGAAATTTTATGAATTTTTCGCAAAAATTGATGATGTAACCCTTTCCGAAAATGCGAAATGGGGTTTGCCCTAACCTCTTCCCAAAAGTCAGTATATTTATCATAACTCAGCGAATACTGGTCGGAATGTCGAATGTCATATCTCGTTGAGATCGGAATTGAATTTCTAAAAAATCTGTGTCCCCACCTAAAAATGTCAAATTTGATGAATTTTTCGCAAAAGTTTATGATGTCCGAAAATGCGAAATGGGGTTTGCCCTAACCTCTTCCCAAAAGTCAGTATTTTTATCATAACTCAGCGAATACTGGTCGGAATGTCGAATGTCATATCTCGTTGAGATCGGAATTTAATTTCTAAAAAATCTGTGTCCCCACCTAAAAATGTGAAATTTTATGAATTTTTCCAAAAAATTGATGATGTAACCCCTTTCCGAAAATGCGAAATGGGGTTTGCCCTAACCTCTTCCCAAAAGTCAGTATATTTATCATAACTCAGCGAATACTGGTCGGAATGTCGAATGTCATATCTCGTTGAGATCGGAATTGAATTTCTAAAAAATCTGTGTCCCCACCTAAAAATGTGAAATTTGATGAATTTTTCGCAAAAGTTTATGATGTCCGAAAATGCGAAATGGGGTTTGCCCTAACCTCTTCCCAAAAGTCAGTATTTTTATCATAACTCAGCGAATACTGGTCGGAATGTGTTATGTCATATCTCGTTGAGATCGGAATTGAATTTCTAAAAAATCTGTGTCCCCACCTAAAAATGTCAAATTTGATGATTTTTTCGCAAAAGTTTATGATGTAACCCCTTTCCGAAAATGCGAAATGGGGTTTGCCCTAACCTCTTCCCAAAATTCAGTATATTGATCATAAAACAGCGAATACTGGTCGGAAGGTGGAATGTCATATCTCGTTGAGATCGGAATTGAATTTCTAAAAAATCTGTGTCCCCACCTAAAAATGTCAAATTTGATGATTTTTTCGCAAAAGTTTATGATGTAACCCCTTTCCGAAAATGCGAAATGGGGTTTGCCCTAACCTCTTCCCAAAATTCAGTATATTGATCATAAAACAGCGAATACTGGTCGGAAGGTGGAATGTCATATCTCGTTGAGATCGGAATTGAATTTCTAAAAAATCTGTGTCCCCACCTAAAAATGTCAAATTTGATGAATTTTTCGCAAAAATTGATGATGTAACCCCTTTCCGAAAATGCGAAATGGGGTTTGCCCTAACCTCTTCCCAAAAGTCAGTATTTTTATCATAAAACAGCGAATACTGGTCGGAATGTCGAATGTCATATCTCGTTGGACTCGTATTTAAATTTCTAAGATTACTGTGTTCACACCTTGAATTGTAATTTAAAAGAAAAAATTATAAAACATGGACGATTTTCCTTTCCAAAAACGCGAAAAAGTGACCAAAAAATTATTTTTTTAATATCGGAAAAAAAGTGTCATGGATCGACAGCTGAGGTCGTTGCCTATACAAAATGGTCAATATCTTTGCTCTGGGACCATTATGAGCCAAGTTATGCGTAAACTCCTTTCACAAGAATTGAATTTCGAGGAGGAGATATTTTTCACATTTTCCGACAAAAAACTTTGAACTTTATCAGGAAAATGTAACTAATAATGTTCGAAATATGAAATTCAAATTTATTTAAACTTAAAAATCTTAAATTTCATTAATTAACTCTTGATAGATAGATCAAAAATGCAAAAACCGAAAAAGAATTTGTTTTAGAAATCAGCATAAAAGTGACGGGGATTGACAGCTTGGGTTGTTTGCTGTTCGAAGTAATCGTTGGACATGCCGCGTTTTCCGCATTCTTCGACCATGCAAATTTCAATTCTTCCGCGCTTAGTCGGGCGGGCTAGTAAATGCCCGAGGTTCGCCTGATATTCAACAATGTTCCTTATAAGAGTGTGTTTGGGCTGCGTGGTCCTATCCCTGTCCGTATTCCTCGCCAATACCTGGGACTATTGCCAGGAGCACTGGTGTCCGCGGGCCAATAACCACGTGGCCTGCAACAACAATGGGGTAAGTGAGCTGATATATTCACAGATCTAAATATTATATCATTGGCAGATGGTTTCATTGGTTAGATCGGTGACATGGATATATAGTCCTTATATAGTTCATTAACTTCATTTTTTTGCTCCAGACTTTAGGTCCCGAGTGCGGCACGGAAGCCAAGCTTATACCACTGAACGGCCCTCTGCGCACATTCATTGTCAACCAGGTGAACTTCTATCGTAACCAGGTGGCGTCCGGCGGATTTTTAGACTTCGGTGCCGCCCACCGAATGGCCACCGTCCGCTGGGATCCCGAGTTGGCCCGGTTAGCCGAGCTGGCGGCTAAGAGGTGCAGCCTGTCCGGCGATGAATGTCGCAACACCAAGCGATTTAAGCACGTGGGCCAACTGACGGGTCACGTGACCTTCAGCTTGGGAAAGCACAGCGATCTGGAGCTGTTGAAGCACAAGATCTCCAACTGGTTTGGCCAGTATAAAAGAGCCACCAAGGAGCTGGGCCCTGCCGATCCAGCCAGCGACATCACTAGTTTCCGGCAGCTGATTCAGGAAAGAGCCACCCACATGGGATGCGGGGTCCTCCGACAACGACGCCACAGACGGTGGCACCAGCAGTTCATCGTCTGCAACTTCGCCCGCGAGAATGTAGCCCTCGAACCGGCCTACGAGGTGGGTCCTCTGTCAGCCTCAGGTTGCACGGCGGGGCGCAATCCCCTCTACCCCAATCTCTGCGCTCTGGAGGAACACTACGATGTGAACGCTGTCGACCGCTTCCAAACCAAACCTCCGCTTAGGATCAGGATCAAGTACAGCGGATCAAAGTTGTCCGAAGGCTCGGAAGCAGCCTTTGGCTTGGCCTACCATCCTAACATAGAATTGGGACTTCTTTAAGGAAGGCTTAGAGGTTTTTCTTTAAATCTTTTTCATTTTTTCTTATATAACAACAATGTAACATTTTGTTGAATTTAAACTTACTAACACTTTACCATTCTCTTTAAAATGGACTCCCACAACTTGACCTATCTAAATCAGATTTCCATGTGGGATACCTCTAAAAGCTTTTGGTTTTATTCTCCACAAATCAGCTTTAAAATGTTGGATTAATAACGTTAGTAACAAGAACTTAAGCGCTAGGTTGTTGGGCGATTTCTAGTGGGGATTCTCCTGGCGATTGGGCTCGATGGTGACTCGGGCGTAAGGACTGCCGGCTCCCACCTTGCGGCGCATGGTGACTCCACGGTGCGGCCTAAGTCCCATGACGATGAGGTAGATACCCACGGCGCTAAGTGCGATCAGGGTGAGCACCACCATGCCGTAGGCCCATCTCGGCCATGTGTCGCAGCTGAAGGCGTCTCCCCGAGCAGAGGTCACAAGCATGCCGCGGATGCGGGTTGGCTTGTAGCAACGACCATTGGTTTGGATCGGCAGCTGCTTCAGCCAGACCAGCTCGCAGTCACACTGCAGCGGCAGACCGTTGAGATCCAGCTCGGCAAGCTGAGTAAAAAGCGGCGCCAGCGTGGAATTAAAGGAGCGCAGCATAGTGCCACGAAAGCTCAGAGAGCGCAGGGCTCTCTTTTTAGTGGAGGGAGAGATGGGTCCAAAGGCCTCCGGGTCCAGATGGGTCAGTTGACGGCTGTTCTGGAAACTCAACGTCTCGAGCAGATCGACGGGGGCCAAGGCATTGGCCAACACTCTCTGGAGCACCGGCATGTCCTCAATGAACAGCTGCCGCACCTGGGTAAGGTTGGCCGTGTCTTCCGGCAAGAGCTCCTCCAGCAGATTGTCGCTGATGTCCAAACGAAGGAGGGTCTCCGGCAGTTGGCTGGGAATCCGCTTCAGCTGGTTCCGGCGGAGGGACAGCTCCTTCAGAGGAGCATTTACAGGCAGGTGAATCTCACTTAGGCTGCAGGCATCCAGCCTCAAAGTGTCCAGCTTCCAGTTGAGTCCAAGTTCGGTGTACAGATCCGTGCTGGACTCGTTGAATCGGCGGTTCCACGAGATATCAAGGGTTCCCAGAATCAGGAGCGGGGCAAACAGCTGGCTGGGCACCGAGTGCAGATTGTTGTGGGCCAGGTCAAGCACTTGCAGGTGGGGCAATCCCTCGAAGGTGGAAGCCTCCAGCTGGCCAATGCTGTTCCAGCCCAGGTAAAGCTCCCGCAGACTGGTCAGTTGCTTGAAGTTGCCAGCCACCAGCTGCGAGACGTTGTTGTGCCTCAGGTTAAGTTGATGCAGGCTGTCGCTAGAGAAGATCGGAACCGAGTCTAGCGCATTCCAAGAAAGGTCCAAAGTATCGATGTACAAGGGCAGAACCACGGAGAGATCCGAGACCCTGTAGTCCTTGTAACTGCAGTCGATGCGCAGGGCACGCATTCCCCACGGGGAGGCGCTCACATTGCTGCACTCGCAGGAGCGACGGGAGTTCTTGGAGGACTCCGGGTAGCAGAAGCGGTCCGCCTCATCCGCATCAATAATCTCCGTCCGGGCAAAGTGGGTGGCCAGCAGCAGCAGCAGCAGCGGCAGGGCAAACGTCATTACTCCTAGTCTCGCCATGGTAAAGGTTCTCGGTGCACTGAATGGATAGATGAGTGGTTCGTGGCTGCCACTTCCATATCTTATCGAATGGCGGAAAAGCTCCCAGACATTCTGAGTCGATTTTTCCAATAAATTTATCAGCAAAATACTTTGGTCTTGCACTGGTCGGGTTAGTCATTGAAATCCATTTGGGCAGCGACGTGGTAAACAAAGAGTGCGGAGAGCCAAAAGCCCCGGGCATTTGAATTGTTGATAAGATAGCACGGCGGAGCTTTGCCTTTTTATCTGCCTCTCTCAACAGTCCCACAGCCCCCACCCGCGCCTTATCGCCTTTGCAGCTTTTCCTTATCTGCCGATATCTATTTCATTAATCATTTCCCATTCTTGGGCCAGCGGGTTAAGTCGTTGGCATGGATTCGCCATATTGATGGATCTGCAAAGCCCCAATTTCACACTCCGAGAAAGCGAGGCTTCGTTTCGTCTCAAAAGTCATGCCTAATCCGATCTGGATGGGGGCTTATCTAGCTCATTGCATCCAGAAGTCAGGACTTAAGTTCAAATTGTAATTACGCTTAATGCTTTTGGCTGGGGATTTATGCTGATTGCTGGATATGTCGGGAGGATGTTCTCCGACCTCAAGGCTTACGTTTGCGGTTCTCACGTCGCTTAATTGCTGAGCTGGCAAAGGTATTTTCCGCAGAAGAAGTGTATGTCCTTAAAAGACAGAGCGAATTTTATCATTCAAAACAAACAAGCATAGAGTTACCATAAGGAACAAGCATATAATTAAAGAATCGGGGAGCGAAAAGTATCTGCAAGTCGAGATTCTTTTCCTGCAGAGCTAACCCAACGAACTTTATTGGGTCCTCATTGGGTTTGCAATTGCTGTGACTACTCGCACAGCCCCCTCTGGCTGCGGGCGATAGAACTCTTCTTTGTGTCAATGGAAAATTGATGAGGCTTACATAAGTGCACAGGCGCATACCCAAAGCCACCCAGTGCGGCATAGGCATTTGCATAAATTAAGGACTTCCAAAACTCCTCCCTGCCAGCGCTTTTCCTTCTTGACTTTTCCACAATTGGGCTTGGGATGGGGCCTGCGTTGGGGCTGGGGGGAGAGCCAACACATGTAAAGCATTTAATGAGCTGTGTGTGCTTAAATTTATTGAAAATGCCAGGCACATGCTGGTGCTTACTGTTCGCACTCGCCCCTCAAGTCATTATTACAGGCAAAAATGTATTTTTAACTAAAAACCCATTAATTACGCCCAAAAGTGGGCGCTGTGTGTGTGTGTGCGAAATAATTACGGCATTACGAGCAATTTAATTAAAGCCCAATTTTCGCACATCTGCAATAATGGAATTGTTAATTAATAGGCCGAATCAAAAACGGCCATCAATTGGGGCAGCTGTCGGGTTAGAAGGCTCTCAGTCCAGTTTGGTCAGAAATCGGGAAATAAAATCCTCTCCAAACGTGCCAAACATGGCAAGCGAGTTCCTGCCTGGCCTGGCTGGTCTGACTGGTCTGAATGCGCCAACTCGCTGGCTGAATATTTATGAAAATTTTAATATTAAATTGTTTTTTGATGCCCATCGCGAGCCAGAGAGGTAGAGGTAGAGGTAGAGAGTGAAAACTAAAGCTGGCAATCAATGGCAGAAATGCAATTTCCCCCTGGACAGAATGTGCAATCATTAAAAGCGCTTGATTATCCGCAGGCAAGCGGCATTGTGCCTCGTCATCCTGCAATTGACTGTAATGATGCCCCAGCAGTGTCAGCCGCCTGTCAAAGCTAGCAGGAGTGTATATATAGACTATATATGCGTGGCTTTCTGGGTGCCAGCGACAGTTTATGGCGCCCTAATTGAATCGCTTGTCATGCATTTGTCTAATAATGGCGCATTAATTTGCCATAATGCGGACCGGCTACAGCTTCCGTTTCCCGGAAATCATCAGTGCCGCTGCGGCTATTGCTGTCGCTTTTGCTGCTGCTGCTGCTGCTGCTGGTGATGGTGCCATGTGAGCTGGTCCAAAGGATTCGGCCAAGGATTCCCAGCCCAGCCGTATGCTAAATATTTCTGTCATGGCCTTTTAACTCGGGGCCAAGTATGCAGCAAAAAGCCCGCACACACTCTTGCTTCTAATTGCCTTTGAAAGCGTTTCTGTCACGCAATTTAAAACTCGTAATTCCGTCGGGCTTGGTCTAAATTCATTAGTCGGGCTTTAAGAGCTCCCATTAACCCGCACGCCCGTGCACACACATTGCTCACTTGCGGTTGCCATTGGGATATCATTCGCTTTCGCTGCGCTCAATTTAATCGACAAATTTAAAGAAAATTATTGTCTCTAATGGGCAGACGTGCCCACAGAATGCGACCTTTGACCGCAGCAGGCAGTGGGCCGGAAGCCCGGGGAGCTATACGTATTGGCTCTGGTTCTGGCTCTGGCTTAGATCCAGCTGATAACAGTTGAATAATGAACAAATAATGGCCGGCAACCTTCTTGTCTGCTCAAATATTAAGTATACGCCAGGGAGTCAAAGGAAGGGCAACCCCTCGTTGGAATAATAGATGAAGAATGGATGTAATGCTAAAATGTACAAGCCCAATAATCCGTAACATAACTCAGGCGCACGATGGGATTGTATTTTTGATTGAGGAAAGATATGACGTCATTGGAAGTGCCCCTGCTGTTTTGAGCAGTGATTCTCCACTGATTATTATTAATTAGTTGCTATTATATTCCAGGGAATGCAAATGCTGTGATTAAGCCCCTTTAACTCAAATCGATTGATGGTCCTCACATACCTGCAACATGTGCAACAATGCCGCAAAGACTTCCCTGGAGGGCACTGAAGTCTCTGTTTTGAATAATCATTTTGCACTTGTTATCCTTTGGCTTGCCTTCTATCCTGGCGAAGGGGCTTCGAGACTCTCGACATTTTTATTGCTGGCTCCATGAAAAAGGCAATTTGCGGGCTGCAACATTTGTTGCTCCAGTGCCAACATGCGAAGGCCCTGCGCCTGGACTTTCCATTCCGAAAGTGTTCCGAAGTGTTCCTGGTCTGTTGTTCCTGGCGAAACACAGCAGATGAAGAGGGAACTGCAGATGGGAGGGCTCCCAGTGACTGGCTGGCTCCTCCGTAATTTGATTTGTTTTGGCCGATTGCTGTTGCGGCTACATTGTTTCTCTGTCGGATGCCCTGGCTGCACTAATTAATTTTGACTTGCAAAACAAAAGAGCGATGCCCTGGGAGATAGCACTGCATTGTTCTCTTCGGAGTCCTCCGAGTCGGGGCCATAAATGTCAGCTGAGGCTGCATTTCCCAATTCAATCCAGCTGTCAATGCGAGCTGGCCTCCACTGATATAGATACCCGCTTAGTTCCCAAGGAAAGCCGAAGATTTATTGCCAGTTGCCAAAAGCCCACAAAATTAATGTACTCCACAGTCGAGTTTAGCAGCTGTGTGTGTGAGAGAGCATGTGTGTGTCTGCCGGAGCCAGTCCGTCTGCGTCTGTGTGCGTTTGGGCCCTAATGAAGTTGTTAATGCGAGTGCTGTCCACGGCCCGCGCCGCACGAGTCCGCCGAGTCCCCGGCGAAAGACACACGAAAACGCCGCGTGCGTGGGGTGCACTGCTGGCCGGAGGCCTCACACCCTTCGAGGTGCGCGAGGTCCTGGCCCCAGCTAGAGCCTACAAAGCCATAGCCAGAGGAAAACGACAACCGTGACAGCGCTCCGCCGGCTTGTTTCTTTCAAATTATGCGGCTTTACGGTCAGCATCTCCAATATACCAACACACACGGTACAATCGAAGTCCGGCTAGTTCTTCATCTTCGCTGGCCAGCATTTATTTTATGTCCTGCTCTGATTGGATCAAACTAAGTTTCAGAGCGCAAGTCCTCTTCTCTTTAATCAGTTGGGGAAAGAGTTGCCGCAAGAGACTCGCTATTGTCCTGCCAGGCAAATAAATTACTGTCAAGCAGATGAAGTGGCTGCCTGCCTTCGGCACACTTCAAAAATGAGTATACTTTAATTATTCAAATTAATGTGGTCTTTCTTCGAAACAAATAACAAAAGAAAAGGGAAAAAGTCAACACAGTAATGCATATTAATAAGGGAATAAACTTGCTGAGCCCGCGCGCCCCTGGCTCTGATCCTTGTTTGCCAAGAAGGAGAAGAATGCCGGACAAACTGCGCATTTCGACAAATAAATAATTTTCATTATGGGCCAGGGATGGCACGCATTGAGAGGTCGCTTAATAGAGAAGGAAAGGGCACCCGAGACCGGAGAACGGAGACCCCGAGACCCCGAGACCCGAGATCCGAGACAAGCAACGACATCACGGGCTAGTTAACTGGGTCAATTCCGTGGCGCTGCCACTGAAGTCGGCCGATGGGGCATATTTAAGAGGAGCGGTGGGGAGGGAAATCGGCAGCGGCAAAAGTGCAGTCCAATTTAATTACGAGCTCAAAGTCGAATCCGAGATAACAAAGATGCAGCCCGAAGCCGGCAATCAGGGTTTCCCGCCAGGGTCCCAGTACACCTCCCCCCCCCCGCCGCACACATACACACTCATAAGCGAAGAGGAAACAGCGCCAAACCACTACAGGCTCACACACTCGCACACACTCCCTTCGGATCGCAGACACCTACACGAGAGCACTCGGCCCTGGGAAGTAGGCAGCACTCCTGGTCGATGCTGGCGAAATGAATATTAAGCGCCGCTCGTATGAAATGATTTTCGTAATTTAATTGAAACGTCAACATTCAGTGCACTCCGCTCTTAATTATATTATGAGTGGGCCGGAGCCAGACGGCGCGGTATCCCAGGGCAATTTTCGATAATTGAAATTTTATGGCCCCGGCATTCTGGGCTCTTTGCTTTGTCATGCCAGGCGAACATCGAACATCGAGCATCGACACATGAGTTGGCCCAAGCAGCGCCAAAAACTGTCAATAAAAGTGACATCAAGTCGGGACTAAGAGCATTTGCCTGATAATTTATGTAGCACAGATTTCAGATGTCTCCCCGAATGATGTTTAATGCAGAAGCCGGCTAGGCAGCCACTTAAGACGGTTTCAGGTGCCCGACGTGAGATATACGGGTATCCACGTCACACATCAAGTTCATGGGCCAAGGACACGCCTCGATATTGCCA